GCAGTGTGGATACAGTAGGCAGTGTGGATACAGTAGGCAGTGTTGATACAGTAGGCAGTGTTGATACAGTAGGCAGTGTGGATACAGTAGGCAGTGTGGATACAGTAGGCAGTGTGGATACAGTAGGCACTGGGTGGATACAGTAGGCAGTGTTGATACAGTAGGCAGTGTTGATACAGTAGGCAGTGTGGATACAGTAGGCAGTGTGGATACAGTAGGCAGTGTTGATACAGTAGGCAGTGTGGATACAGTAGGCAGTGTGGATACAGTAGGCAGTGTGGATACAGTAGGCACTGGGTGGATACAGTAGGCAGTGTTGATACAGTAGGCAGTGTTGATACAGTAGGCAGTGTGGATACAGTAGGCACTGGGTGGATACAGTAGGCAGTGTTGATACAGTAGGCAGTGTGGATACAGTAGGCAGTGTTGATACAGTAGGCAGTGTGGATACAGTAGGCAGTGTGGATACAGTAGGCAGTGTGGATACAGTAGGCAGTGTGGATACAGTAGGCACTGGGTGGATACAGTAGGCAGTGTGGATACAGTAGGCAGTGTGGATACAGTAGGCTCTAATGTGACCGACAATACAGCCAGCAGGGACCGGCTCACCCACAACAAACTAGGCTCTGACGTGACCGACAATACAGCCAGCAGGGACCGGCTCACCCACAACAAACTAGGCTCTGACGTGACCGACAATACAGCCAGCAGGGACCGGCTCACCCACAACAAACTAGGCTCTGACGTGACCGACAATACAGCCAGCAGGGACCGGCTCACCCACAACAAACTAGGCTCTGACGTGACCGACAATACAGCCAGCAGGGACCGGCTCACCCACAACAAACTAGGCTCTGACGTGACCGACAATACAGCCAGCAGGGACCGGCTCACCCACAACAAACTAGGCTCTGACGTGACCGACAATACAGCCAGCAGGGACCGGCTCACCCACAACAAACTAGGCTCTGACGTGACCGACAATACAGCCAGCAGGGACCGGATCACCCACAACAAACTAGGCTCTGACGTGACCGACAATACAGCCAGCAGGGACCGGCTCACCCACAACAAACTAGGCTCTGACGTGACCGACAATACAGCCAGCAGGGACCGGCTCACCCACAACAAACTAGGCTCTGACGTGACCGACAATACAGCCAGCAGGGACCGGCCCACCCACAACAAACTAGGCTCTGACGTGACCGACAATACAGCCATCAGGGACTGGCTCACCCACAACAAACTAGGCTCTGACGTGACCGACAATACAGCCAGCAGGGACCGGCTCACCCACAACAAACTAGGCTCTGACGTGACCGACAATACAGCCAGCAGGGACCGGATCACCCACAACAAACTAGGCTCTGACGTGACCGACAATACAGCCAGCAGGGACCGGATCACCCACAACAAACTAGGCTCTGACGTGACCGACAATACAGCCAGCAGGGACCGGGTCACCCACAACAAACTAGGCTCTGACGTGACCGACAATACAGCCAGCAGGGACCGGCTCACCCACAACAAACTAGGCTCTGACGTGACCGACAATACAGCCAGCAGGGACCGGCTCACCTCAACAAACTAGGCTCTGACGTGACCGACAATACAGCCAGCAGGGACCGGCTCACCCACAACAAACTAGGATCTGACGTGACCGACAATACAGCCAGCAGGGACCGGCTCACCCACAACAAACTAGGCTCTGACGTGACCGACAATACAGCCAGCAGGGACCGGCCACCCACAACAAACTAGGCTCTGACGTGACCGACAATACAGCCAGCAGGGACCGGCTCACCCACAACAAACTAGGCTCTGACGTGACCGACAATACAGCCAGCAGGGACCGGCTCACCCACAACAAACTAGGCTCTGACGTGACCGACAATACAGCCAGCAGGGACCGGCTCACCCACAACAAACTAGGCTCTGACGTGACCGACAATACAGCCAGCAGGGACCGGCTCACCCACAACAAACTAGGCTCTGACGTGACCGACAATACAGCCAGCAGGGACCGGCTCACCCACAACAAACTAGGCTCTGACGTGACCGACAATACAGCCAGCAGGGACCGGCTCACCCACAACAAACTAGGCTCTGACGTGACCGACAATACAGCCAGCAGGGACCGGATCACCCACAACAAACTAGGCTCTGACGTGACCGACAATACAGCCAGCAGGGACCGGCTCACCCACAACAAACTAGGCTCTGACGTGACCGACAATACAGCCAGCAGGGACCGGCTCACCCACAACAAACTAGGCTCTGACGTGACCGACAATACAGCCAGCAGGGACCGGCTCACCCACAACAAACTAGGCTCTGACGTGACCGACAATACAGCCAGCAGGGACCGGCTCACCCACAACAAACTAGGCTCTGACGTGACCGACAATACAGCCAGCAGGGACCGGCTCACCCACAACAAACTAGGCTCTGACGTGACCGACAATACAGCCAGCAGGGACCGGCTCACCCACAACAAACTAGGCTCTGACGTGACCGACAATACAGCCAGCAGGGACCGGATCACCCACAACAAACTAGGCTCTGACGTGACCGACAATACAGCCAGCAGGGACCGGCTCACCCACAACAAACCAGGAAATATATTGTTGTCTAGTTTTTTGTTCGGCGTGACTAGTGAGGGTCCTTAATGACTCAACCTCGCACACCACGTCCAGTACTGGTGTACACGGTGTACGTCAGGTACTGGTGTACACGGTGTACGTCAGGTACTGGTGTACACGGTGTACGTCAGGTACTGGTGTACACGGTGTACGTCAGGTACTGGTGACCATAGTGTACATCAGGTACTGGTGTACAACTAATACTAGCCAACACTTCACATGACAAGGCCGCTGGTGTCTTGGCACCACCCAGCTGGACTCTCATATACCACTAGCGCCAGCAACCATCCCACTACGTCCTATAGCCACCAAGGTTAGGTTAGGTTAGGTTGACTTTTATCACCATAATACCAGCGACCACCGCATACATCATTGGGAGAAGAACCAGGTAGTGGTGATGAACAACCACTCAGCCGGATTCTCATACTGTCTCAACATTTGGTACTGTGAGATTTCCCAGTACCAAAAATATAATAATCTTTGACTCAAATATTTACAGGAACTTGGTGTGAGTAGTTTGGTGTGTGGGAGTTATGTTTGGTGTGTGGGAGTTATGTTTGGTGTGTGGGAGTTATGTTTGGTGTGTGGGAGTTATGTTTGGGGTAACGGGAGATGCCTCACATAGACCAATAGGCCTCCAGTATTTTCACTAATCACTCTCATGTTCTAAACTGGTTCCCGTCACCCGACCATGAGGCTAGCTAGGCGCGCGACACAAAGAACTGAACCATCGCAAAAACAGTATATTACAAGAAGTTTGAACCACATCCGCCAGATGCCGCCCTGGGCAGCGTAAGGCGTATAAGGGGTGCCCCAAGGCCGACCACGCAGTGTAAATCCAGCCCTCGCCCTGTGAAGACATGAAGCGGGTGAGTACTGCCGGACTCTGCTCCGGGATTCTATAAAAATGCGAGAATTGAAAAAAGTTGTGGATGTGCATGATGAATGCGTCGATGATAGGAGTCTATTCGCATGATACTCAAACACTTGTGTTCTATCGGAGGACTAGTGGTTTAGATCACATCCAGTACGAGGTGCAATGGTGTAGGTGTGGGACCTTGGAACCTTGCGACTCAGGTCTGGTGTAGGCTACAGCCTTGCTAGCAGCCTACGCCAGCAGCCCACGCCAGTCTACGCCAGCCTACGCCAGTAGCCTACGCCAGCAGCCCACGCCAGCCTACGCCAGCAGCCTACGCCAGCAGCCTACGCCAGCAGCCTACGCCAGCAGCCTACGCCAACAGCCCACGCCAGCAGCCTACGCCAGCCTACACCAGTAGCCTACGCCAGCAGCCCACGCCAGTCTACGCCAGCAGCCTACGCCAGCCTACGCGAACCACTGCAATGGGTGTTCCCACGCACACGCCCTAGACGGCTCGACATGGTATATAAGGAGTGCAACCTGGAGTTCTACTAAACAAACGAAGATTTCTTCATCTCATCACGGCTACTACGGATGATCTCAGTGATGCAGTCACGGTAGTGTGGTTACTATCTATGCACGTGTTACAGAGATCGAACGAATGGGATCAATACTCCCAGTGTTACGACGTGATCTGGACGCTAAGTTACACCCAGCATTAAGATATGTTACCCTAAATAGCACTTAGCATCATCAGAGGCAGAGAGGACGGAGATGAGAGACACCTTATTGACTAATAGAAATTACATAAAAAAAACTCTAGTTGTCATATTTTGGATGAAGTATGATAGCAAGGTCGATAATCACATATACACTTAGATTTACTCCCTAGTTATCAATGTGTATACACTGTGTATATAGTCCTAGAGTACGTTTTAGATTTAAACGGGTCTCAAGCCCAACACCACACCAAAGAGCCTCCGCCCCATGCAAATAGAGAAATGTATAGTTATAGAACACAATGCACACAATGGGGCTTCGATAATAATTATTCAAATTATATGTATACACAATAGTATACACAATACAGTTGTTGTATAACCCGGGTGTTTGCTATACGTGGCCGCCTCCATCACAGGTGGCGGCGGCCCCGGCTGGGGCTCTAGTGACACTGTGTTTCTCACCAACACAGGTGGTGGCGGCGCTGGGTGTCGTGGCCTGCATGGTGGGACCGGCTCAGTCTCGCACCATCTTCAACTACGCCAGAGATGGTCTGGAGAGCGAGCAGAGAGGTGTGCCAGGCCAGACCGTGAGGGGAGAGTACGAGTAAGTAATCATTCATTGTGTCGGGGGAAGAGGGGGCACAATGAATGATAGTATAGTGTCAGATGATTGGTGGGTTCCACGGTGGAACATTGTGTGAGGCTAGCCCTGAACGTCTGGCCTCCTTCCTCAGATATTCTAATTTACAGATATAGAAGTTCAATGTCTCTCATTTTTTTAAGCAATTTAATCAATATTTTTGGCCATTATATGTCTTACAAAATTAATGATAAACTTAATGTTAGATGTATTAATTATAATTATAAAATGGCTGAACATATCTCAATAAAAATACTCAATACGCCACACCATTTTGCAGACGATGAGTCACAATAACGAGGTGAAGATATGGCCAGACCACACACCAGAAGTTAGGAGAAACGACGACGACGTTTTGATTCGACGACGACGACGACACAGGAGTTGATAATGGTCCAGGAAGGACCGAAACATCGTCGTTTCTCCATCTTGTGATGTGTGGTTTGGTCATCCAGTTCATCTTCAGGGGCTATATATATACACTGAGAGGTATATCCCACTTCTCGGTGTATATGCACTATTTACTTTAGTCCTGGAGTATGTTTTTGACTAAAGTATCCTTGTTGGTTGGTCAGCTGGCTGTAGAGGCGGGCCTGCCACAGTTGAGAGGCGTTGGGGGGTAGAAATAGCCTAAGCTACTCTATCCCTTTGAGATGTATTTCTTTCTTATCTCAATAAACATACTTGAACTTGAGAGGCGTTGAGCCCACCACCGCACCATCCAACATGTCTAACATATTTTGGTGTTGTCAGGTGGAGGTCTCCGGACGGCAAGGTGGTGGAGGTTGCCTACATTGCCGACTATCTGGGCTTCAGACTCGTCGACGACCCCAACACCTCACAACGCGCGCCGCCCACGACACACATAGAGAAGCTGGCTGCAGGGGAAGACGACACAGATGAAGCGTTTGAAGCTGAGGAAGAAGAGGAGGATGATGAAGGAGATGGGAGAGAGAGAGCAGCAGAGACAGAGGAGAAAGAGGAGGCAGAGGAAGGGGATGAAACTACTGCTTCCAATGATGAAATATCGGATCAAGAGGAGAGCTCCCGGTCAGTGACAGAGAATGCCGAAGCGCAAACAGAAGAGACAACGGAATTTTCTGAAGCGGAATCGGAAAGAAGTGAAAAAGAAGAAACAGGTTTAAAAGACGAGTCCAGCTTGAATAGTGATCAAGGCGAAACTAAAGAAAACGATAACGATTTTGAAGAAATTGAAAGAACAGAAGAAACTGCAGAACAAGATCCTGAAATAAGCCAAGATGCTGAAAAAAGCCAAGATGCTGAAAAAAGCCAAGATGCTGAAAAAAGCCAAGATGCTGAAAAAAGCCAAGATGCTGAAAAAAGCCAAGATGCTGAAAAAAGCCAAGATGCTGAAAAAAGCCAAGATGCTGAAAAAAGCCAAGATGCTGAAAAAAGCCAAGATGCTGAAAAAAGCCAAGATGCTAAAATAAGCCAAGATGCTGAAAAAAGCCAAGATGCTGAAAAAAGCCAAGATGCTGAAAAAAGCCAAGATGCTGAAAAAAGCCAAGATGCTGAAAAAAGCCAAGATGCTGAAAAAAGCCAAGATGCTAAAATAAGCCAAGATGCTGAAAAAAAACAAGCAGCAGCTGAGGGGACAACAGAAGCCATAAATCCTGACACAAAATCTCTGAAGTCTTTTCCTGTTACATTTCAGTCTGCACTGCCCGAAGAGGTTAATGTAGATCTCATCACACGAGGCGAGGATGCTCCAGCCGAGGATGCTGAGCGAGCCATGGCTGTGGAAGAGTCCCAACTCTCCCCAGTCGCTGTGGCTGCTCCGGCCGCGTTACTTGCTGAGTATGCTATAGGCCTGCTGGAGGATGAATCTTCTCTCTCTGTGGCATCCAACACTCCTCCAGATGCACCGGATTCACCTCATTCCCCAGCTGAGGTTCCATTAGACGAGACCTTGGATGGGTTAATTGATGGACCTCTCTCAGACGTTGTTCTCAAGGTCAGTAAACCCTATTCCTTAAACTCATTACCAGGCCCCAGTCCAGTTGAGAGAGATGTTGACTTGTATGCTGCAAGTGACACTGTAGAAAGTGCTGTCTCGTCACCAATAGATTATGTGAAGGAAGTTGAGGCATCTCATGTGTTCCCGTTAATTGAAGTGAATGATTCTCCTGCTCATTTAGAGATAAGAAGTGTTGACGATGCTCTGGACCAGGGCTCTGCACAAGTACCGGCTCCAGGTATTTCCGAAGTTGCCAATGAAAATGTTAATGGAGTTTTGTTGGAGGTAGCAACTCCACTCCTGCCTTCTGCTGGTCAACAAGCTGAGGTATTGACCTCTCTAAGCCCTGTTACCAGAACCGGGCTGTCGCCACCGGTGCTAGCAGTTTCACTCCTTGAAATGTCATCTGATACCTTAGAAAATCTGGCAAAACCTGAAAGGGAAATTGCCGAGTTATCTCCTGAAGTACAAGTTGATCCCTCACCACTGTCTCTTAACGCCCTCACTTTGTCTGATGACACCAACCCTGATGCTTCCATTACCCCAGCGTCAACCATCGTTGAACCACACAGCAAAACTGAAAATTCTGTTGTATCCGTCAGGAAAGTGGACACAACTACACCGGTCCAAGTTTCCAGCGATGATCCAGAACCACATGCGACACTCGCGATTGTTCTGGAACCTGACTCTGCAGAAGTGATCCCAGCTTCAGTAAGATATGAGAACTCTTACAATTTCGGTCGAATGATGGACAGCATAAACGTCCATGTGCAAGTTCCAGAGATCAACCCTTTCAACGCTATACTTTATGCAGTAGAAATCGTTGACCTTGACGATCCAGAAGCTGTTCAGTCACCAGACCAAGTGAATGAATCTTCCACTTCAGAAACAGAGTTGCTGGTCGACACAAAGATCCTTACCCCAGCTTTCCAAACTAAATTTAATGATAATTTCAAACTATCAAACCCCGAAAAGCAAAAGACTTTCGTTCCTCTTTCAGAGCCGGTACCTTATCTCGCCAGACCATCACAAGCGAAGGTTCGCCCATCAGCTTCAATGGACGATGAAACTTCAGATTCACAAAATTTAGTCCCTGTTAACCCTGCCACGTCTGACCTAACCCTCTCGGCTCCAGGTCAAGACGAATCAAATCCCCTCCCGCAATCCGACAATGCTCCCAAACTTGCCCAAACAGAACCTGCACTAGTTCCCTCTTTCATACCTCCTGTTACAGCTCGTGATATCATGCAGCTGTCAGTCGGCCCTTTCCTCACAGGAAGGGATGTCATACTGCTCTCTGTTGAGGAGGTACCACAGATGCCTGAAACTGATCCAGAAGAATCCGACTTAGCAACGAGAGAGATTCCCTCTCCCGCTCCAAGTGTTGCTGATACAGACGTGACTCTAATTCCTGTTCAGGAAGTTTCCGAGGCTTCATCCTTCTATACGGGACGAGCTTCTGAGAAGATGATAAGCTCTACACTTCTTCCGCCCTTACTGAAGCCCTCAGCCTTGCTATCAAATAATATCAATGGTTAGCTTTAGTTATGTGTGTGTGTGTGTGTGTGTGTGTGTGTGTGTGTGTGTGTGTGTGTGTGTGTGTGTGTGTGTGTGTGTGTGCTGTAGTTTGACCTTCCCTTCATGTTCAGCTGTATTATTCTCATGAACTGCAAGGCTTCACATGCTATACACTGCCGATAAGGTCAGTTGTTGATCTGTCACATTCTTGTTCATGTTGAATGTCTTTAGTACAAATCGGACTCAAAATGTTCCCGGAGCTATAGTGGTCACTGATAGTTATATCTTACAGTATCTGACCCATAGATGTTACTGTTATTCTTGTGGTGTGTCTGTGGCACATTACTCTTGTGATGTGTCTGTGACACATCACTGTTGCGATGTGTCTGTAGCACATCACTCTTGTGTTGTGTCTGTTATTATGTCTTTCTTACACAAACAAGTATGCATTACATTGTATGTTAGTGTTAAGTATCATACATTTTGCATTTTTGTATTTTAATCTTGAATAAAGCTTTATATGACTGTCTTATCTTTCATCTTATCAACTAAGATTTGTATTGTGACAAAAATGTTATGTGTATATCATGATACAGTTATATAATGAAAACTCAACTCGTCCTCCTAATAGAACGTCACATTCTGACGTCTACTCCACCTACGGCCAAAAATGGTCGTACTAGAAAATGGTAGCGGCTCGCGAAATTGACAAACTATTCCGTTTTCTGTTATGGGTCCTCTGGTAGGTTAGGATAAGGGCGTTTTAGTACGACAGCTTCTTGACGTTGGGAAATCTTAGGCAGTCGGGCTGTGAAATCTATAAAAACTGGCAATAACTTATATTTCGACACACCCAACTTCTTGTACTGGTCAAGTCCAACCGACGAGTCCAAGAAGTCCAAACATAAATTAAGTCTTTCATTCACCTTCACTGTTCGTTAACGATAACGATAATATTACCTCTGCAGCAAGGTGAGCACAGGTAGGCGGGTACGTATACACTTCCCTGGACGGGCCAAACCGGCTTGACTGGAGAACAGAAACACCAGGAAAGAAAAACAACGCCCAAAACCGCTCACCTCAGACTGCAAATATCAGCTAACATTACTGAACGACAGCGTCACACCTTCACCACCTCCACCTCCTCCTCCGTGTAAAAACCCGCTTGGAAGACTGAAGCCGTGAGAGGTGGAGGCTCCCAGCGACCCTCCCTTGGTGAGGGGGGTACCTGGGGATCCTCCCCTGGTGAGGGGGTACCTGGGGATCCTCCCTTGGTGAGGGGGTACCTGGGGATCCTCCCTTGGTGAGGGGGTACCTGGGATCGTCACCTGGTGAGGGGGTACCTGGGATCGTCCCCTGCTAAGGGGGTACCTGGGGATCTTTCCCTGGTGAGGGGGTACCTGGGGATCCTCCCCTGATGAGTAAGGGGTGCGGGGTACCTGCGCCACACCCAGAGTAATAGCCTACCAATACTTACCTATCAATATCTATGAGGCGTGAGCTCTAGCTCCAGATGCCCCGCCTACAAGCCTTCTCGTACCTGTTGCTCGAAATCTTTGTCGGGTCTACCCATAAAGTTGTGGATGGAGGTGGCTTCCACACCTTCCTTCCCAGCGCACTCCACCAGCCGTATAATGGTTCGAATATTTCCTTCCACTCCTTCCACAATCTGGGTGTCCAGCTTCCACTTACGTCCTCTCGTCCTACTCTGTCTCTCAGTTTAAAGAGGCTGTCCTTGTCCACCTCGTCTATTCCCTGCACTAATCACCACTAGCATGAAATTCTCAACTCGTTTAGCAAAATATAAAACAAACAAGTCACTTGTTTACTACAAGACAGCTTCCAAACAAGTCAAATAAAGCCAGATAAGGCTGAACAACACAACCTGCGAAAAGAATAAAGATGAATGGGACACGATATATTAAATTTGTAGCTGTATCGCAAGAGACAAAGTGATTTGGATGAGAAACAAAGGAACGAGAGAAGATGGATGGATACTTAACACTCAGATGAGACACAGGGACATAGGTTATGCAGAGTGAGAGCGGTGAGAACTGGAAGATGCTGAGGATATCACTAGATATGATAAGTAGATATGATAAGAACAGGAGTCAAGAGAGTGAGAAGTCAACGATGCATCAGATGATCGATGGCAACAATAGCGGGGGCCCCCAAGAGAGGAAATGTTTCCATGTAAACACAGCTAAATAAGTATACATAAACATACATGCATCCGCTTAGCATGCATAATTAGCAAAATTGAATGACCAAGTCACCAGTATAAAATTTACTATAGAGACTGTAATTGATAAATGTCTGCCATTTTTTTTATAACCGAATTTCATTGGGAAGATTTTTTTTAGGTTTAAGTGTCTTACAATGCCTACGGAACAATGTTCATTATTCTCTGGGCATAGATATAATGTTAAACAATATCCCTTTATTTTACGGCTTCACTACATACTCATTTTACTATAAATCTTCATCACGATAACCATCTTCACTACTCACTATAACTGGAACTCGCATGTTCATTGCTTTCGAGTAAATCTGAAAAATGCGCAGCAAACTCTTCGGAAATCACATCATCGATTTCATTTCAGACTTCATGAAAATCGCATAGGAATGTGGGGGGAGGGGGATGGTGAGAGCTAGAGATTCAACTGTCTTAAAGTATTTAACTTATATCAACCACGACCATCCTATGTCCATCCCGTACACCAGACCATTTCCCCTACAAAGTTGAATGAGGTTTTCACCCAAGCGTCTGGCTTTGACAGTATAGGTTAAGGAGTAGCTGGTGGCGTGTGTAGGTGGGTAGGGGAAGGGGCAAGGGAAGAATTGACTGAAGGAGTTCGTCGTCCTCTCCAGTTGACACGTCACAAAAAAGATGCACTAAATGGCCTGAACGTAACCTAACTGATGGATCTACGATTAGAAAACGTCAAAGCCCGTCTATTTGGCGAGCCTCTGTGATTTAGTACATCATATTTTGACGTTGGAGACTTTTATATCAAAATATGATGAATCACTGGAGAAGACTGATTGGAAGATAAGATAAGCTTAGCACACTGTCATCTGTCCTGTCAGCGCTCACAACACTCGCAACTTATTCACTCGTGCTTATATCTCCTCATCCAGTGACGAGCCTGCCCGTCCTCCTACGATTTCCCAAGAAAACGGTCAATGTAAAGTGCCCTCTCCTAACCTACCAGAGGACCAAAAACAGAAAACAGGACAGTACGTCACTTTCGCGAGCCACTTCCATGTTCTAGTACGACGATTAGTACGTACGGCCAAGTACGGCGTACAAGTACGGCCTTGTGTAACGCATACGAGGGAAAAGCGACGTTGTTTGTAAGAGGACAGGTTGACCCGCTACTTGACAAATCTCAAGGTAATAATAATGATGTAATCCCCACTTCTGATAGCGTAATGTCCCGTTGTTATGGTGTAATACCTACCCGCCAAACACACACCGAAACTACGACGTTGGTACAACGTTCGAACAAGTTTTAACACCTCCTAACCAGTTATAACAACCAATATAGCAAGTTGTAACAACGTTCAAATACGTCATAAACACGTTAAGCCAAGATGTAACAACTTTATTATAAGTTGTAACAAGCGGAAAATAGAGACAGTTTCGGTTTGTGTTTCCAGGGTACTTCCAATAAGGTAATGATCCCTTTTGATGTGGTAATACCCCCCCCCCCCCCTTGTGATAGAGTAGTTCCCCCTTGAGAAGGTGTAATGCCTCCTGGTGATGCAAGAAGGATCTTGAGATTGCTTGAAGGAGGGAACACCAGCGACGCCCACAGCTGAGCGAGGAGGGCGGGAAGCACCAGCAGCGCCCACAGCTGAGCGAGGAGGGCGGGAAGCACCAGCAGCGCCCACAGCTGAGCGAGGAGGGCGGGAAGCACCAGCAGCGCCCACAGCTGAGCGAGGAGGGCGGGAAGCACCAGCAGCGCCCACAGCTGAGCGAGGAGGGCGGGAAGCACCAGCAGCGCCCACAGCTGAGCGAGGAGGGCGGGAAGCACCAGCGGCGCCCACAGCTGAGCGAGGAGGGCGGGAAGCACCAGCAGCGCCCACAGCTGAGCCAGGAGGGCGGGAAGCACCAGCGACGCCCACAGCTGAGCGAGGAGGGCGGGAAGCACCAGCAGCGCCCACAGCTGAGCGAGGAGGGCGGGAAGCACCAGCAGCGCCCACAGCTGAGCGAGGAGGGCGGGAAGCACCAGCAGCGCCCACAGCTGAGCGAGGAGGGCGGGAAGCACCAGCAGCGCCCACAGCTGAGCGAGGAGGGCGGGAAGCACCAGGTCAAGGTATGTACGGACACAGGAGGCGGCAATCCGCACTCTTTCCCAAGACTATCTTCTCAGTCGAGTAACATTCAGTGCTGGAAGGAAATAACTTTTGTATAGTGTCCTTATTACATTAATGGTGATAATGGGCTGGTGGTGAGGGTGATGAGGGCTGTGGGCTATTGACGCGCTAGCCTCCTGTGATGGGGTAGCGTCTAGTGATAGGGTAGCGTCTAGTGATAGGGTAGTGTCTGGTGATAGGCTAGCGTCTAGTGATAGGGTAGTGTCTGGTGATAGGCTAGCGTCTAGTGATAGGCTAGTGTCTAGTGATAGGGCAGTGTCTGGTGATAGGCTAGCGTCTAGTGATAGGCTAGTGTCTAGTGATAGGGTAGTGTCTGGTGATGGGGTAGCTGCTGGTGGTGAGTGTGGTACTGTAACTGGCAGTAAACGCCTTGTAACAAGGCTAGAAACATAATTAGTTTAATAATTAAACCGCGGCTTACTGAGAGTGGTGTTGGAGGCGTCTTGACGAGAGGTGCCTGGTGAGGTTAGCCCTCTATTATTGTTGACGATGGCTAATGTTAAAGGTGTTTTAAATCAGGTGATGATGGGGTTCATGGGGAAGGTAATGGGTTAACTATTATAGTGATGCGTCGATGTCCTCCTGTCTTTGAATAATGGGGAGTGAGTTCTTGCTGTTTTGACCCGTCTCGGAGCCTTTTGTGCCTGGTACGTCTATTAACAATTTCGACGTTCGAGGTTTTTGTCGTATATATGAAACTGCGGTGGAGGTGGCTTCCATAACTTCTTTTACAACGTTCTACTTGATATTCTTTCGGCATGAGTGTGTACTCACCTAGTTGTGCTTGCGGGGGTTGAGCTCTGGCTCTTTGGTCCCGCCTCTCAACCGTCAATCAACTGGTGTACAGATTCCTGAGCCTACTGGGCTCTATCATATTTACATTTGAAACTGTGTATGGAGTCAGCCTCCACCACATCACTTCCTAACACTTTTTAATTTATTTATATGTACAAGAGTTCTTAATTCTTGTACAGCACACTTCACACATACATGTGTGTGTGTGTGTGTGTGTGTGTGTGTGTGTGTGTGTGTGTGTGTGTGTACTTATCTAGTTATGCTTGCGGGAGTTGAGCTCTGGCTCTGTGGTCCCGCCTCTCAACTGTCAATCAACTTATGTACAGGTTCCTGAGCCTACTGGGCTCTATCATATCTACACTTGAAACTGTGTATGGAGTCAGCCTCCACCACATCATTTCCTAATGCATTCCATTTGTTTACTACTCTAGCGTGTGTGTGTGTGCGTGTGCGTGTGTGTGTGTGTGTGTGTGTGTGTGTGTGTGTGTGTGTGTGTGTGTGTGTATTCACCTATTTGTGCTTGCAGGATCGAGCATCGACTCTTGGATCCCAACTTTCTAGCCATCGGTTGTTTACAGCAATGACCCCGGTCCCATTTCCCTATCATATCTAGTTTTAAAAATTATGAATAGAGTTTGCTTCCACAACCTGCTCCTTAAGTGCATTCCATTTTTCCACTACTTTCACGCTTAAAGAAAACTTCCTAACATCTCTGTGACTCATCTGAGTTTCCAGCTTCCAACCATTGTGTGTGTGTGTGTGTTTACTAGTAGTGTTTACTAGTTGTGTTTTTGCGGGGGTTGAGCTTTGCTCTTTCGGCCCGCCTCTCAACTGTCAATCAACTGTTTACTAACTACTTTTTTTTTTTTTTTTTTTGCCACACCACACACACACACCCCAGGAAGCAGCCCGTGACAGCTGACTAACTCCCAGGTACCTATTTACTGCTAGGTAACAGGGGCACTTAGGGTGAAAGAAACTTTGCCCATTTGTTTCTGCCTCGTGCGGGAATCGAACCCGCGCCACAGAATTACGAGTCCTGCGCGCTATCCACCAGGCTACGAGGCCCCTGTGTGTACTCACCTAATTGTGCTTGTGGGGGTTGAGCTCTGGCTCTTTGGTCCCGCCTCTCAACTGTCAATCAACTGGTGTACAGATTCCTGAGCCTACTGGGCTCTATCATATCTACATTTGAAACTGTGTATGGAGTCAGCCTCCACCACATCACTTCCTAATGCATTCCATTTACTAACTACTCTGACACTGAAAAAGTTCTTTCTAACGTCTCTGTGGCTCATTTGGGTACTCAGCTTCCACCTGTGTCCCCTTGTTCGCGTCCCACCAGTGTTGAATAGTTCATCCTTGTTTACCCGGTCCTGTGTGTGTGTGTGTGTGTGTGTGTGTGTGTGTGTGTGTGTGTGTGTGTGTGTGTGTGTGTGTGTGTGTGTGTGTGTGTGTGTGTGCGTACGTGCTCATATGCGCGGGCGTTCATGTGTGTGTGCGCACGCGCATCTGCGCATGCGAAGGATAATAAAAGATAACAAGGGCCAGCTTGCGTGTTGTGTAGCACCTGTGTTATATTGCAGTCATTTGCCTCGTACACGCCAGCCCTCTCACCTATCTTTACGCGTCGACGTTATCTTTATGCTTTCTGAACGCTGAAACCGAAGAAAATATATATATTTTTCAGGTTATTTATGTTTAGAAGTACGTAAAAGTTCCGAACTACTCGCTTGGTTGACCAAAAATCTGAAAAAAACGTGTCTAGGATAGCCTCCCCTGCGTCCTGCCTCACAGAGCACCACACACGGCACTTACTACCCATAACTAAAGTAAATTACAACCCAAGTGAACACTTATCCGTGCCTTCATATCCCCATTTGAATTCGTGACAATGTTGATTTAACATGTTAACAATTTTCATAGCTTTCACACAGCTTGTTAAGAGTTTGACACTGTGATGAAAAGAGTCGTCTGAATCTGTGTTTGAACGACAGAAGTGATGGTGTGTTTTCAAGATTGACAGTAAGTTCACGAGCAAATTAACAGGAATACACACAGCCATCAGTTCGAATCCTCGACACGACTCCTACTGGTTTTCTCATTGATAAATCACGTTAATGTGACCTCTCTCTGTGCAGCAAGTTCGCTTCAATATGGTAACATTTCTAGAGTGGATAGCAACTGTTGTGGTGTTGTTGGAGGAGGCAGAGTGTGTTGTGGTGTTGTTGGAAGAGGCAGAGTGTGTTGTGGTGTTGTTGGAGGAGGTAGAGTGTGTTGTGGTGTTGTGGGAGGAGGCAGAGTGTGTTGTGGTGTTGTGGGAGGAGGCAGAGTGTGTTGTGGTGTTGTTGGAGGAGGCAGAGTGTGTTGTGGTGTGGTAGGAGGAGGCAGAGTGTGTTGTGGTGTTGTTGGAGGAGACAGAGTGTGTTGTGGTGTTGTTGGAGGAGGCAGAGTGTGTTGTGGTGTTGTAGGAGGAGGCAGAGTGTGTTGTGGTGTTGTTGGAGGAGGCAGAGTGTGTTGTGGTGTTGTTGGAGGAGGCAGAGTGTGTTGTGGTGTTGTTGGAGGAGGCAGAGTGTGTTGTGGTGTTGTTGGAGGAGGCAGAGTGTGTTGTGGTGTTGCAGGGAGAGTGAGAGTAACAATGTGTATGGTGTTGTAGGGAGAGTGAGAGTAACAATGTGTATGGTGTTGTAGGGAGAGTGAGAGTGCAAGACAGCAACATGGAGGGGTCACGACGCTGTCACCTTCTGCGACAACTTCCAAGAAAATTTCGACGCATCTTGTTGCTCCTGCTCTTCCTTGCTGCATACATCAGCGTCCCCATCAGGTGAGTCTTGATTCATCACCCATTAGACAGGTCTTGATTCATCACCCATTAGACAGGTCTTGCTTCATCACCCATTAGACAGGTCTTGCTTCATCACCCATTAGACAGGTCTTGCTTCATCACCCATTAGACAGGTCCTGACTCATCATCCATTAAACAGGTCTTGATTCATCACCCATTAGACAGGTCTTGATTCATCACCCATTAGACAGGTCTTGATTCATCACCCATTAGACAGGTCTTGCTTCATCACCCATTAGACAGGTCTTGCTTCATCACCCATTAGACAGGTCCTGACTCATCATCCATTAAACAGGTCTTGATTCAACACCCATTAGACAGGTCTTGACTCATCACCCATTAGACAGGTCTTGCTTCAACACCCATTAGACAGGTCCTGACTCATCATCCATTAAACAGGTCTTGATTCAACACCCATTAGACAGGTCTTGACTCATCACCCATTAGACAGGTCTTGCTTCATCACCCATTAAACAGGTCACGACATAGACAGGCACGACTTTGTCCTTCTAAATCCATGGTGCGCTTGTTAAAAATTATATTCTCTCCAAGTGCTCCACTATTCTCAACCTGATTACTCTCTCCAGCACTTTCCATGCTATACTTGTCAGTGACATTGGTCTGTTGTTTAGTGTTTCGTCTCTTCCCCTTCTGTTTTTTCCATATCTGCAATGATGTCTGCTTGTACAGAATTTTGGGAGATTTCCTATCTGCAGAATTGTATTGAAAACATCAGTCAGTGTGCAGTCGAGTACAGCCTCTGCAGCCTCTTTCAGTAGCCATGGTGATATGTCAGTATGTGTCACATGTGTCTGAATGTATCACCTGAGTCTACATATATCACCTGTGTCACTATGTATCACATATGTTTTACATGTTAGTATGCATTACCTGTCAGTTTTTCCTGGCTGTTAATGAAATATTATATATATATATATATATATATATATATATATATATATATATATATATATATATATATATATATATATATATATATTAGTATATTTTGGTAGCAGTCTTTCCTGTAGACATATATTATTAAATATGACCGAAAAAGTAAGATTAATAATTCTAACACGAATTTTCTCAATGTTTCTTATATTTTTCTTCACTGTTGATGGTAACTGAAAAATCAATTCTCCAAAATTAATTTTTATTTCTAGTCTGACGCGACACTTGAGCGCGTTTCGTAAAACTTATTACATTTTCAAAGACTTGTTTTACTGCCGCAGCTTCCAGGGAGAGAAGTCAGTGTCACTGGAGGCTGGAGAGAGACTCCTCACGGCTGTGTACCAAACCTCTCGCCTCGAGACCATCATGCCGCCCTCAAGGTACTGCCTGCCTCTTACACGTTGTTTCTTGTTGATGAACAACGTGTGTGTGTGTTTCCCAAAAATCAATATAGATCAGCCCTGATGCATTATACAAATTCTATGAAATTTGCTCAACATTACCCTTACATCTAGCATGAACGTATTAATTTTTTGTTTGTGGATTACGTCTTTTTCAGATTGTCCATCTCCGCTTTACATTTAAGCGAGTTGTACTTGGATCCAGCGATGGACATGACTGGGAAAGAAGAGATGGAGGAGGTCCTGGACACACTGCCTAACCTGCCCTTCAGCTACCGTGAAAGGAATGACCCTCACTTTGGATCAGGCAACACTAATTGTAGTAAATACCCTGAACTATTTGATATTCACTTTAACAGTATTTACTGGCAGGTCCTTCAGACCAGCAATGGCAGTTTTTACATGTACAGCGCCTTTTACGACAACCGCACTCTGAGTAAACACTCACCTTCTCTTAGAATTCTTGCCATGATTAATCGCATTGAACCATCCGTGAAGACCAAATGCAAGATCTGGTTTAATGACAAAAGCTCCCCAGTCATTGTAAATGTTTCAGAGTACAGATATATATGGTACAAGGAATGGGGTAATTACAAACAGGGTATATTACAGCCATACCTGCTTGAGTGTATTGTACCAGCTGAACACAGACAGCTGGTGCCTCAGTCAGTGTCGCTGGTGGAGCAGCCCTGCGACAAGCCAACCAACAACCTTCGGGTCATTAACAACCAACCGCAAAATGGGCAGAAAAAGAATTTTGCTGTGTGCGTCAAAGGGCTAGACTTTTACATAGATAAAACCGTGCGTATTGTGGAGTGGTTAGAACTGCTCTTCCTTCTCGGTGCTGACAAAGTGTTCCTCTACAACATGGGACTACAACCTAGTATTAACAAAGTTCTTAAATACTATGAACGTTTAGGACTGGTAGATATTAAGAAACTTTCATTGCCCGGTGAACAACCAAATGAGCGCAACTTGCTACATAAGTACCTGAAAAATAAGGCATCACACAAACGCCAGAACGAAATAATACCATATAATGACTGTTTTTACAGAAACATGAACCATTACAAGTATATAGTTTTATTAGACACAGATGAAGTCATCGTGCCCAAGACAGCAAGAGACTGGAGGTCGCTTCTTGATCAAGTGGTCGCAGAAGTGAAGGAGGCACGAAACCGCACTCTGGTATCTTACTGCGCTCGCAATGCATACTTTCTGGATTCCATGCAGGAAGCTCATGGCTATTTCTATAATATACCGCCCTACATGCACCTGATGCAACATGTCTATCGCGCCGCCAACTACACCAAGCCCGGCTACTTCGTCAAGTGTTTCCATGATCCTCAGCGCGTCCTCACTCTCCACAACCACTTGCCTGTGTCCTGTCTGACCCACTGCAATATCCTGGATATGCCCACTGACTATGCCCAGCTCCAGCACTATCGCAAGGACTGCGACAGCAGCTTAAAGAAGTCGTGTGTGTATTTCAAGAATCATACGGTTCTCGACCGAACACTCTGGAGATACAAGGAACCTTTGATCAGAAACACACTTTACGCTTTGCGTCAACTCATTTTCTGGAAGTAGTGACTATCAAAGAGGAGTAATTTATTGTTAATACCTCCCCATCCCCCCCCCCCCCCCACACACACACCGTTTATTGCATATGGGAGGTGGCCTGTTTCATTACACATGGGTGACTGCACTCACATTCCGCTCTCCTCCGGTACAGTTCCTCACGGCACTCCACTGAAGTTGTCGCCATCGGGAAGCGTGATGGGACCTCCGGCTCTTCTAGGTACTAGAGTGCCGCCACTATTAAGCATGATTCCGCCAGGTTCGTCCTTTGGTGGGTCCATTCCACGCTCCGCCTCTCCCGCCCTCCCGAGAGAGGGAGGTTCGAAATCGTGCAGGTGTGTGTATCTCCTTACTTAGACTGACCTCTGACCATCCTAGTGCCAGTTAAAGCTTTCAGGCATAATCCCCAGGACGTGGCCTCGCTCTACTGGCCGATCTACCAAGAAAGGAACCATTTGTCGGACCTGCCATTCCTCCCGTACTGAGCAGGACTAAAGTCGCAACGACACAGTTCAGCAATAGGATAAAATAAGTCTCGCTATGGTCTAATTCCAGTTCACGTTCTCTAGTGATGGGCGAGCTATCCAACGCTTGGTGAATTATGTTTCACAATGATAGGAAGAGCAGATACCGAAGGATCAGAAAGCGACGCCGCTACGTAGGAAAGCTTGGCCGCCTGTTGGAAACCTATTCCTGGCGTCTGCTGCTCGCCTCGCACAGTCAGTCCTCGCCACTGGCAGACAACATTGCTCCCTCACATAGATATTGGGAAATACCTTATTTCCTGTTGTGATACGCCTTATCAAACAGCACAGGAAGACTCTAAGGTAACCAGAGATGCAGCAAGAAGGCGCTTGCTGGGGCTGAACACGAAGGCAGTGAACCATTGAAGCCACTGGCCACTTGCACCTGCATTGGACGAGAAACGTTGGAGCACAACTGCTGGACCATTAGCCAGAGTGCATGGGGGACAATGCTTAAAACCCTGATTGGGCTTCAGTTGTAAGCCTCAGGAATCCTAGAGGTTCAGTGGTATCCCAGGTGGCTTTGTTTTTGGATCATGTCGCGATGTGGTGGTCTGGGGTGCTAGCTTGGGAGTTGCAAGTGAGTGGCTTCGAATTCTCCTCATGGCTCCGACTGATTTTTTCAAGAGATACAGTGTTGTGTGCGTGTGAAAGATGCGTGTGACGGGATAGTGTTCGTGTCGGTAAAGGTTTTTGAGCCAAGTTGGCGAGTGGTGCTGTAAGCGGGTACAGGTGTCTCCGTCAGGCCCCGCGGCACTCTGACCCGCGGCACTCTGTCCCGCGGCACTATGCCCTCTGGTGCGAGTCGGTAAAACAAATGGAGCAATAATTCATATGAGGCAGCCATCATAACGCTGCCTCATAACAAGAACGTGCATAAACACACATACATGTATAAACATCAATGGATCCCGGTAGGGTTCCTTCTCGACTCACAATCGAGCATTCAGAGTTCGAATGCCGGGCGGGACAGAAATGGTTGGGCGCATTTTCAATCACCTATTGCCCCTGTCCACCTAGCAGTAAATAGATACCCAGGAGTTAGACAATTGAACTGCATTATGGAGATGTGTGACTATGAGCGCAATATATAGATAATGTGATAAATAAATTCGGCCTGAAATCAGTACATTATTAAGCCAATGGTAGGAAAAGGCGGGGTCCAGGAGCCAATAGCTTGATCCTGCAGGCACAAATAGGTGAATACACACACATACATTAAAACACATATACAGAGGTTTCAAATGAATGGCAACATATCCGAACCAGTTACCCAGTCTGGGAATCCAACTCAGCACCAATTAAGTGAGCCGACTTGGTCCGGGTTGAATCCCAAACCAAGTGACCAAGCAGCCCGTCCTCCAAACAAAGACCCAAAAGTGATTCTCCAGCCTCTCCAGATTCTCCAGGCTGGAGACACAAAACTGTGTCCTCTGGTCCACCTCATCTGTGTCTCCAGCCTCCATCCGTGTCCTCTGGTCCACCTCATCTGTGTCACCAGACTCCACCCGTGTCCTCTGGTCCACCTCATCTGTGTCACCAGCCTCCACCCGTGTCCTCTGGTCCACCTCATCTGTGTCACCAGCCTCCACCCGTGTCCTCTGGTCCACCTCATCTGTGTCACCAGACTCCACCCGTGTCCTCTGGTCCACCTCATCTGTGTCTCCAGCCTCCACCCGTGTCCTCTGGTCCACCTCATCTGTGTCTCCAGCCTCCACCCGTGTCCTCTGGTCCACCTCATCTGTGTCACCAGCCTCCACCCGTGTCCTCTGGTCCACCTCATCTGTGTCTCCAGACTCCACCTGTGTCCTCTGGTCCACCTCATCTGTGTCTCCAGACTCCACCTGTGTCCTCTGGTCCACCTCATCTGTGTCTCCAGACTCCACCTGTGTCCTCTGGTCCACCTCATCTGTGTCTCCAGACTCCACCCGTGTCCTCTGGTCCACCTCATCTGTCACCAGCCTCCACCCGTGTCCTCTGGTCCACCTCATCTGTGTCTCCAGCCTCCACCCGTGTCCTCTGGTCCTGCCTCATCTGTGTCACCAGCCTCCACCCGTGTCCTCTGGTCCACCTCATCTGTGTCACCAGCCTCCACCCGTGTCCTCTGGTCCACCTCATCTGTGTCACCAGCCTCCACCCGTGTCCTCTGGTCCACCTCATCAGTGTCTCCAGCCTCCACCTGTGTCCTCTGGTCCACCTCATCTGTGTCTCCAGCCTCCACCTGTGTCCTCTGGTCCACCTCATCTGTCTCCAGCCTCCACCCGTGTCTTCTGGTCTTAACGTTTCTTATTTAGAACATAGATTCCTGATCCGGCCTCTCAGTGCCTACGTCCTCAACCATATATTCTATGAACCGTCGTCTGTTGACGTTGTGAGGCGGTGCTCGCTCAGCCTGTAACTATATGGGCCAATTTCCTTAGCTCATCAACAAATCTAGTCGTGTATCACTTTACTTGATCTAGTTTTTCTCCATGCTTTATTCAGTTGTGGTTTCATCAGTGAAGCATACTGTAGAATGTGTGTGTGTGTGTGTGTGTGTGTGTGTGTGTGTGTGTGTGTGTGTGTGTGTGTGTGTGTGTGTGTGTGTGTGTGTGTGTGTGTACGCAAATAGATCTCTATTTGTTTATGTTCCTCGCACCCTTTGAACTTAGAAGTAAAATGAGAAATGCTGCTCTCGGAGAGATAATTTTTCACTACCACATGTCAACGTGGATGATTACACACACACAAAAGCCACACTCACACACACACAAAAGCCACACACACATACATCATATATATATATATATATATATATATATATATATATATATATATATATATATATATATATATATATATATTCAGTGAGGATCCACAAGGTCTTCTCTGAGTACTCATTATTTTCTTCTCCGAGGCTATGGGTCCCAACACTTGCACCAGAGGTAGTACCCCTTTTAGGTATTAAAAAATATATATATGTTGTTAAATATGACCGAAAAAGTAAGATTAATAATTCTAACACGAATTTTCTCAATATTTCTTATGTTTCTTTTTACTGTCGATGGTAATTGAAAAATCAATTCTGCAAAATTCATTTTTATTTCTAGTCTGACGCGACGCTTGAACGCGTTTCGTAATAACTTATTACATTTTCAAAGACTTTAGTTTACACACACAACTGTAACCAGAAAACACTAAGCAGTTTTACTTATGCTAACACTAAACACTAGATACAGCGATAGCAGGCGGCTCGACATCTGCGAGGCACTACACATCAAAAAGTCAACACCAGCAATCAACAGCCAATTAATGCACAACTATGTTCTACCCACTTCAAGACTCCGTACCAATATAGAAGCATCAAGAGGAAGTATGAGTTAATAGGCCCTTTGCAGTTACTTCCATTCTTCCCTCTCATTTATCCAATTAATACCCATTGTTCCGTGTTCTGTCTTGTGTTGGTCAAAAGTTTGTTCACCTCATCCAAAACTGTTGCAACATATCACCTCACCCAAATGCGGGTATATAAGACAAGCTGTTTAGTGTTAGCATAAGTAAAACTCTGTTTAGTGTTTTCAGGTTACATTTGTGTGTGTGTAAACTAAAGTCTTTGAAAATGTAATAAGTTATTACGAAACGCGTTCAAGCGTCGCGTCAGACTAGAAATAAAAATGAATTTTGAAGAATTGATTTTTCAATTACCATCGACAGTAAAAAGAAACATAAGAAATATTGAGAAAATTCGTGTTAGAATTATTAATCTTACTTTTTCGGTCATATTTAACAACATATGTTTACAAGAAAGACTGCTACCAAAATTTACTTATATATATATATATATATATATATATATATATATATATATATATATATATATATATATATATATATATATATATATATATATATATATATATATATATATATATATATATATATATATATATATATATATATATATATATATATATATATATATATATATATATATATATATATATATATATATATATATATATATATATTTATATTATATATATACACACGACATGTTTTCCAATATGGCAGCCTATCACTTTGGCCGTAACAATACAAAACTTCTACTTCTCAAAATCAGCAGACTTCTAGATGTTACTACTGTTCGGCCTGTTCACCACTGCCCACTGGATAGGGGCGGTGTCCAGGACAAACATATCAATTGTGACACTAGCTCTCCACATATGTCAGTTGCTTAATTTAGAAACTGTACTTGAGGTTGGTCTCAAACCCATTGATGATGTGACGACTTATACTGAATTTTGTAACTAGCTTATCAAGATTGTAACTTGTTTAGCTAAATGAATTGTGGAGTTCAGTCCCTAAGCCCATTTTGTGCCTCTGTAACCCTTTCCACTACCGCCCACAAGATGGGTATGGGGTGCATAATAAATGAACTAAACTAAAAACTAAACTCTACAACGGAGCAGCAGTTTCCGCCTTGTTCCTGTGTCCACAAGGCTCTGCCAATCCCTGTGGGAACAATTCGCCCTCAGCCTACGATTCAAAACATTACAAACACTCTCCGTGGTGTAGTGGTAAGACACCTGGCGTTCTGCGAGCGCTTTGCCATGGGTTCGTATCCTGGCCGGGGAGGATTTACTGGGCACAAATCCTTAACTGTAGCCTCTGTTTAACTCGACAGTAAAATGGGTACTTGGTTGTAACAACGATTCTTCGTGGGGGTCGTATTCCAGGGACCTGCCCGAAACGCTACGCGTACTAGTGGCTGTACAAGAATGTAACAACTCTTGTATATATCTAAAAAAAAAAAATAGTAATCAACCACAAAATAATATATTCACGTTATATATAGCTGACCAAAACGCCACTCATAATAACATAATTATAATTCAATTATCTGACAATACCTCAAACTGGTCAATAACAGAAGAAACGTAAATAGTACACACACTCCTAGCAACACATACATACAGGTGATGTGACTGACAGATCAGATCGCATGATATAACATGAATGTTCCAGCCGTTCAGCACTTGTGCGGCCAACTCTGGCCCCCACACCCGCATAACGAACAAGCCTGACTCTTCTCACATCAATAATAACTTATGCAAGCTGTGTATATATAATAACAAAAGCAAACAACTTCAAGTATAAATAGTGCACTGCTGCTTGAATGTTTCACAACATGAGCAATAATTATAACAACAGACTGAAACCATGAATCTGGAGAGCGAAATTTATATAATGCTTCATAGTTATACACAAAAAATCACACTAATTTTTAAATTTGAGTTAAAACTAACGTAGATATATGACCGAACCTAACCAACCCTACCTAACCTAACCTAGACTAACATAACTAAATCAATAATTTATATTCTTAATATAATATAAAAATAATATTTAAAATAAACCAATAGGAAACAATTTATTGAAAATAAAGAAAATCACTCGGCCTATTAGTCAAATCGGGCCTTGCATAGTAGGCCGAGAAGTGCGTTCTGGCTACTAGATACATATTATATTACATATATATATATATATAAACATACAGTATATTAATGAGAAAATCAATTGGAGCACTGTGGTGACTCGACCAGGGATCAGGGTGCTCCGAGCCACACACCTGACCCCTACACCACAACATGGTACAAGGTAAACAAGTACAACGCCCTTTGGCCGAGCCCAGATTGTTACTAGGTAACACCAGCTGCTGGCCACATTATTCCCCTTCCCCTATTCCCCCGCCTAAACTAAATCCGTTCAGACAAAAACTACTTACCTTGCCATACTGTGCCTGGCACAAGCGGTTACCTCCTTATCCATTTCAAACGGCACATCATGCACTCACATGTCAATGTCTTACTCAAATTACAGATCTTCACCTGTCCAGTCCCATGTGGTAGGGGGAACGCCTTGTTCCCCACATCTAGTCAGAAACTCCGTAAAAAAACGCCACTGGAATTGTATTTGATTTCAACACGCGCACTCGTCAACAACTGAGCACCGGGGAGTTGCTTTATGCTCGAGCGGCCAGTCTCCCTCACTACACGACGGCCCATTATGTCCAGAGACCTCTAGGCCGGCTGAATTCGACCTCTTCAACGGATAAGTAATAGTTCGCCAGGCTTCACTCTGGCGCCCGTACACCTGCGAGGCACAACACTGGGGTCCTCCTCGTGGAGTACACATGGGACCTCAATAACAAACACCAGCTGGCAACGCCGCGGCTCGTCCACGCTTGCTGGCTGGTCCCTGTACCTCTTTTTAATATGAAACATATACGTTATATCGTTTTGGCAATTAGCGCAGCAAGTGTTATCACTCTTTTGAATTTCTAAATAGGCGTAATAAGGTTAGATTCTTAGATAACACATGGGGAGATAGAAACAAATATATATATAGAGGGAGGGAAAATGGAACATTAAAAATTCCAACATTATGAAATAGTTCTATCGAGTCTAGAATTTTTAACTTTAAGATGCACATATAAATTTCGGTGGACGATAATTATTAATTGCTCAACCTACAATAATAGTGATGACGCTTCGCTCCGTCTGGGACCATTATCAAGTCGTCACGATGCCTTAATGATGACGTCATAAAGGCATAAAGGAACCTCGATAATGCTAATGATAGAAAACCGTGAGATGAACCAATATTGATTATAAAAATTTGTAATAATGCTAAACAGTCAATCTTGTAGCGTGTTGTGGGTCATGCCACATTGAAACGTTTCGATTATAAAATTACATCTTCATATGCCCAGAGATGTACGATTATTCGGGTCTCAGCTTCTCCATAGTCTTAGAAATTTATAGCACTTTAAGACATTGTGATTGTATCTTTTGAACAACGGGACTGTTGCTGTACTTCGGAGATTGAAATACACAATTTCATTACAACGCCTTAATTGGATTTTGTAGTTTAGAATTTGAGGAGACGAGTGTGAGGTTTCTCTCTACAGGAGGTGTTAAGCAGATACTCTTTTGTTATATGTGGTTGGTTAGAATATTAGGTTCCTTAGAAACGTGTATATGAAAAGTTAAATTTATAGTTTATTGATGTCAGAGCAGCTAAGCAGTTAGTGGGTCATATCTGTTCTTGAATTATGGTTGGAGGACCATAGGCTATTACAATACAGAGGGTGAGGGTAAGAATGTAATACACTAAATTTATTTAAACATGATAGAATTTATCAAGTTATGTAAAACATTGTACACATTTTGAAATTTCTGTACCCCAAGATGGTGAAGTGAGACTACCAGCTCACTTGCTCATCGCTTTAATAATAGTTTACTGACAGGTAGTTTGTTGACAGTTTCATCATACAGCTAGATCAGGTGCTTCATGGAAAATGTGAATACAATAAAAAGATTTCTTCTAATTTTTACTAATAACAACAAATCTTTCTTGGCTGAATTCAACAAGAATTCATTTAAATATGCAAGATTTTATATCTTGACTAGTCAACAATTTGGCTAGAAGGCCTGCATTGTGGAAGACCAATATGTTAAGAGGCTGCCTACATGACCCTCTTATATTGGAAGACTATAGGCTAGGAGGCCTACATGACATTTTATATTGGAAGGACTGTAGGCTAGTAGGCCTACATGACATTTTATATTGGAAGACTGTAGGCTAGTAGGCCTACATGACATTTTATATTGGAAGGACTGTAGGCTAGTAGGCCTACATGACATTTTATATTGGAAGGACTTTAGGCTAGTAGGCCTACATGACATTTTATATTGGAAGGACTGTAGGCTAGTAGGCCTACATGACCATCTTTTCCTTGAGAGGCCTATTTTCTAGGATTCTTTCAAACCCAAATCTCTCAAGGTTAATGGATTTCGATTTGCCATCTAATATGTACTCCATTGCTGCCCGACCCACGGCTATTGATTGCTGAATACCTGAGAAAAACATTTTGGAAAATTATGTGGAATTTTATGCTGATTTTAGTTTACTGTTTTATAACTATATAAAGACTTCTAAAACTATGTAAAGACTTCTATTTAAGAAATCTAAAAGACTATAGAGTTTCAAAAAAAAAACTTGTAAAAAAATGCAAAATATGTGAAACATTCACTAAAGACATGAATGTTTCGCAAATCTTTTGACAAAAATGTTGGGAAAATGCAGGTTGTGTTTTGTGCTAATTGCACAGTAAGTAAGTTGAATAAACTTCTTAGGTGGTGATGCTAGAGTAGCTAAGGCGAAGACAGTGTAGATGACAGGCGGCAGACTGGGTGACAGGTGGCAGAACTGGTGACAGATGACAGATGATGACAGGTGGCAGAGTTGATGACAGGTGCAAAGGATACGAGGACAAGGTGCAGGGATAGGATGGAGGGAGGGAATGATGCCCATTAACTTGCACCAACGGGGGATTGAACCCGATTGTGTGGATGTGTTACAATAAAAACACGTGACCCAGTAGTGCCGGTTAGGCTAAGGCAGCGGGCTAAGGATACCTGAGCGATGTGATTGAGCGACGGAGTTGAAAGAAAATACTAGTGTAATATTTTCTATATATATAGCGTTTAGAAAATGCATTCATATAATGAAGATTATGTCATCCTGAATAATATCACACAAATGTTGTTAGCCTCTTTTTTTCCTCTTTGTTTTGAGCTGGTAGAAACTTATATATATATTTTATAATTACCAGAATTTTGAATAAACCAATACTCACCGTGGCCGGTGAGTCCTGTGGCTATACACACATTGGTAAGAACCGGGTGGAAGCCAATGATGAGATTCTGGTCGAAGGTGTTGAAGTCGTAGTAGCCAGCATAGGCACTGCGGACCTGGGCAGAAGAATAGTCAAACAATACTCACTAATATGATAGGACAATTATAATATTGTGTTTTGAATACAATAATAACCACGATTTCTAGACAACCATGTATGCTTCTCAGAACCTGCTGATTCAATTCATTTTACATTTCAATTCTGTCAATAATTGGTGTGCCATTTAGATAATCTACAAAAAAAATACCTTCAAGTTTCCAAAGGCTGGTACTCTCTGAACCAGCACTGGCCATACATCTGTGTCAAAGAACTGATGGTCAACCTCCAGGTCGTCCGTGGGCGGTTCGTCGACCTCTGTCGGGGACTTGCCACATAGGTAGAGTCGCCCACTCTTGCTGCCTTCCGGTCGAAAGTACACCCCAGTGTAGTCGTTGAATATAGGACAGCCGTCCCACGGACCGTCCGGGGCATGCACACAGTAGACGTATCGTTTTCTATAATAAGAATACTACAACTACTAATATTAATACCACCACTACTACTACTAATAATACTAATAGTAAACTTATTATTATTATTATTATTTATACATGCAACTGAAAACTCACACCCCAGAAGTGACTCGAACTCATACTGCCAAGAGCACCATATCCACTCGACAATAATTATAATAATAATAATAATAATAATAAACTTATTATTATTATTATTATTAAGACACACTGGTTTAATAAGTGTTATAAAGTATGAATATGTAATAAGTCCACTAATACCCAAAGCGTTTCGGGCATAACAAATAATTCAGTAGTATATTATACAGGTATAATGAGGCAGACAATGCTAAACACGAAGTAAACTAATATAAATATAGTTCAAGAAATTTACCAAATCGTACTTGCCTGGAAGATACTTGCTTGCATACTTGCGAGACAACTGACACACAATTAGACCAATATCAAATCTACCCATACTTTCAAAAATATTTACTCACATCTCCTTAATATAATCTACACAGCCTTTGACAAAAGTGAGTTCCCAATTGGCCTCTTCATTGACCTGAGAAAGGCCTTTGATACTGTAAACCATAACTACCTCTTACTTAAACTTCACCACTGTGGTGTCCGAGGCCTTGCTCTGGTCTATATTCGTTCATATCTAGGTGACAGACACCAATATATAGCCATCTATACCCTAACCTCCCCCACTCAACCATTGGCAGTTGGGTGCCACAGGGCGGCAGCTTAGGACCTCTGCTATTTCTTATAAACATCAATGATTTGCCAAATGTTTCTAACATTCTTAAACCTATGCTATTTACTGATGATATTACCTTCATCGATTTTGACCCCAATCTTCACACACCAAATAATATTGTAAATAATGAATTAAATAAAAAAAGTCCACTCATGGATGTCAAGCAACAAATTCTCATTAAACATAGAAAAGATCTACTACATTTATTTGGTAGCAAAATTTCAAATCAAATTCAACTTCAGATAGACAATGTTAAACATTAGCAATAAAAATGAGGGCAGGTTCCTTGGCCTGTACATAGACAAGAGCCTGAACTTCAGCACCCACATTCATCACAGCCAAAAAAATCTAAAAAAAACGGTTGGTATACTCTCTAAAATCAGATAGTATGTTCCCCACTCTGCTCTCCTCTCATTATACTAGGCATTTCTCTATCCCTATCTTACATACGGTATCTGTGCATGGGGTTCAACCACTTCAAATTACCTGAAGCCCATCATCACTAACAGAACTATAACAAACTCTCTCTTCAGACAACACACAGCCCCTCTGTTTAAGTCCCTTAACATGCTAAACATACACTCACTCCACACATTTTCATGTGCTATTTACATGTACTAAAACTTGTTTCTAAATGCTAATCTTGATCTAAAACTTTTTCTTGATGGGTGTAACCCATGAGCACCACACCAGAAATACACTCTATGCAAATAAAAGGATCCAGTCTATGGAACATACTCCCTAATGAATTAAAAAATGGTCCAACCGACGCCTTATTCAAAAGTGAAACCAAAAAATACCTAATTTAACCCTCATAGCTTCCTACCTTGTGCTTCAAACTCACACTGTATCTTGTACTACCCACTTCCCCAATGTTAGTATTTAAGACATATATCTTCACCAGTGTAATCACCTCTCTCAATTTATATTGTAGTTATATGTCGATATAAAATTTTGCTATAATGTACTTATTCATCTTACCTGATATGTTAGATTAAGGACCTGCCCGAAGCGCTATGCAAGAATATACAAATACCAATCTTATGTAATCTCGCCAACCTACTGTATGTTTTCGTAAATAAAAATTATTATTATTATTATTATTGTCATTATATATAGCTTTTAATGAGAACTTATTGAAAACAAGACTAGGAGAAAATTAACATGTTATGGAGTAACACTTAACTTTAAATGGGAACTGGTAATATTTATGGATTGTTGAACGATTTGAAGATAATTATATAAGAGATGTGTATAAACAACCGTTGTCTTAACATTACAGTTACTAATTTTGTTGTCTAACATTATTTGTAAAATTGTTGCCTAACTCCCGGGTACCTATTTACAACTAGGTGTAATGGTTTGCAACATTACGGGCTATTCATGCCCGTGCCACCTCTTGCCTCTTGGGTGGCTTAATCTTCATCAATCAATCGGCTCGTAACAGTAACAAAACTTAAACATAGGGAGTCGAGGTTGTATGACCCTTGCCTAGGCACTCACCCAGGCACTTATCTGAGCACCAGAGACACTCACAGAAGCACCCGAGGCACTCACCTTGGCTCCACAGGTATGGGCGTGGCCAGGGCTCCCGGCCCGTCACCCACGCCCGCCAGGCGCCCCAGGGCGCCGGACCACGCCCCCGCCGACACCACCAACGTTGAGAATTGTATCTCTCGGGTCTCCCCATTGGCCAGAGTCACCTGCAGGTCAGTATACATCCTTAGAGTAACCAAATAAGTATTCTGGGTATATTGCATCTCAACATACTCACAGACACAAAAAGAGATGTTACAGGTTCGTGAAGCTCACAGGGAGGAAAAGTGAGTCCAGGACTCATAGTGAACTAAGAGGTTATATGATGAATCAGAGAGTTATACTGGTATTTCTGACCGTGGCGGTGGTTAGGGTGTTATGTGGTACTTGGCTATGATCACGGGCAGGCTGGTGGTGGTGGGGCTGGAGGTCCGTCACTGCCCCGGTCACATACAGTGCCCCAAGCGACATCGCCTTCCGCCGCAGTCCCATCAGTAGACTCCAAGGGTCAAACCTGCGACATAACCCACTACTGGACGTTCAAAATTATCAGGTGAATGTTGCTGATTTTATATTGGTCGCTATCTACGATTTGCCCCCGTTGCCCGTTAAGGACACACGCCACATCTTTACTACAGACATTCGTCACTACCATCCTGCCGAGGTCCCCGGTGATTCCCCTGAATCCAATTTTCGCGAGGTACCTCTTAGCACACTCGGTCACTGAAAGTGTACAGTTCGAGTGTGGTGAAAACACTGCCATAGATAGTTTAATCATCTCTGTTTCCTAATACTCATTAATGTTTCTAAACTGCTTACAATTAAGCTGTAACATGCTTGTTTGAAGACATACGTTGACACGCGCTTTGTTGATCAAAAAATAGAGGCAAATTGGTCCGGATTCACACACACACACACACGTCTCCAAAATCATGGTAAAGTTGTTGCCCCTTTCCAAGTTTGCAGTAAGTGAAGGTAGTTTAAATTTAAATACAGTTGTAGATCAAGTAAACAAATCCACAAGGGCCGTGACGCGGATTCGAATCTACGTCCGAGAGCATCCCAGACGCTGCCTTAATAGACTGATCTCCTTGAAACTTCTGGTTTCAACTCTTTTGACCATGTCGTGGCTCAGTCGATTAAGGCAGCGTCTGGGATGCTCTCGGACGTAGATTCGAATCCTCGTCACGGCCCTTGTGGATTTGTTCATTTGATGCATCACGCTATTGTGATTTCTGTGTGTATAGATCAAGTATCTTCCACAATTAATTGTGACATTCATTGTGAGGGGCAAGTAACACAGCTGAATGACAGATGTTACAGCTGGAATACGGCTTGACTACAAATTTCTCTGGCAATTCAGATTGCATGGGAACTACCTTACATAAAATATAAAGTGTATTGACAAAGCTATGGTCACAAACTTGTGCAATGCATGCTAAATTGTTGAAATTGAGCCGTTTAGAGACAAGCATATCATTGTATTATTAATGGTAAGAAAATTTAAATTTAGTATAACAAATAAATAGAGCCTAAGAGTCAACACTTTCGACACTTTGAATATCATTGCAAAAAATCATCTTGAATGTCTACAAACCATCCTTCGTTGTTGGTGCCTATGACAGCCGCCGCCACATTTCCTACTTGCAACCAGGGGAATTTTTGTTGCAGTTGACGAGGCCAGAGCCACTCCACCTCCGCTCCCAGCTCCCTGTCGGCACATCATAGTGGTAAGCCAAGGTATTACTTCACTCATTCTTAATAATGTGAGATATATTTTTGGTTAAATGTTGATATACCTGAAGCATATGAACGATATACCTGAAATGAGTGATATACCTGAACCTGCCCGAAACGCTTTGCGTAATAGTGGCTTTAGGCATTGTATGTACTAGCTCTATCTATAAATCTATCAACTTTTGTATCTTACCTTGTATGTATGTACTTTACCTGAATAAATATTTGTATTTGTATTTGTATTTATATCTTCGCTTATGGTACAAGAGCATTTTATGCAAGCATTTTCATTGTTTATATAAGACAATTTTATTTCTTGGACCTTTGCTGAAGGTAAGGTAATTATGAGGTGAAAGAGCCAAGCCAATACGAGTGTATAGCACTTGGAAGGGATATAAAAATAAGGATGTGGGATGGGACGGAGGAAAGAAATGGTGGCCAACCATGGCCTGATCTGGGGCATGAGTCATCAAGCAATTATGCATAATATTTACGAAACATGTACATCTTTCTTTAATCATGACGGTTTTGTTTACATTTAGTAAAGAGTTTATGAGCTCTGAAGTACTACGATGTTAGTTATAAATTTACTAACCTTGGGTTGTGTAATTTTGAAACTCGTAAACTATTTAATATATGTAAACAAAGCCGCCATTATCAAGGCAAGATATACAGGTTTCGTAAGTGATTGCATAAACGCTTGATGAATACTGGCACAGAGTTCAACTTACGTCTGCAGTCTGTAATTCTCCTTCATCTGCTCGACGCCATCGTGGAGAGCGGGAAAGAGGTAGCCACGGGGTGTGAACCGGAGGTTGGGCGGCTCTGCGCCCTCCACCGCCAGCAAGCGGTCTGCCTCCTGCAGGAACCTCATGCTGGTCATCGACAATTGGATGTTCTCAGCCACGCTGAACTGCTGACGGATGTTCCCGAGGGACAGGACAGTGGAGGCTTGTTTGTACTGTGGTATAGGGAACGATGCAAGTGAATTTGCTGAACGGATTGACTAGAGGAAACACTGAGAGAATTGGACCACTGGAGGAAAGGAGAGATAGGACTACATGATAACAACATATCAAATTTTGAGGGGCAGTAGAGAAATTGGAGCATTGTTTAAAACTAGGATCAGCAGGACGAGAGGTAATTGATGGAAACTAGAGACACAAATGAGACAGAGATGTCAGAAACAACTTTCTCAATGTTAGAGCTGTTAATAAGTGGAATACATTAGATTCAGAAATCGTTGAAGCAAATTTGATTCAAAGTTCTAAATATAAATACGATAAAAGCGTGAGAAGTGAGTCATTTCATTAATCTACGAACGTTCGGAAGGCGGAGCCAGGAGCCTAGCCCGACCCTGCAAGCACATCTGGATGAGTACAATGAAAGAGAGAAAAAGAATGAGATCCAGGTAAAAACATGTATTACTGACATTCTTATTATCAGATACGCAGAATGAACGATAGAGCAGACGTATGTCCTTGGGAACACAACACACTCTCAGCTACCACAAGGTCACCCCTCAAACATCTCACACTCCTCTCTGCTTTTGTATATCTATGCGGACATACATTGCTTTGCCGCATCTATACGAGCTTCGGCTAAACAGTGAAACATTGTGTAGCCGAAGAGGTAATGATCATAGCAGGAGAATGTATAGTAGAGAAGGCTATACGTATAGTGGACCAAAAAGCCAACAAGCATATGTTGCCTCACGGCGTCTAGTGAAGGAATGAAGTAAATGGACATTCAAATATATCTTGTTGTGGAGTGTGAGCATTGTGTTTGAGTGTGTGTGTGTGAGTGAGCATTGTGTTTGAGCGTATGTGAGTGATGATGGTGTTCGATACCCGAAGATGCAGTACTCACAGTAGAGTCACGTTCGACGACCACTACGCTGAGGTCTCCACCAGCTCGCTCCTTCAGGTGGTAGGCGACTGAGGACCCCACGGCGCCTCCCCCGGCCACCAACACGTCACAGCGCCCAGGCCAGCTCGTCCCTGCCGTCACCCACGTCAGTAATCACCGGCCCATGTATACTTTCAACTGTACGTCTTATTACGAAAATTTTAACTGGGGGTCAGAATTCATCAAGCATTTACGCAACCACTTACGAGACTTGTACATCTTTCAACAATCATAGCGGCTTTGTTCAGTTATTAAACTTTGAGCTTCGAAACTTCACAACGCAAGGTAATTAGTCATAAACAACCTCGTAGTACTTCAGAGTTTATAAACTATTTAATAAATGTGAACAGAGCCACCACGATTAAGAAAAAATATACGGGCTTCGTAAATTGCCCGAAACGCTATGCGTAGGCTTCAGGTATTGTATGTACTAACTCTATCTATGAATCCAACATTATGTTGGAAACTCTGCATCTATGTATGTACTTTTCCTCAATAAATTATTATTATTATTATTATTATTATTATAAATGTTTGAGGCATCCTCGCCCCTGAACATTCAACATATTTGTGATTAAAGAATTGTTGCTTAATTCATATTTAATTATGTTCTCACCATCACAAAAACAGCGAAATTTGCTCTGGACAGATGATCTATGGACGCCCTCAGCTTTTAGTACACTCCTGAAGTTAGTACATTGTAATGAAATGTACGCTGGGAGGCGATGTCTTAGAAGCGGCGCGGAGCTGTACATCCTAACCTCTCAAGTGGGGGAGTGGCACTGAACATCGGACACCAACTGGTGCTTGTGGTGAGGGCCCCTGATACTGTCTGGGGTGACACCAGTCGTGCTGCACTGACTACCATACAGGTGTGTTTCATACTGGTGTGTTTCATACTGGTGTGTTTCATACTAATGTATGTCATATAGGTGTGTTTTCTCCAGCCTTTCTCAAATAAATAAATAAACAAATAAATAAATAAATAAATAATGTGTGTGTGTGTGTGTGTGTGTGTGTGCGTGTGTGTGTGCGTGTGTGTGTGTGTGTGCGTGTGTGTGTGTGTGTGTGTGTGTGTGTGTGTGTGTGTGTGTGTGTGTGTGTGTGTGTGTGTGTGTGTGTGTGTGTGTGTGTGTGTGTGTGTGTGTGTGTGTGTGTGTGTAATCTCCAAGATAAACTGGATGACAATTCATGTGACAAAACATCTTATTTAATTAAAATCTGCTATGCTTTTAATTACAATCATGATGTTATTCATCATCAGAAAAATAATACAGAAAAGTCAGATTAAGAGCTAACCAGCAAGACATGGAACTTATTCTAAACAGGATTACAAAAAATAAGATAAAATTACACTAATCACAAGAAAACAACAAAACTTTACTTACATAAATTGATGAAGTAAGATGTGATAATATTTAGTATTAACAATAAACACAACTCAAAATTATAATTATGACCAACAAGAAAAAAAAACTTATACAAAACAAAAATTAAGTCATTATTGAATGCCAATTACAGTTAATATAATATACACAAATATTACTCAACAATAAACAATAAACCAAGGGGGGTAGATATAGCCTAAGCTACTCTATCCCTATGAGATATATTTTTTTGTCTCAATAAACATACTTGAACAACAAACATTATACTCAGTATCTTAGATAAGACCACTCGTCACTCACAGTGAGCACCAAAGACATAATGAAGGGAAACTAATATATACAATATATAAGTATACTGTGTACACATGAAACATAAATGGAATAAAAAAACTTTGATGAGTTTACATAGTATATAATTGGACAAATGAAACAATATTATTTAACAGAGGAATATCAGATATCCTATATATCTGATATTCTCCCCTACGGGCTCACCATAGCCCGTGCTACTTGGAACTTTGTTCCAGGTAGCGAATCTTTAACAACAACATCTGATATTCTTTATATATCAGAGAGCTGCGGCCTCTGTTAAATAATATTGTTTCAATTGTCCAACTATATACTATGTAAACTCATCAAAGTTTTTTATTCCTTTTATGTTTCATGTGTACACAGTATACTTCATAATATATTTTCTATATATCTGATATTTTTTAAGTCCACTACGGGCTCACCATAGCCCGTGCTGCTTGGAATTTTTGTTCCAAGCAGCGGATCTTAAACAACATCTGATATTATTAAGTCAAATAGGCCATTTGTACATGAATTCTAAAGTTTGACTCCTGTATTCAATTTCTTTCTTTATTATGCACCCCATACCCATCCCGTGGGCGGTGGTGTAAAGGATTACAGAGGCACATAATCGGTTCAGGAACTGAACCCTCTAGTTCGTTTAGCTAAGCAAATAACAATCTTTTGACGCTAGTTACAAAATTATTAATGTTATATATACATGTTCACATACTCATGCATACATGTACATACGTATACATATATACATACATACACATACATATTTAATCACCCACACAAATCAATAATCTTTTGTGTCACAAGTGATTTAACAAGAGGCTTGCAACAGTCACTATACAAGGCACTTTACATCTATGGTGAGTCACACAGTTACTAGTCTTGCTCCACACCCACCCAACTGGGCGGCAGCTTTAGTCATGTGCATGCATTACCTACAGTAAGCAAATTTTGGATACTTCGCTAAGATTTCGGGCAGCACATCATTATGAATGAAGTGCTTACACATCTCTTGGACACTATTGATGTTGTTATCTGTAAATTTTGCGATTTTTTCACATTCCATTATATAATGACGCAAAGTATGCGAATAGTTCTGCTGCCAGAGTTTACATTTAGTCAAATCTACATCAGCAGATGTTACAAATTCCCAGAGGTACTTTTAGCCGAGCCTAAGCCTAGCAGTGGTAACATCTAGATGTCTGCCGACACTTACAAAGATTTAATCTTGATCCTCAAGACCTAGAATCCTGCCGATCTTTACATTGAAAATACCTGAAGTCATACATTTGGTATACACCAGCACATATCTGCATATTCACCAAAAACTATCAGCAGTAATCAGCTGCTGTTAGATAAGAGTTGACCTATTTTATCTGAATACATTTGGAACTCTTAGGTTGATATATGTAAGAGTTCACGTTTTGTATTTTTAATTTTAGTTCAGAAAAAATAAAGCTAAAAAAAACTTAAATATTTCTAGGACTAGAACAGCACATGTATGTATTATATTAGGCCTAGGAATGCTAGGAGAGGCTAGGTAAGTTTCAATATTTATGTTGTGGTTACAAGTTTCCGATTTGTCCAAATTCAATAATACAAGTAAACTTTCTGGTTGTGGTCGTCCATCACTATATATTGATACTTTGAACCAAATAGATACTATAAGTACTAAATTTTAGGATGACAGGCGGCCTTCTTTGTGGTATTTCCATAGATGCTATGAAAGAGGTGCTACCATACGCAAGACCATCTTGGATAAGCAATTCCTCCTATGGCTACTGAAAATCCTCTAACTGAACTCCATAAGATGCATACAGTTGACCGTACAATTCCTTACGAATACCAATGCTGCATTATGTAGCCATAAAGTTTTCTAGATTGCTGAGAAACTGCACTTCTTTAATCAAGCAAATAGACATCTTTCACATGCCGAAGTATCGAAGTATCGATACTGTCGAAGTATCTTCCTGAGAGCATATTGTAGTAGGTACCTAAACATAGTGATGGTAGTATTCCCTCTCTGGTCAGTAATCTTAATTAGCTTTTGTTACGAACTCATCCGTAACTGAGTTCTTTTAAACTCTGATCCTTCTCAAGTCCTGAGATCTCAAACCTCGGTGGAAATGTAGTGCAATGTTTAAGGTAAGATAAATAAAATGGAGCATAAAAATATCCCTCATTATTAATTACAACTACCATTATTTACATCCCTCTGATGAGGTCTTCCAGCGCTCCACTAGCCTACTCGCTAGCACGCTCAAACAGTGAAGACTTCCAGCGCTCCACTAGCCTGCTGGCTAGCACGCTCCTACAGTAACAGTGCTCCACTAGCCTTCTGGCTAGTACGCTCCTACAGTAACAGTGCTCCACTAGCCCTCTGGCTAGCACGCTCCTACAGTAACAGTGCTCCACTAGCCCTCTGGCTAGCACGCTCCTACAGTAACAGTGCTCCACTAGCCCTCTGGCTAGCATGCTCCAAATGGGAAGTCTTCCAGCTCTCCACTAGCATCCTTGTTAGTACACTCCAGCAAAGTAGTGTACTAACTCTGGAATGTATTTCAGCGTCCCAATGTCGACCAATGTACTGCTTCACTCTGTCCCGTCTGCCATCAGTTACCGGTACCTCATCACCTCCCAGAACAGCAGACTAGAAGATGGGAAACATTATTAATAGGAGGGTTAACTGATTTAACTCTGAACCTGGATCATAGCGCCGAGATTCGTCACAGCTTTCAGGGACGTCTCACACTATTTCGAGAAACCGAGATGACGCAAAGCATAGAGTACGTTCTTGATTACAGGTTCCTTATATCTCCAGATTGTTTTGTCGAGAACTGTGTGATTCAAGAATGAAGTGCAACTCTTACCCAAGTCATCAACACAGTGTTTGCGGTAGTGCTGGAGATGGGCGTAACTGGTGGGCAGATCGAAGGTGTTGCAGACGTCGAGGCAGGATAAAGGGTAGTGGTTGTGGAGAGTGAGGACGCGCTGAGGATCATGGAAACACTTGACGTAGTAGCCGGGCTTGGTGTAGTTGGCGGCGCGGTAGACATGTTGCATCAGGTGCATGTAGGGCGGTATGTCATGGAAGTAGCCATGAGAATCCTGCATGGGATCCAGAAAGTACACATTGCGAGCGCAGTAAGATACCTGAGTGAGGTTTCGTGCCTTCTTCTCTCCTGCGGCCACTTGATCAAGAAGCGACCTCCAGTCTCCTACTGTCTTGGGCACGATGACTTCATCTGTGTCTAATACAACTATATACTTGTAAAGGTTCATGTTTCTGTATAAACAGTCATTATATGGTATTACTTCGTTCTGGCGTTTGTGTAATCCCTTATTTTTCAGGTACTTATGTAGCAAGTTGCGCTCATTTGGTTGTTCACCGGGCAATGAAAGTTTCTTAATATCTACCAGTCCTAAACGTTCATAGTATTTAAGAACTTTGTTAATACTAGGTTGTAGTCCCATGTTGTAGAGGAACACTTTGTCAGCACCGAGAAGGAAGAGCAGTTCTAACCACTCCACAATACGCACGGTTTTATCTATGTAAAAGTCTAGCCCTTTGACGCACACAGCAAAATTCTTTTTCTGCCCATTTTGCGGTTGGTTGTTAATGACCCGAAGGTTGTTGGTTGGCTTGTCGCAGGGCTGCTCCACCAGCGACACTGACTGAGGCACCAGCTGTCTGTGTTCAGCTGGTACAATACACTCAAGCAGGTATGGCTGTAATATACCCTGGTTGTAATTACCCCATTCCTTGTACCATATATATCTGTACTCTGAAACATTTACAATGACTGGGGAGATTTTGTCATTAAACCAGATCTTGCATTTGGTCTTCACGGATGGTTCAATGCGATTAATCATGGCAAGAATTCTAAGAGAAGGTGAGTGTTTACTCAGAGTGCGGTTGTCGTAAAAGGCGCTGTACATGTAAAAGCTGCCATTGCTGGTCTGAAGGACCTGCCAGTAAATACTGTTAAAGTGAATATCAAATAGTTCAGGGTATTTACTACAATTAGTGTTGTCTGATCCAAAGTGAGGGTCATTCCTTTCACGGTAGCTGAAGGGCAGGTTAGGCAGTGTGTCCAGGACCTCCTCCATCTCTTCTTTCCCAGTCATGTTCATCGCTGGATCCAAGTACAACTCGCTTAAATGTGAAGTGAAGGGAGAAATTTAAAAAAAAATTACTGACCGAACGAATTTGTCAAATTCCTATTTAATGACAAGTGAGTAATAAAATTGATTTTATAAAGCCCCAGATCAGAAGTTGATCAGTCAACCCATACTTTCAACTAATTTGTGTCATTTTGTACATTATGGTCCCCCAACATACAAAACTAGGGGGTACTATAACAAAATAGCAGCTCACAAATATCGACATTTTCTATGCATAGCTGGTTAGTCATCCCCTTCCTCAGGCCGTGTTTATGCCACGCAGAGGTCGAAATTGATGAATTTTGCGTTGCGCAAAAATCATCAATTTTAATATGTTGTTAACTCAAAATTGGAATTCCTCAAATATAAATTAATAATATTATTTTTATGTATTTTTTGTATATCTAAGCAAAGGTAAGGTTTGGTATTTCGGTTCTGTTGGAAAATATTTGTATTTCAACCCATCTTCAGACCAAGTCCCTTCCATCCAGGGGTCGACGCCAAAGTCGAATTCATAAATTTTAACATGCTATTCATTCAAAACAGAAATTTTCTCTAATATAAATTAATATTATGATATATTAGCATATTGTGCATATTTAGGCATTAGTTAGGTTAGGTGTTTAGGTTCTGTTGGTGATTATTTGTATTTGTAGTTCGTGGGTGAAGCATTTACAAACTCGTCCTCGACTCAAGTCCATTACATCCAGCGGTCGACCCCCAGCCCGTCCTCCAAACAAAAATCCAAAAGTGATTCCATGCACCCGCCAAACCCCGTTTATGAATTAAAAACGGTTTACACAAGACTCACAACTGATGACGTTCGAACACTTCCGGAACAAGTGCTTCACTGACGAATTTTATTCGAACCACAACGCTGTAAATGCTTCACCCACGTACTACAAATATAAATAATAGCAAACAGAACCTAAACACCTAACCTAACCTATGCCTATATATGCACAATATGCTAATATATTATAATATTAATTTATACTTGAGAAAATTCCCGTTTTGAATGAACAGCATGTTAAAATTTATGAATGCGTCTGTGGGGTTGACCGCTGAATGTAATGGACTTGAGTCGAGGACGGGTTGAGTATAAATAATCGCCAACACAACCTAAACACCTAGCCTAACCAAACCTATGCCTATTTATGCACAATATGCTAATATATTATATTAATTTATATTTGAGAAAATTCCCATTTTGAATGAAGAGCATGAAAAAATTTATGAATGCGTCTGTGGGGTCGACCACTAGATGTAATGGACTTGAGACGAAGACGGGTTGCCTGTATAATGTGTTTTTCATTCATAAACAGGGGGTCTGGCAGCTGCATGAAATCCCTTTTAGGTTTTGTTGATAAGGACAGGCTGGGTTAGGGTAGGTGGGTGACTTGGGTTCGTTCATTTTAGTACCCGTTATTTTGAACTGTTTAGTAAATCAAGAGAACAAGCCGGATCAATATAGTTTTAAAACCACAAATAACTTTACACAAAAGTAATGTTTACGAATTTTGAAAGTACCTTGCAGACGTCTGGGAACTGTTGAGAATAGAGGGTTCGTAGACACGTCTGAGGAGCCTCTCCTCAGCTTCCACAGACACAGCCTCCCACGCCTGGAAACTGAAACAGTAAATACAGTAGAGAAGGTGACGTTAAACCACAGTAAACAGTAATGAAGGTGACGTTAAACTACAGTAAACAGTAATGAAGGTGACGTCTAACCACAATAAACAGTAATGAAGGTGACGTCTAACCTCAGTAAACAGTAATGAAGGTGACGTCTAACCTCAGTAAACAGTAATGAAGGTGACGTCTAACCTCAGTAAACAGTAATGAATGTAACGTCAAACCACAGTAAATAGAGGTAATGTAGTGACCTTTTCAAGAAGGGGATAAAACGTGTTAAGTCCGCAAATACGATCACTGCTCTCTATTGTCATGTTATGGACTCTTTAATCATTGTATAGTTTGGTCTTCTTTTAAAATCATTTTTCCTGCCTCTTCCCTTCACAAACATCTTGTCGAATCATACACAACATGATTGTAGTAAAAGTGTTATATATATTATTGTTCCGGATGGATGCTCGCTTGACTGTTTCGTTTGGATGCTCGCTTGACTGTTTTGTTGTCAGATCAGCTGTGTCGTGCCTGTGTACACGTTAGTGGAATGTTAACTCCTAGTTTAATTTCTATTTGTTCTAGCTTTAGTCATTTGCTTATTATTATATATAGTTTAATCACTGTTTATTCATTATATGTATTGTATATTATATGGCTTGTGTTATTGCAGGATGTAACTGTACTGTAATTATTTGATCAATAAAGCCACAATGTCTGGCAACGCTTCCCCTTTACCTCAATGACTAACATGAATCTTAGTTCTCAGTTTGTTGCAGTTGACTCTTGCCTTTCTCAGAACATAGTTAAATGCAAACCTTCTTAACAATCGTGATTTGCAGGCGATGAGTCACAATAACGTGGCTGAAGTATGTTGACCAGACCACACACTAGAAATTGAAGGGACGACGACGTTTCGGTCCGTCCTGGACCATTCTCAAGTCGATTGTGATGAGGACAGGTAGGGACAGGCATTAAATAGGCAAGAGAGAGCTGAGGAGGAAAGTCAGGTGTAGGGGATAGTAGTAATGAGAACTGCAGCAGGCCTATTGGCCCATACGAGGCAGCTCCTATTATAACCACCGAAGGAGATAGTAATAGGAATAAGAAGAGGATAGCAAGGGAGCGTAGAAGACAATGAACAGAAAAAGGGAGAAGAGAGAAAGAAAGAAATGGAAGGGGGAAAGCTTATGTTAAGTCACGTTTGTTAGAAAGATTAGAGCATTTGAGTATATACTGTGAAAGGGAAGAGTCCACAGCAACAAAGCCAGGACTCAAGTTCATGTTGGGTACATTGTTAATAAGAGCCGATTCTACAAGACGGCGTCTGTGTAGAGTAGAGGCAGGAAAGATTATTTTGGAGGAAGACCAATCAATGGGATGATTAGAATCCCTCACATGGCAGAAGAGAGCATTGTTAGTGTCTGCAGACATAACACTTCTCTTGTGTTCTTTAAGTCTGTCATTCAGTGTACGGCCAGTTTCGCCAAAGTATTGGAGAGGACAAGATGAACAGGAAATAGAGTAGACACCAGCAGCATTAGAAGCAGGAGGAGCAGTGTGAACTAGATTGCTACGAAGTGTGTTAGTTTGTCGAAAGGCGAGTTTAATGTCAAGAGGATGAAAGGTATTGGTAAAAGTTTTGAGTTCAGATATGAAGGGAAGATATGCAATCGTGATTTGACTTGACTTTAGCACCTTTAGGCTTTCTTTACTTTCTCGTTTGTCTATATTTTCACCTTTCTCTTACATATTTGACCTTCAGCAGTTCTCTTCATTCCTCTCAACACCTGTGTTCTACTTCTCACCTCACCTAATATATTATATTATATATTATATTATATATATTATATATTCTTACCTAATATATCCTCTACCACTCTTTACACGACCTGATAATGGTCCAGGAAGAACACAACCTATCAGATGGTGACGATGAACATGGCGAGGAAGAACATAACCTACTGATGGTGATGTTGAACATGGTGAGGGAGAACACAACCTACCTGATGGTGGTGATGAACATGGTAAGGAAGAACACAAACAGCAGAACTCGTTGAACCTTTCTGGGAATGTACTCTAATAAGCTGTAGCGTCTGGTCAGCTTCATAATAGTGGATGTACCTTCCTGTTTACCTGTTCCTGTAACACAAACATACATTAACACTTCCTGTTTATCTGTTCCTGCAACACAACACACAAACCCACTCTGCTACCTCCCAAAATACCACTACATTGATCACTCCTGCAACACCCCAGCATACTCTGCCTCCTCATGCATCACCACAACACAAAGTGCCTTCTCCTGCCATTCCACAACGCACTAAAGCACACACACACACAAATAGCCTTTTGCAACGCCATAATATCCCTCTACTAGTAAGGTTTACTTCTGAAAGAAGAGGGGGAAGTTCGGTAAACCAAGTTTGTTGTATGTAAACTTTACAGCTCACCCATTAGCAGCACTTTATGTGGAGTTAGAGACTTACACACTCAACCAATATTCCACAGGTTGTGTGCATTTCAGGGACTGAAAGCTGGAGCATTGCGGAAAAATACAGGAGGTATTTCTTTGTTATATCCCCCCCCCTGACTCACACACACATGTCATGACGAGGGACGAGAAATTAATGGCAACAGATGCGAGGAAGAGGGAAGATAACCAAGTAACCATAGTCCCTCCATCCCAGAGGGGAGCAGGGATCGAACCAACCAACGGCAGTTCAGCAACCCCAGAGAGAAATGCAACATCCCCACCTTCTTTCCTATAGAAACCCTCCTCACCTGAGCCCTCTCTGTCCCTTACCAAATGGCCATCCAACCCGCCCAACCCTCTCCTGTCCCCCCTATACCCTCTCTTTCCCTCCTACCCATGGCTCCCACCCCCTCCCTCACCCCAGCAGCTCCGAGGCACTGTTAACTATCTCAGAGGACGACTCCAACCGATTCGCTTCACCGACAAAAAGCTTCCTACACTAGTGGGACCAGTGTCAAGGAGTTGGGTAATTATCCAGTCCATTCTCGCGAGCGTTCCCAGCGTCAAGAAACTGTCGTACTAAAGTGCCCTAACCTAACCAGCCAGAGGACCTACAAGCAGAAAACGGGACATTATTAAGTCAATTTCGAAAGCCACTACCATTTTCTTCCTTCACTGATGTTCGGACAGCTTGCTGAATGGTGTTTTAATGTAATGTGGTCATTTATGATAAATCGAGCACAATGCCAAGATCCTTTACAGGTATCAAAGCTAAGGGGGCAATTTAATATTTCGTTTCTTGAATTAACTTCAGAGCTGTGCTGTCCATATCAACCAGTCATTTAAATAAATTAATTTCCGTCTCCCAGAACACACACTTCATCTTGGCTTCTTACTGTTTCACGCGTTTTGTCTCGGCTAAACAAATAAATGATTATGTAAAAACTATTAATTAAAGTCTATTAACTTCAATTAAATAGTGAAAATAATTATAAATTTCTTTACCAGAGGTAAGTCAGGAAGAGACAGAGGTTTGACGTTGAAGAAGGACCTTAATATAAGTCTGGTGATGAGGACGATGCTCCACGCTGGACTGAGTGGGTTGGCAGCATGTTCCCGGTATATGAGCGCCACACCTAGAATACAGAAACCTCTCCCCATTTATTGAATATTTACAGCCCCCCTGGCACACCTGTACGCCATAAGCTGATGCCAGCATGTCAACAACTGCCACAATAGCAATACAGGAAATAATACAAATCATCACCACCTGGCCACCCCCCGCACACACAGGTGTACACTCTGACTCTTCATTTTCCTTTGGGAGTGTATTACTTAAGCCAGTCTTACAAGATAACAGGAATACTGAATTGCAATCTGCTGTTATTTAATGTTTCTAACATTGATACAACGTTCATAATGTTTGTACAACATTCATAAATGTTCATAATCTTTGTACAATATTCACAATATATGTGTTATGTGCATAACGTTTTTACAACGTTTATAATGCTTGTCCACTATTCATAATGTCTGTATAATGTTCATAGCATTTGTGCAACGTTCATAAAGTTTATACAACTTTCATAACGTTTTACGTTCATAATGTTTACAGCGTTTGTATGCAACATTCATAACGTTTGTACAACATTCATAATGTTTGTACAACGTTCATAAGTTGTACATTTATAATGTTGGCACAACGTTCAGGGCGTTTGTGCAACGTTCCCTTTCCAAGGCTAATGCCAAGCTATACCCTACTAGTTTCCATGGAACATGACCTGCCCATCAGTTTACAGCCATTTGCCAATTACTGATGGGCGAGCAGAGGTGAGTAGTTAAGAACTGACGCCTATGGTCAGTTCTCCCTGGCTAGGAATTGACAGTGGTATACAGGGTCCTGAACGATTCCTTACACAAGTTTCTGAAGGCAGTTCTTATGTTGGCCAACCTAGCATATGTCACTGATAATATCCTTTTGATGTGGGCCTCTGGGGACAGGTTCGGTGTGATATCAACCCCCCAGATCTTTCTCTTGACTCATGCAGGATTTCACCTCCCAGATGGTATCTTGTGTTCAGCCTTCTGCTCCATTCGCCTAATTTCATTACTTTACACTTTCCTGAGTTGATCTTTAGCAGCCATTTTCTAGACCATTCTGTGTGTGTGTATATATACGTGTACGTGCTGTGCGCGAGTGCGGGAGTGTACAAATGTGCATACGCATATGTAAATTTGTGCTTTATTCTATAACATAGCTTTGTGTGTGTAAGTGTATGAGTGTGCATGTGACTTCATGCAAGTATTCTTATCACGCAAAGCTTGCATTGTGTTGTCGGGTATACATGCAAGAGTGTGCCACTGTCAGTTGGTGACAGATATGTATCATGATGTATAATCTAGTAAACAAAACAATCTTTCTGATAAGACTTTATTACCCCAGGCGGTGTATACTATTTGTTGTATACGACATGTGATGCAGCCAAGCCAGGGGCTCAGCTAGACCAGGGGCTCAGCTAGACCAGGGGCTCAGCTAGACCAGGGGCCTAGCCAGACCAGAGGCTTAGCCAGACCAGGGGCCTAGCCAGACCAGGGGCTCAGCTAGACCAGGGGCTTAGCCAGACCAGGGGCCTAGCCAGACCAGGGGCTCAGCTAGACCAGGGGCCTAGCCAGACCAGAGGCTTAGCCAGACCAGGGGCCTAGCCAGACCAGGGGCTCAGCTAGACCAGGGGCCTAGCCAGACCAGGGGGCCTAGCCAGACCAGGGGCCTAGCCAGACCAGAGGCTTAGCCAGACCAGGGGCCTAGCCAGACCAGGGGCTCAGCTAGACCAGGGGCCTAGCCAGACCAGGGGGCCTAGACAGACCAGGGGCCTAGCCAGACCAGGGGGCCTAGCCAGGGTCGAGTTCCTAACATTACTCTCTAATGTCAGAGTTCAAAACGTTGATTCCAAAATATATGTAAATCAAAATATATTTTAATTCATATATGAACCAAGTATTATGTCAACAACCACCACGTGATTTTTTCGCCAATTTGTTATTGTTGTTTCATGACACGTGTCGCCAAGAGTCCTTGGCCAACCCGTCCCCAGGCCAAGCTCGTTAAAGCGGCGGCCGTCTCTCCATGATACATTCACCAATATAAATTAATATTATAATATATTAGCATATTGTGCACATATATAGGCATAGGTTAGGCTAGGTGTTTAGGTTCAGTTGGTGATTATTTGTATTTGTAGTACGTGGGTGAAGCATTTATACACACGACTCACAAATGATTTCGTTCGAACACTTCCGGAACAAGTGCTTCACTGACGAATTTTGTTCAAACCACAACGCTGTAAATGCTTCACCCACGAACTACAAATACAAATAATCGCCAACAGAACCTAACACCTAACCTAACCGAACCTATGCCTATATATGCACAGTATACTAAAGTATTATAATTTTAATTTACATTTGAGAAAATTCGCGTTTTGAATGAACAGCATATAAACGTTTATGAATGCGTGTGTGGGGTCGACCGCTGGTTGTAATGGACTAAAGTTGAGGACGGGTTGGAACCACTCGGTTCCTCTGTACCGCCTCGCTTTTATGGTTGAATTCGAGTCCACACAAGTGTCGGCACCTCCCCCCCTTCTCACCTTTGCGCTATATGCATACATATGATAAACTCGAACGAGAATTGAGTATAAAAGAATGCCGAACAACATCAATATTTTGATCTATTTGTTTATTACACACTAGAATAAATCTACATATGAGGCTGGCTGTATAGAAACTCTTTATTGTACATAAAAAGGTTCCCCTTGTTACTCTCTCCGCCAGGGCTCCGTGTCTACACTACATTACGTTTATACCCATGGATTACAACCCCTACGGGCTCACCATAGCCCGTGCTACTTGGAGCTTTGTTCCAGGTTGCGAATCTTTAACAACAACAACCATGGATTACAGGCGACTATTTTTTTATTTTATTTATTTATTTATTTATATATACAAGAAGGTATAATAGGTTTAAGATAGTACATTGCATTAATGTTTTTACTTTCTTGCAAAGCCTTTAGGACACTAACAGCCCCATACCAGGTTCCCAGCACCTGGCGGAATTAATAACTGAATAACTGGGTAGAAGTCAGAATAAGAAATACCTTTATGGGAGATGGGACGACTGCAGATAGCCTCCTTAGCAGCAGTGTAAGCACGTTTATTTAAGGCCACACACCAACATGACTGGGAACTCAGTTTAACTCCACTGTCTTAAATCTGCTGGAGATAAGAAATAGCCAATGTTGAATTGCGACTACTACAAGATGGACTGAATTAAAAGACTCCAGAGACACGAGGGCACTGCAAGAGTCAACTACAACAACAAAGGAGGATTGACAGAAGAGGAAGGAAGAGGGGAAGAAGAGGAAAAGGCTTCCAGCATAATCTGTGAACACGACAGCAGGAGCATAAGGCTCCGAAAGGACAGAGGACTGTCCCATGGAGCATTACACCCCAGCAGCTGCCCACCAAGTCCCCTCACGACGACAACGGGCTGGAAAGGAAGGGGTCATTTACAGATAGAAAAATACTTTGTACATTTATGTTGAAGGCCGCCGCTTGGATGAGCCTAGCCCGGGAACTGGTTTCCCACGTACTATACAAACACCTGGTTCAAATAATTTAAACAAAACCTAAACACCTAACATAACCTAGGTCTAACTATACAATAAATTATTATATTAAATAATACTTTTTATTGACTTACTGGTTGTGTGATAAGGAGGACAACTCTTCTTAGTGATCACGTTAACTGTCTTGTGAGGAGTCCCAGCTTCATAAGGACTGATGTTGATGTTCCTAACCTTACTCCACCTAAGAACTGTTATTTTACACCAGCTAGTCTGATGTGAAAATAATCTACGTTCAGATTTCACATCAGAACCTTGAAGCTTTTTAGTTGATGAGTTTATTTGTATCCATTAGGAATAAACTTCATTCAGTGCTAAGTTACTAAGTTGCAATCATGTTAGTACCAGGATTAAGCCAGAGCAAACTGTGTACCAGAGCCTTCATATGGTCGGTTGACAGACTCATACGTACCTATGTGTTGTGCAAACCTATCCCAAATTCCTGTCAACGTAGGAATGAATAATGGCTGATGGAATAACGTTCTAATCTGTAGAATGGTACAACCAACACAAGGCTGTTGATTGCCGCTCGGGTTAGTCATCACTGACAGTTGTGAAGAAGTCCAGTTTAGAGTACCGGATCCACTCGGGTCCCATTTTATAACGTTTGGAATAGGTGGTGTTGGGGAAGAGGACCTCGCCGCCCGCCAGGTAGCTGCCCCAGAACCCGAAGGTGCCCACCGTCATGATGCTGTGGTTACACGCCGCCAGGATGCCCAGGTCCTCCTCCGCAGACCTCCCTGCAAACACACACAACATATCAGTGAGTTAATATTATTAGAACATAAGTACAAAGGAAACTGCAGAAGGCCTATTAGTCCATACATGGCATCACCTATTTATATCCACCCAAACTCATTCATATACATGTCTAACCTACGCTTCAAACAATACAGTGACGCCACATCAATTATTTGCTCCATATATCAGCAACCCTATTTTCAAACCTCTATTTACCCAGGTCTTTCTTTCTTGTGAATGTACATTGTTCCGTGTTCTGTTTTGTGCTGGGGTGACGGTGTAGGTGTACCTGGGGGTCAGGACAACGTCAGGGTGGAGGTGTAGGCCTACTTAGGGCCAGGACAACGTCAAGGTGGCGTTGTATGTCTACCTGGGGCCAGGGCGACGTAAGGTGTTAGCAGTGTAGGTCTACCTGGGGTCAGGACAACTTCAGGGGTGACAATGTAGGTCTACCTGGGTCAGGAAATCAGGATGGCGGATTATGAAATTAAGTGAGCAAGACAAGGAAAATACTTGGCTTCAAGAAATGTAGAAAAATAAGCTTCGAAGAATAAAGAAAGCCAGGCTTCAATAAATGAGGAGCAGTTAGGTGAGATAGAGAGAACTAAACAATTGCAAGCTGAGGCACATGTCTCATGGCAAACTGAGGACAGAGAAAACGAGGCAAGGAGAAAGAAGCAGAATTAGCAACACCCTAAACCATCATATACAGGCCCTGAGGAGTAATGCAATATTTTAGACAACCGCAATAGCTTTCGGACCACCAGTAAGTGTACTTTAATCCTAAACATGATTTGTAACTAAAACAAACATTGTGTATATGCATCTAAAAATTGTACCTCTCATGTATGTATCCGTGATTGTCGGTGAAGTTTTCCCTATCTCAGGGAAAGACTCACCTGACCACATCATGATAAGACAACCGAAGGCGACCACAATATAAATGCACGTATATGGTTTTCATAGCACATCAGTTTTCATAACACAACTATACAGCGTCTAGCAAATGGATAAAGTAAGTTTTGTTACAGACGCCAGGTGGTGACAGCATCCCCCCCCCTCAAAAAAAAATGTTTAGTGAACACATTATCTTCCTTTACCTGCCCTGGAAACATGGGTGAGTTACATTAGGAACTAAAAGAACTCTTAAAGCTTTTAATTTGGTACAAAATGGGCAGACTCAATTGACTGGACACAAATGTAATGATATGCAACACTACCTATGATATGTAACACTTCCTATCACTCAAACTTTACCATCAATGAGCGAGACCTAACTTAGATTATACAGCAGGAACACCAACGCTGTTTATTTGTTTAAAACCAAGTGGACTATATATATTTTAATTGTTCCACGCAATTCCCACAGTATGGGCTGATTTATTTTGTTAATTAATTCAGAATATATAGTGCTTTAACTGAAGTTCTGTTTGATTTAATAAATAAATGTTTAATTTTTTACATTAACACACTAGATTATCTAATCTGTTATTAAATTTATAAACAGCTAAGTTGTTCAGGAGATCCGTAGCCCAGAGCATAGAGAGATATCAGCAACAGACCAGAGGCAGCCTAGTGTATAATATGGCTGCCTCTTGAGTTATTGTTGGAATCACCTCTCTCCTGCCGCCTAAATTCATTATTAGATTGTGGTATTAATTTATAATCATTTCATTTAAGTACAATATACCTAATTAGTAGACTCAAAGGACTAGCACTCAGTTACTAGTCATAGTAACTGTTTATAATCCTGCCCAACACCTCTCTTGTCTCCCAGATAGTGCATGTCTGGTCAGAAACATACAAACGATGGATAGAGACGGAAATTAACTTATCAATAAGGATGGGTCGGAGTTGAGGCTGTTGGACATGCGGGTACTGACGACAGTAATCACCTGTATGCCGCGTAAATGTCCAATATTCGTATAGCGTGTCAACGTGATCCACCAACCACGCGAGCTGACTCCACAGTCAAGCCGACACAAAAGTGTCGGCTTCCTCAGACACTTTTTAGTCAATGCGAGGAATAATAATTATTTAAAACTTATTTCTATATTTGTACTTATCATAAAAACAAGCTATTAGAATTAAGTTATTTAATTGATAAAGTGTGATTCATTTTCCCTCACTCCTATTTAGGTACGAGACCTCACTGGACACAATTGCAGGTTTTCAATTGACTGGTGACGCGGCAGGTAGCTGATGACATCTACAAAGGATTATTATATCTGCCCATAATATTATTATTATTTAGTTAATGACTTACAAATTTAAACAGAGGACGAATCCTCATAAGAACCTAATTTATTATTCGTGGTTGAAAATATATTTAATATAAGCTGTGTGAAATCATTTCCAACATTCGTAACCCATTAATTTTACTGTTCACTATGAGACCACGTTTCGGTCCGTCCTGGACCCCTATATGGCGACATTTCGATCTGTCCATGACCATTATCACGCAGTGTAAGTACACTACATGATAATTAATTATCCAAGACAAACCAAACCGTCGTCAACTCCTATATTTTAAGGCAAAGAAATAATGTTAGCACTGATCACTCATTTACTGGAAGTAATATCAACTTGACAGTGGTAAGACTGCAAACAACGCCTCAGTGACCACTTAGACTGTAAGAGAAATATTGAGACAATAGTTTTCCTCCAGGAGCGGCGACCTTGTATAAGGTGGTGAGAGGAAGGCATAGGCTGTGGCGCAGTGGTAGCGCCTCCCGAAAGATAACGGCCGGGTTCGATCCAGGGCAGGGAAGTACGCTTATATGTTCACTCCTCGTCCAGCAGTAGTTGGGGTCCTGGATGTAAACCAACTAGCGGATCGTGTGCCAGCGAAAGCAAGAAGGATAAGGTTTAAAATGGACTTTGGGGAGGAAGAGTTCTCAGCCTCTTGACAAGGGACTCGCCATGAACTTCCTGGTGGTCGCTGTGGTAGAGACGGCTGTGGTAGAGACGGCTGTGGTGGAGACGGCTGTGGTAGAGACGGCTGTGGTAGAGACGGTTGTGGTAGAGACGGCTGTGGTAGAGACGGCTGTGGTGGAGACGGCTGTGGTAGAGACGGCTGTGGTAGAGACGGTTGTGGTGGAGACGGCTGTGGTAGAGACGGCTGTGGTAGAGACGGCTGTGGTGGTGTTGGGTGTGGTAGAGACGGCTGTGGTGGTGTTGGGTGTGGTAGAGACGGCTGTGGTGGTGTTAGGTGTGGTAGAGACGGCTGTGGTGGTGTTGTGTGTGGTAGAGACAGCTGTGGTAAAGGCGGCTGTGGTAGAGACGGCTGTGGTGGTGTCGGCTGTGGTAGAGACGGCTGTGGTGGTGTCGGTTGTGGTGGTGTCGGCTGTGGTAGAGACGGCTGTGGTGGTGTCGGCTGTGGTAGAGACGGCTGTGGTGGTGTCGGATGTGGTAGAGACGGCTGTGGTGGTGTCGGCTGTGGTAGAGACGGCTGTGGTGGTGTTGGCTGTGGTAGAGACGGCTGTGGTGGTGTCGGCTGTGGTAGAGACGGCTGTGGTGGTGTCGGTTGTGGTAGAGACGGCTGTGGTGGTGTCGGCTGTGGTAGAGACGACTGTGGTGGTGTCGGCTGTGGTAGAGACGGCTGTGGTGGTGTCGGCTGTGGTAGAGACGGCTGTGGTGGTGTTGGCTGTGGTAGAGACGGCTGTGGTGGTGTCGGCTGTGGTGGAGACGGCTGTGGTGGTGTCGGCTGTGGTGGAGACGGCTGTGGTGGTGTCGGCTGTGGTGGTGTCGGCTGTGGTGGAGACGGCTGTGGTGGTGTCGGCTGTGGTGGAGACGGCTGTGGTGGTGTCGGCTGTGGTGGAGACGGCTGTGGTGGTGTCGGCTGTGGTGGAGACGGCTGTGGTGGTGTCGGCTGTGGTGGAGACGGCTGTGGTGGTGTCGGCTGTGGTAGAAACGGCTGTATGGAAGAGATGGGACACTAGGAGGAGGGCAGCTGCCGTCGAGATCCCGAGCACATACCAGGAAAAATTATTTTTATAAACGTTTTCCTGTTGATATTTTGATCAATGTTACATGATATGAATCATAAGTATAGGGAAGATTATCACGTGGACCAGTTGTATGTGGCCTTTGTCTGGTCCACGTAGAGAAGAGGTATGTGGCCTACTGGCTGGTCCATGTAGACTAGGGGTATGTGTCTCACTGACTGGTTGAAGTAGACCAGGGCTATGTAACGATGTTTACTTTTAACTTCACAAATCAATCTTTACACATAAATATTTACATATCCTTTGAGGGAACAAGAAATACCAATTAAGTCCCTACACACTGGCAATTCCTAAGTCCGTATCCTACTCTGGCAAATGGTAAGTAATTTAGACATGGAACAATACATCAGCGATCACACATTACCTTATGAAACCCTTACCTCTCAACCCAATGGATTCACTACCTCTCCATCCCAGACCCTGGATGACACGGTCCGACTCTCGTCATTTTCCCACTCTAAAATCTTATCCCACACCCGGAGCATTTTATATTCCCCAAAACTGCCACGCCTAGTATCAGCTAGTTGGGGAATGGGGCCAATGCTTATTATCGGGTAGTTGGGGGTTGCCAACCTACAAATGGGAGGCTTGTAAAGGGTGGTCTGATCCCACGTGCTAACACTCAACAATCTTTCCATTAAAGTTGTTTGACAGACTATCGTAATTAATGGAGGCCACCGACCACTCCACACATGTTTTTATGAGGGAAGATAGATCTATTTTCCACTTGAGATGTGGTCAACACGGTATTCATAATACAGTCTTTTATCTTCAAGCAGCGTTTAGGAACTTTTCCCACTAATTATTATTATTTATGTTGATATACTCTTTTTCTATCGTGCATCTTTTATAATCTCGCGTGGTGACCGTATGATGTTGACTGGTCCAGCGTCTGCCCGTCGACGATGCCTGCGTGTCTCGTGTGAACTTCTTGCAACAGCTCTGGAGTCCTTCTGGTGACAGCGGGAGTATGTTGGTGACAGACGCCTCGTCAAACAGCCCAACCGCGCTAATGAGGTGGTGGGCAGAGCAGCGGTGAGTGACAGCGGCCGGAGACTTGGCCGGTCACAGGTGACCGATGTCGGGGGAAGATGCGTGCAAAGCACATCTCACAACCAGGTGCTTGCAAACCGAGGTTGATAAGTGACGGCTGATACATAGCATGAGTCGTGACGGCAGAGACGAGAGGGTGACGTCAACGATGTCTTGCGACAGAAACAAGCGGGTACAAGGGTTGAGGCGTGGGTGACGTGGCGGATGCCCAGGTAGGCCCCGACTTCATCTCCTGCGTCCCATCACTGTACAGGTGTTTCTTGTGCTAACAGGAGTAAGAATGGGAAGGTAAGAAAAAAAAGGAGAAAGAAAAATGATGGGTAGGCTTATGTTAGGTCACGTTTATTTAGAAAGTTTAGAACATTTGGGTATATATTGTGAAAGGGAAGAGTCGCCAGCAACAAAGCCAGGACTCAGGATCATGATGGGAAGGTTGTGTATCAGAGCCCCCACGACGTGATCGCGTCTGTGAATAGAGACAGGAAAGATTATTTTCTTAAATAATCTTTCCTCCCTCTACCCCTTCACAGTACTACGTACTCAAATGTTCTAAACTTTCTAACAAACGTGACCTAACATAAGCCTTCCCATTTTTTTTTGTCTCCTCTATTTCTTACGTTCCCATTCTTACTCCTCGTATTACCCCCTTACACTTCTTTATTACATCAATCCCATCCGTATCTTCCTCCATGATTTCCTCCTCTCAACTCTCGCTTGCCTTACTTATTAGTACCCGTGCCTCCATCATCTCATCAGTTACAGCCCCGCTCCTGTGCCGGGTAAGTCCACCACGGGTCTCACCATAGCTCGTACTACTTGAAACTTTTTGAACCAGTTTATCCAGGATTCCCCCCCCCCCCACAACTAGGACAACGACTGGCCCTAACCCAGGATACAAGCGACAACAGTCATCGAATTCCCAGGGATCAGTTTACTACTACGTGAACTAAATCCCACGACGGAGTTAAACGCGGGGAGGTCGATCTGTGTAGTATTTTCATGATATATATTTCTTGCATTGGCAAGCATCATGATTGTCAACTAAGGCAGCTGTGTCTCGAGCCTCACCGGAGGCAGATAAGAACATAAGAACCTAAGAACAAAGGTAACTGCAGAAGGCCTATTGGCCCATACGAGATTTTTCACATCAATCTATTACGTTTAGAAGCCTAGCCAGCTCGGTCATCATCATCATCTGAGTTTCGGAAAGCTTTTTGTTTGACGCGAAAGCCTTGGTATGACGCGAGGAACAAGATTCTGAAGTTATCATGTAAAATCAAAACGCGAACAATAGTTATAAATGAGAGTTCAGACTTAGGATGGATGTTTGGAAGTATTGGCTTGGCAACAATGTAGTAAACGAGAGGAATTGGTTGCCGAGCAATATTGTTAAGGCAAATGGTAAAACTACCCTTGAACATAGGCTTGATATATACATAGGGAACAGGGGTTGGATCTAGATGGGCACCGCTCAGAATGGGTTCAACATGATCCCAGAAGTGACTTCTAAAGTTATAATTCTTGTGTTCTTATGCCGACGACCCCCTGTTGCTAGAGGCTTTAAGAACCGGTTTGCAGCTGGGTAATCTTATGCTTTGATTTGTGTTATATTACCTGCAGATATATAATATGTTAAAGTTAACTGTATCACAACAAATGCAGTGAAAATATTTTTTGAGTACTAGTTATCTTTAAGCAGATACTTCTGTGAATAAAGAAGATTCAAAAATTGTCCAGTTCGAGCGGTATATATATATGGCCTCTTTGTTTGTCAGCAATTGTTCTCTGTGACAACCTCTCCGACCCTGGCACTTCTGGGACGCTGTCAGGCCCTGGAGGCACTTCAAGTTGGTGCCTGTGACAACCTCTGTTACCCTGACTGGAGGCTGCAGTGTGCGCCAGCTGCTGGACCAATCATGAAGATTCTTCACTTATATTTCAGCGTTGTGTTAATCTTCAGTTACCTTGTGATGCTGTGGACAGGTGAGTAGACCAATCATCTCTTAGACTGCTGTTAATGGCAGACTGTGTTACCATTACTGGCACACCTTCCGTTACTGTGGCTCTTCCACTCTTACTTGTTACTTGTTGTCCTACTTTTCCACTCCACGTGTTACTCTGCCTTATCAGCCCTCTCCAAGTGGCTGTGGAGATGCCTGTGACGGAGACCTCCAAAGCTATCTGTGTTACTGAATGAGTGCCGTGATTAGGATGTAAACAGATTTCTTTGTATATAAGAAACAAAGATTTTGTCTTGTTTAATGAGATGTATAAATGTCGGGTTCAGCTGCCCTTAATGTAATCAGAGTTTATATCCTCTTTTTAGTATTCTGTTTATCTTTACAATAAAACACAATAATACAATATGTACATACCATAAGACCAGGAAATATCCACACCTACAGCTGATAAAACCCTAGCACACTTATCCTCAAACAATAATTACACACAATAATAACATACAATCAATCTATGTATCAATGTGCAAACATGGGACCTCACAGGGCTCGTACTCCACACCGATCCAATTGGCTGTCAAAGTATCCATATAATAACAAAAACAATGCATGAACGAGGTATCCACAGGGGAGCATACTTTCAGTAGCATATGTCACAATACTCTCAACGTTGTAAACTTCTTAATATTGTAAACTATGAAAATTTATATTACTGGTAATGTACCTACATCCTCATGTTCAACACAATGACGACAAACCCCCTAACACAACAAATCTCCACCCTAAAATATAATAAGATAAAACAATAATTACATACAATCAACCTATGCATCAATGTACAAACATGGAACCTCGCAGGGCTCGTACTCCACACACCACTCCAACTGTATGTCAAGTTCCATAGCACATCCAGCCTATGAAGACACGCCAATATCACTAGCTGAAGTTGTTTAACCTAGCTGATAAGCCTATTGACATTAAGGATCGCACAATTCAGATATGAAGAAACAGTAGATATTTGTGAGCCGTTACTTTTTTTTAGTAAGGTGCATTTTTAACTTTGATTACGTAAAAAATGCGACCTATTAGTTGCACGCACAAGTTGGATAGCTTTGGAGAATATGCTTGAGAGCCGCCTAAAGTTGTTTAAACTCGGAAATACATCAATAACAGCGGTATTCCGATGACCGTGATGAAGCCTAGCGGGCCAGACTTAAAGACCACTGTGTTCGTATTTGGAGAATGCACACTTTGGGGAGGTGACAATAGCTCCACAAGTTAATTGAGACCCAAAAAGTTAGTGAGATAATCGTGCTTGTCTGGAAGCTAGGTACACGGAGAGAGATCTTTGTGCTACGAACAGGAAAATTTGATTAAAAATTTGCTATTTGGGAGCGATGAACATTGTTTACAATATGGATACTACTATAAATGGTACCTCAATGTCAGTCGTTACCATGTGAAGAGTTATATACAAATTCAAAGACAGAACCGCCACCGAGCAAGTGAAGGACCCAGCCGTGTGAGACAATTTTCCAGAAACGCATCATGTTGTCAATTTCATTTCCGAGTTTACAGCAATATTTACACTGTCGACCACAATGTAAAAATTCCAGTACTTTAGTGAAATTAAAAGCACCGCAATATTAACTGTTCATCGCACTAATGAGTATTATCCTCGATAATTTAGGTGAGTTGCCTAAGAACATCAGAATAAATGAAACTGCAAAACATCTATTGATCCATACGAGGCAACTTCTATAGGCCCACATGAGGCAGCTCTTGTTTATATCTACCTAAACTCATTCATAAATATGTCCATCCTATGCTTGAAATAATCAAGGGACTCTATGTCTATTCTGTTACCTGGTAATTTGTTCCACAAATCAACAACCCTGTCACCAAGCCAGTATTTATCCAGGTCTTTCCTCAATCTAAATTTATCCAAATGATATCCATTGTTTTGTGTTTTATTTTACGTTGATATATTTGAAATCTTTATTTTATCTGCTTTATTATACCATTTCATATATTTATAAACTTTAAGCAGTAATAATTCGTTTTCTCAGGGACAGGAAGCCTGTGAATATATATTATAGTCTTGTATCGAGGTCCCTCCAAGGTCAAACTACTGATCCTCTCAAGAATGTGACCCCCACAACAGTTGCTTAACTTCCGGGTTTCTATTTACTGCTAGGTGAACAAAGGCATTAGGGGAATATACAAGTGCCCAACCACTTAAGTCCCGCCTGGGAATCGAACTTGGTATCCGTGATTGTGCGTCGAAAACGAAGCTAACTGCATTACGTGACCCGCTTCTTGTTGGGCAAAAAAATAATAAAATTTGTCCAATTGACTATGCTAATTGTGCAGACCACTTTGCTCTCATTAAATATTGTCATTTCACTGATTTTATTGTATGGATTTGTTTCGTGTATATATAATTAATATGTGGTAATATGCATACAAACTTCTATAAAATCTAAGTATTAATACAACTTTTTTCTTCATAATATTTAGGGATGTTGTCAAAGTCGTATAGCAGAGTGGCAGCGTGGCGGGGCAGCACACCCTTGGACCGTGGGGTAGGAACTACCATGTTTCTTAGTTCACCCTTGCCCTCTGACACCCGGGTAGGGTCAAACACCAGACGATTAACAAAATTTTCTGATTCTCAAAACCGTTTGTATTGTCCGGTTAGGCTAGGTTGGGTTTATGGTAAATAACACCCTGTCCATTTGACAGGGTGTTATTTACTCATTAATAACACCCTGTCCATTTGACAGGGTGTTATTAATGAGGATAAATTGATTGGCATGCACAATATTATTAAAAAAAGGGGGGGTTAGCTCCTGTGGTGTGATGCTCGGTTGCCTGTTGGGAACTGAGCTCTGCATGATGGACAGGGAAGTGTGGTGAAGGCTGGTGTCAGCGGTTTTCACCAACTTCAGGAGGTATTTACCCCATCAAAACATTGAATAAAACTATCATAATAAGTAAAGGTGTCAAGTGCGGCTTTAAGCACTGGTCATATGTAGCCTAACTATCCCTCAATCCATCAACTAATTTGTTATTAAATTCCCGATCACTAAGTGAAAGTATTCACATATAATGTATAACAAAATATTGATTTATATAAACATTAAACAAATTTGCTTGACTAGTGTTGAGGTAGGTATGATTTGGGAAAAGATTCAGCAAAGATCTATTAACTATATTATTCTGTATATAACAGCCCGTGATATAACGGAAGTCTCTGGAAAAAAGGGGTTTAGGGCTATTGCATCACGCATGGACCAGTGACCCAGCAACAAAGCCTCCTACTACACCCTTTCCTTCTTAACGACGGGCACCTGGTGGTGCTCAAGTCACGTGGACCTATAACGAGGCTTCCCATAAGTCCCTGTAGTCCTGATGGAATATGCAAGCCCATGATAACTTTAATGACAGTTGAGATGGAAGTGAGGTAGTTGCTTACTAGTGGGAGAAAGGTTACAATGTCGAGGAACTTTCTTGTGTACGAAGTGGCTTGTATCTGAAACATTACTGAGGAAGCCGGTCGGCCGAGCGGACAGCACGCTGGACTTGTGATCCTGTGTTCGATCCCAGGCGCCGGCGAGAAACAATGGGCAAAGTTTCTTTCACCCTATGCCCCTGTTACCTAGCAGTAAAATAGGTACCTGGGTGTTAGTCAGCTGTCACGGGTTGCTTCCTGGGGGTGGAGGCCTGGTCGAGGACCGGGCCGCGGGGACACTAAAAAGCCCCGAAATCATCTCAAGATAACCTCAAGATAAAGGAGAAGCATTGCCAGACATGTGGCTTTATTGAACAAATAATTACAGTACAGTTACATCCTGCAATAAACACAAGCCATATAATATACATTATTTATAAAGACTAACAGTGCTTAAGATATATAATATAATCAAACTACACATGACTAACGCTAGAACAAATAGAAATTTAACTAGGAGTGAACATAAACTAACCTGTACACAGGCTCGACACAGCTGATCTCACAACAACAAAACAGTCAAGCGAGCATCCAAACGAAACAGTCAAGCGAGCATCCATCCGAGTACAATAATATAATAACACTTTTACTACAACTACTCTTTAATATTATGTGTGAAAATGGGTTACCTTGTCCTTACAGATCCCAGCAGCCAGACGTGACCCGAGGGCGCCAGCTGGGAGTGCTAATACTGAGGTAGCAACCAGAGGCGTGGGACTGACAACACCAGCAGGTGAAGGTCTGGCGGTGACAGCCGTGGCGCGGTGGGCGTGGGAGAAGTTCCCTGGCCACTTGTGGCGCGGGCTGCAGCTGCCTGTGATGACGGCCTGGCCGGCAGGGCGGCTGGGGAACTTGATGTCCGAGTACGCGACCTTGTATGCCCTGGGGAAGGTGTATGGAGTCACGGTCAGGCTTCACCCGCTCATGGACGCCGCCTTGAGACACATTTTTCCACATCTGTCAATGCCTCTTATTCCAGGTGAGTTTCTCATTTACATAATGGTACGTTCTGTTTCGAAATGGTGTCTTCATTACAAATGGAACCACTATTTATTTATCAATATGATTATTATTATTATTATAGTAATATATTATTATAATTATAATATATTATAATTATAATATATTATAATTATAGTAATATATTATTATTATTATTTGTTGTTGTTAAAGATTCGCTACTTAGAACAAAGTTCCAAGTAGCACGGGCTATGGTGAGCCCGTGTATTATTATTATTGTAATTATAATCATTATTTGTATAATACTTATTTGTATTAATTTGTTGGATTATGATTGCTGTTTGTATAGTAAATTGTTGATCATGTTAACCATGCAGGTAACTTCAGTGATAAGGAGTGGAAGCAGTTGGGCTCCCTAGGCCTCAGTAATAAAGCAGATATGGATGCTGCTGCCGCTGGGCTGATGGGACCTCATCTCTTCGTGTTGCGCGGTGAGTCTCCTCTTATCATAGCATGCTCTACGGAATTGAAATTGAAATTGAAATAAGTTTATTGAGGTAAAATACACAGAAAGGGATGAGGTATCTCAAGCTATTCTCACCCCGTTCAGTACATCGTGTTGTATGATGCTGTGGGGCGGGATGAGATCTTTGCTGTGATGATGCTGTGCACATGAGGCGTGAACGAGAGCTGCATCATGACGGTGTATGTTATTCCAGGCACGCCACACGAGAGTCAGCTGTTCAACGCATACCGTCGGGACATTCAGCGTGAACTGACCTTTTCAGACACCATCACCACTAAGGTAAAATTATATATCACGCTATTGTGATTTCCTTGTGTATCAGTCAATTACCTGGCCTACCAGGTGAAGACCTGTCATTGGGTTAAATCATTAACTGTAAGTAATAACCAGAATAGTTAGTGGACACAAAATGTATTGTGAAAACTCAGTTAAAGGCTGTGTTATGCCCATGAACCTAACATCATTTTAATCAACATAAAAATGATAAATATACTTAGAAAATAGATTGTAATAAATTAATTTGTCGTTTTAAGGAACCAAAGTCTTAAGGACATCCTTGTTATGTTACCGCTTGGTGTGACAGGCCCAAGCGTTCCTGGCGGTTGTAGCGAGGAACACCACCTTCCCCTCAACACCCACCTTCGTTGGCTTCCACATCAGGCGCACAGACTACTACTTCATGATCAAGGTAACTATGACGAGAAAACATTATGCCAGTTATAAAAAAAAAGTTAAGTGAAGATTCAGAAAATAATGCAAAATAGACAAGGAGCCACAAAATTGCTTCAGGAGCAGTTTAGATTTTAAAGCACCATAGAAGCCGGTCGGCCGAAGCACGCTGGACTTGTGATCCTGTGGTCCTGGGTTCGATCCCAGGCGCTGGCGAGAAACAATGGGCAGAGTTTCTTTCACCATATGCCCCTGTTACCTAGCAGTAAAATAGGTACCTGGGTGTTAGTCAGCTGTCACGGGCTGCTTCCTGGGGGTGGAGGCCTGGTCGAGGACCGGGCCGCGGGGACACTAAAAAGCCCCGAAATCATCTCAAGATAAGATAGCCTATATTTTATTGGTTGTGGATGAATATAAAGAGAAGCTGTCTCTCCCAGGGACCAATAGCATTATAATAAACGAAAATACAAAAGGCATATTGACTCGTACAAAGCAGCTCTTATTTGTGTTAACTCCCACTGATAGTATAGTCTACCCTGTCTACCCTACTATAGAAACTATCCATCAGCCAATGGACAAATCCACAAGGGCCGTGACGAGGATTCGAACCTGCGTCTGAGAACATCCCAGACGCTGCCTTAATCGACTGAACTACAACATGGAATTATGTCGTAATCGACTGAGCGTCTGGGATCCTACCTAGCAATAAATAGGTACCTGGGAGTTAGACAGCTGCTTCGGGCTGCTTCGTGAGGGTGTGTAACAAAAAGGAGGCCTGGTCGAGGACCGGGCTACAGGGACGCTAAGCCCCGAAATCATCTCAAGATAACCTCAAGATATCCTTCTCGCTGCTTGCAATCTTTTCTCTACACCTGTCCTGTAACTCCGAGATCATTTTTGTTTAAGAATTTACCAAGTATGTGCAATTGTCCTCGATGCTTCCGTTTTCTATCGTTGCAGCGGACACAATATCCAAGAGTGGCATTGGTTCAAGGTTGAATCAATGCTCTCAACGGTAATCCAACGTTGAATCATTGTTGATGATGGTGATTCGGCGTTGTTTGTGGATATTGTGCTCACTGGAGCGCTGATACTGACCCTCGAGGGCATAACCCTCTTCTCCCACCCTCTCCACTTTGATTTTCCATTTGTTATATTGTGAAGCAAATGTGGGGCGGACACGTGCCGAGCGAGAGATACTACCGTCGTGCCATGGACCACTTCCGACGTAACTACAACTACGTTATCTTCGTCGTCGCCTCCGACGAGCCCAAACACGTCACTGAGACGTTGGGTGGCGACCCAGATGTCTTCCTCGCCCCAGGTATACTATGCTAATTATTTCTTATGATTGTTGTTGTCCATTCACTTGGACTGGTTGGCAGAGGGAAGGCCTTGTATCCTACAGAGTCGGTGCTCGATCCCCGATGGTCCAAGTGGTTGGGTACCGTCCCTTCACCTCCGTTCTATCCCAGTTCCTTGTCCTCATATCTCTTCCAATTTTTATATAAACATACTAGTTTAGCGCTTTCTCCTGATAATTACCTTACCTTCCGGGTACCGAGAGTTTTATCTATGAGATGATGATGGTAACTATCCCAGCTGCGTCTGGGATGCTCCCGGACGCAGGTTCGAATCCTCGTCATGGCCCTTGTGGATTTGTTCATGATGTTGGTAGCTTGTGTGTGAAGAGCTTACTGGCTCTCTCTGTCCTCACTGCTTCACACACACACACTGGCTTAGAAATGTGTCGCTAAATAGCAATTAGAACATTAAGGATCAGGGTATGGCCAGGTGGCCATGTAGACCAGGTGGCCATGTAGACCAGGTGGCCATGTAGACCAGGTGGCCATGTAGACCAGGTGGTCATGTAGACCAGGTGGTCATGTAGACCAGGTGGCCATGTAGACCAGGTGGTCATGTAGACCAGGTGGCCATGTAGACCAGGTGGCCATGTAGACCAGGTGGCCATGTAGACCAGGTGGCCATGTAGACCAGGTGGCCATGTAGACCAGGTGGCCATGTAGACCAGGTGGCCATGTAGACCAGGTGGCCATGTAGACCAGGTGGTCATGTAGACCAGGTGGCCATGTAGACCAGGTGGCCATGTAGACCAGGTGGTCATGTAGACCAGGTGGTCATGTAGACCAGGTGGTCATGTAGACCAGGTGGTCATGTAGACCAGGTGACCATGTAGACCAGGTGACCATGTAGACCAGGTGGCCATGTAGACCAGGTGGTCATGTAGACCAGGTGGTCATGTAGACCAGGTGGTCATGTAGACCAGGTGGTCATGTAGACCAGGTGGTCATGTAGACCAGGTGGCCATGTAGACCAGGTGGCCATGTAGACCAGGTGGCCATGTAGACCAGGTAGTCATGTAGACCAGGTGGTCATGTAGACCAGGTGGCCATGTAGACCAGGTGGTCATATAGACCAGGTGGCCATGTAGACCAGGTGGTCATATAGACCAGATGGTCATGTAGACCAGGTGGTCATGTAGACCAGGTGGTCATGTAGACCAGGTGGTCATGTAGACCAGGTGACCATGTAGACCAGGTGACCATGTAGACCAGGTGGCCATGTAGACCAGGTGGCCATGTAGACCAGGTGGTCATGTAGACCAGGTGGTCATGTAGACCAGGTGGTCATGTAGACCAGGTGACCATGTAGACCAGGTGACCATGTAGACCAGGTGGCCATGTAGACCAGGTGGCCAAGTAGACCAGGTGGCCATGTAGACCAGGTGGTCATATAGACCAGATGGTCATGTAGACCAGGTGGTCATGTAGACCAGGTGACCATGTAGACCAGGTGACCATGTAGACCAGGTGACCATGTAGACCAGGTGGCCATGTAGACCAGGTGGCCATGTAGACCAGGTGGCCATGTAGACCAGGTGGCCATGTAGACCAGGTGACCATATAGACCAGGTGACCATGTAGACCAGGTGGTCATATAGACCAGGTGGCCATGTAGACCAGGTGGCCATGTAGACCAGGTGGTCATGTAGACAAGGTGGTCATGTAGACCAGGTGGTCATGTAGACCAGGTGACCATGTAGACCAGGTGACCATGTAGACCAGGTGACCATGTAGACCAGGTGGTCATGTAGACCAGGTGGCCATGTAGACCAGGTGGCCATGTAGACCAGGTGACCATATAGACCAGGTGACCATGTAGACCAGGTGACCATGTAGACCAGGTGGTCATATAGACCAGATGGTCATGTAGACCAGGTGGCCATGTAGACCAGGTGACCATGTAGACCAGGTGGCCATGTAGACCAGGTGGTCATGTAGACCAGGTGACCATATAGACCAGGTGACCATGTAGACCAGGTGACCATGTAGACCAGATGGTCATGTAGACCAGGTGGTCATGTAGACCAGGTGGCCATGTAGACCAGGTGGCCATGTAGACCAGGTGGCCATGTAGACCAGGTGACCATATAGACCAGGTGACCATATAGACCAGGTGACCATGTAGACCAGGTGACCATGTAGACCAGGTGGCCATGTAGACCAGGTGGTCATGTAGACCAGGTGGCCATGTAGACCAGGTGGCCATGTAGACCAGGTGGCCATGTAGACCAGGTGGCCATATAGACCAGGTGACCATATAGACCAGGTGACCATGTAGACCAGGTGACCATGTAGACCAGGTGGCCATGTAGACCAGGTGACCATGTAGACCAGGTGGCTATATAGACCAGGTGGCCATGAAGATGAGGTACAAGGTACATTGATGGAGATCTTCTAGTGAAGATGTGGCCGCCTTTCTTAACCCCAGGCAGTACCCAGAGTAGAGTTAAAACAATATAATTCTTCTCCAAGAAAAAAGGCATAACTAAGTTATTCATCATGTAAATTATTCTTCAATATCATAAGCTGCAACTTAATCACCAAAAACTTGATCATTATTGTCATCGAAATATTAATCTTATTTTGGTAATCTTGATTTTCAGGTCATTCAGCGGAGGAGGACCTGGGCATCCTGGCGGCGTGTAACCACAGCATCATGACGGTGGGCACCTTCGGGTTCTGGGGCAGCTACCTGGCGGGCGGCGAGGTCCTCTTCCCCAACACCACCTATTCCGTACTTTATAAAGTAGGACCCAAGTGGTTCCGACACTCTAAACTGGACTTCTTCAGACCTGTCAGTGATGACTGACGCAGGGAACCACCTGGTCTGGGACGTCCTGAACCACCACCATACTCTCAGCGCCAGAATTAATAATAAATAGTTTTGTTAATATAAAAGTATGAATTTAATTTTCCTCCATTCAGAAACCTTTTCGTAAATATTTTTTCATGCGAGATCTTTTATGATGAGAGAGAGAGAGAGATGAAGAGAGAGAGAGAGAGAGTGAGAGAGAGAGAGAGAGAGAGAGAGAGAGAGAGAGAGAGAGAGAGAGAGAGAGAGAGAGAGAGAGAGAGAGAGAGAGAGAGAGAGAGAGAGAGAGAGAGAAAAGAGAGAGAAAAAGAGAGAGAGAAGAGAAGAGAGAGAGAGAAAAAAAGAGAAAGAAAGATATATATATATATATATATATATATATATATATATATATATATATATATATATATATATATATATATATATATATATATCTTTCTCTTTTTTTTCTCTCTCTTTTTTTCTCTCTCTTTTTCTCTCTCTCTTTTTTCTCTCTCTCTTTTTCTCTCTCTTTTCTCTCTCTCTTATATTTATATATATATATATATATATATATATATATATATATATATATATATATATATATATATATATATATATATATATATATATATATATACACACACAATGAGACTATCACCAGGAATATTTTGACGAGTAACACCGAAATAATTGATAGATACAATGACAATAGAAGATTAGACATGAGTGAAGCGCTGCATATCAATATATCTAGTCCACCAATCAATAAGCAGCTAATACACAGTTACACACTACCCACTTCAAGACCCCGGGACAATGCAGAAAGAAGCAGGCCAGAATGACCCTGCAACAGGAACGGAAGCAGCCAGAACATAAACTGCCAACATGTCACACTCTTAATTTACTATTCCATTAATACCCCATTATATAGGACCCCATTAATACTCCATATGTCATTCATCCATGTCACCCATCACCTCACCATTAGAGGATATAATCAGGTGCTAACATCTTGATACATTACGGGCTCACCATAGCCCGTGCTACATTGACATTTCGTTCTAAGTAGCTAAATCTAAAACAACATATTGATACAGATAATGGTTCAAAAAAGCCTCCACTTACGGGCTCACCATAGCCCGTGCTACTTGGAACTTTATGTTCTGAGTAACTGAATCTACAACAACAACAACAACAGAAGAATGTGAACCTTACGAAACGCATCACAAGGCGTCAGACTCAAATAAGTAAAAATGAACTTTGGAGAGTTAATGTTTAATCTTCCTGCTTTAGTGGAGAAAAACATAAAGAATATCGAGAAGATTCGGGCCAGAATCATAAATCTAAAACATATATCATAAGAATCATAAACCTTTATATATATGGTGGACCAGAGGTAATTTATGTCAGAGGCTTATTGGTGACATGGATGAATGACACATATATGGAGTATTAATGGGGTCCTATATAATGGGGTATTAATGGAATAGTAAGAAAGAGAGAGCTAGCACCCGTCAGCCAAGAGTTTACACTCACAATACCCAGCGGGCCACTTACCTCTGGTCCACATTCAGCAGGCAAAAAGTAACGAGGAAAACGATTTTAAAAATAAATTTCCTTGTATGTGGTTGACGGAAGGTCCGGTCCTGACGTGTGTGCACCACTCTTCCTCACACCCGTCTCATGTACACCTGTCTCATCTACACCCGTCTCCCCCACAGCCGTCTCCACCAGAGCCGTCTCCACCAGAGCCGTCTCCACCACAGCCGTCTCCACCACAGCCGTCTCCACCACAGCCGTCTCCACCACAGCCGTCTCCACCACAGCCGTCTCCGCCACAACCGTCTCCACCACAGCCGTCTCCACCACAGCCGTCTCCGCCACAACCGTCTCCACCACAGCGTCCAGGAAGGTCATGGTAAGTCCCTCGTCAGTAGGCTGAGAACTCTACCTTCCCAAAGTCCATTTTGAACCTTATCCTTCTTTTCACTGGCACACGATCCGCTAGTCCTGGTACACAAGTTTCCTTTTGACCATTTTGTTTATATTTGTATGCCACAGTCATGGTATTAGCTCTCTACTAACAATTATCTCAGGACCACTTAAACGAACTGATTCATTCCTATGATAGATAGTGTTGATATCACTATGATGATAGAGTTTATTGGGGACCTTCGATAAGCCGCCGGCTTCCTATCCTTGTCGAAGCCACTAGTGTGAGTGGCCCTCAGGCAAATTCAGGTAAATTCCGATATGAGAGGTAGTGTTGCATGGATAGGTAGTGTTGCATATGATAGCTAGTGTTCATGTGGTAGATAGTGTCATATATGACAGGTAGTGTCACATATGATAGGTAGTACTCACCTAATTGTGCTTGCGGGGGTTGAGCTTTGGCTCTTTGGTCCCGCCTCTCAACCGTCAATCAACTGGTGTACAGGTTCCTGAGCCAACTGGGCTCTATCATATCTACATTTGAAACTGTGTATGGAGTCAGCCTCTACCGCATCACTTGCTAGTGCATTCCATTTATTAACTACTCTAAAAAGTGTCACGTATGATAGGTAGTGTCACATATAATTATTATCATATATCATTCAATTTATCTGCACAGAGTAGATTCTGTACTTTTTTATTTCAGTTTGAAAATTTTAAGGTCTTCTTCTTAGTTCCTCGTAGTATTAATTTAAACATGTGACGTCCTTCCATGTGTTCAGAGTAAAGGCCTCTCCGCCCCATGAATGGATAGTCCTGTGTTCACTAACATATTCTCTTGGAACAGGAATGAACTATCTGTTGGTGGGATGCCGTCAGCACCCGGCGTCTGTGACAACACTTGCTTCAACCATTAGCTGGATGCTGTTCAACTGTCAGCTGATGGGTCAAATGAAGACCCTTTATATGTATCTATGCATTGTGATCGCCTTCGGTTGTCTTATCACGATGTGGTCGGGTGAGTCTTCCCTTAAATTATTAAGATGACACAAATTCATTTTTTTATTTATATATAGAAGAGTTCTTACATTCTTGTAAAGTCATCAGCAGGCATAGTGTTTCGGACAGGTTCTTAAACCCAATTTTTCCCCGGAATACGACCCGCCAAATGGGTACAACCAGGTACCCGTTCACTGCTGGGTGAACGGAGGCTACAGTTAAGGATTGGCGCCCAGTCAATCCTCCTCGGGCAGGATACGAACCCAGGCCCGGTTGGTCCAGCCCTTCTTCTGTCCAGCTTTTCTTTAAGACTTCCAATTTTGTTTCGGCAACATTTCTAATATGTGCTGGGAGGATATTGAACAACCGTTGACCTCTGATGTTCACACAATGCTCTCTGGTCGTGTCTATGGCACCTCTGTTCTTCACTTGCTCTGTTCTGTTTTTCCTTCCCTATCGTTCACACCAGTATATTATTTCACTATGCAAATTTAGGACGTGTCCCTCCAGTATTATCTATGTATATATAATTACTTGCCTTTCTCGTCTGCTCTCTAGAGAGTACATTTTGAGAGTTTTGAGACTATCCCAATTGTTTAGGTGCTTTACTGTGTCTATGCGTATGTGCAATATGTGTTTTCTTTATTCCTTCTATTTCAGCAATCTCTCCCACTCTGAAGGGGTAAGTGAGTACCGAGCAGTACTCAAGGCAGGACAGCACAAGTGATTTCAATAGTATGAGCATTGTGAATGGATCCCTGGCTTTGAAGGCTCTCATAATCTTGTATTTTTTCAAATGTAACTTGTATTTTTGTCTATATCTCATATGAGAATAGGGAAAAGCAAGGGTGCCCTGAGGTACAGAGCTTTTCACTATGGTTGGACACCGATTTTTATTTGATTGACTATTATTTTTTGTGTTCTGTTTGACGAAAAATTTAAAGGCAATCGCCCAACTTTACCTGTTATTCTTACAGACGTCAGTTTCTGGGCTATCACTCCATGGACATATTTATCAAATGCCTTTGACAAGGCTGAACAACTGAACCTAGAACTTACACCTCTTAAAAGACTCATCAAATGGCTTTTCATTTCAAGGTCTCATGATGATCCTCATTGCACCCTGTCGAGAAACTTGGTCTGCCTCTTCGCATATCACTCTGAGCACAGCGACAATCTAATCCTTCATACCTTCTGCCTTTGATGTATTTAATTTAATATACTGATGAGACATTTATCTAAGTTACTCCTAGATACAGTCATCTAATATGTTTAGACTACAAGACTATAAATGCCTCCTTGATATGCATCCTTTCAGTTAATTCTCGCTGCAAATGTGACCATCCTATGTGAGTATGCTGTTCTTCAATCCTGGACAGGCCCCCAACTCACAATACACTATGGCTCCTGAGCTATAATCGCTCTTGCATGTAATCATGGAACTCTGTTTGTTGACTTCTCCAGCTGGCATTTCTTAATATAACTTACTGGTAGCAAACAAAATCCAACTGGAAAAGATTATCAAGGCAAAGGGGGGAACTTTCGACAAGCTGCCAGCTTCCTTTCCTCATTGAGACCACTTGTGTTAGTAGTTCTCAGGTAAATCAAGTTAAAAGTGTATGGGTACTGTAATTTGTACAGTGATTTATGATCACAGCGACCTGAGCTAAATGAAGGTTGTACACTGCTGGTGAAACATGTGTTCATGAGTAACTGCAATTTGTATAGTGATTTATGATCACAGCTGAGCTAAATGAAGGTGAAACATGTGTTCATGAGTACATAATTCTCTATAGCCATGCATTGAATTACAAATTTATATTTATTATTAGGCTAATGGGAATAATTTAATTTGCTTATGAGAAATTTTTTCAATATATACCTAGTCATGAATGTCCACCCTTAGAATACCACACCTGTCTAACACTGTAATAAAATATGAGACTTGAAAATAACATATATATGTTTTTAAAATTCAGGTCTGGTGTCAAACTTATGTCATCACAGAGTGTCAATGAGGCAGAGAGCAGCAACTATAGTCCTTGAGGTTAGTAGCATTCAGTACTCTGTCCTTGGCGTGATCCTCATAGCTTCTTCTTTACAAGTCATTTAATGATTTTTTTAATTAAATTAGATTTTCATGTCTTTCAAGAGCACAGCGGCCAGAGGTGTGGCAGTCATAAGGCCACCAACTGGGAGTGAACATACTGGCGTGGGAGTGACAACACCAGCAGGTGAAGGTCTGGCGGTGACAGCCGTGGCACAGATGGCGTGGGAGAAGTTCCCTGGCCGCTTGTGGCGCGGGCTGCAGCTGCCGGTAATGACAGTGTGGCCGGCAGGACGGCTGGGGAACTTGATGTCTGAGTACGCGACCTTGTATGCCCTGGGAAAGACATATGGTATCACGGTCAGGATTCACCCACGCATGTACACCGTATTAAGACGCAGATTCCCTCATCTGTCAATACCTCTGCTTCCAGGTAAGTTTCTCACTTGCTACTCCAGGCTGCTGGCTGTTGCTTAGAAACTACTTGTGCCTAAAGCCACGGTGTTTAACCAATCTTTGAAATTAGAGATCAACCTGGAATAACGAAAGTGCTTGCAAGTTTTAATTAGTTGCCCCAGTTATAAATGCTAGAGAGAACTGACTTTCCACTGCCATGTTCTTACGTATCTGTGATTATGAGGAAGGGATGTCTAGCTCTTTGCGCCCCCCACCTAGTAGCCTCATTGTACCCGAGGCATTATAATTTAACTCATTGAGGCCACATTCGAATTCTTTCTCGAATCTGGCCTTGAAGTAGTGCATGGAGGTGATAAAAATGGAGATGGTTAGTTGTATTTGGGAACATTATTGTGACATTGTGTGCATTACAGGGAACACCAGCCTGGACGAGTGGGAGGCAGTAGGTGGGGTGAGTCTGACCAACTACGCTGACGCTGAGGCAGCCGCGGCCGGGCTCCTGGGGCCTAACCTGTTTATTATGAACGGTGAGTGTCAGGAGAGTGATCCTCGGGTGTCTCCAAGGATAAAGAGAGGGGTAAAATGTTCCACATAAACATTATGATTTCGTTAAAATGTCAAATATATTCCAGGTACGCCACATGAGAGCCAACTGTTCCACGCATTCCGGAAGGACCTTCTACGTGAACTAACCTTCTCGGACTCCATCACCAATAAGGTACAGAGGAATTGGTAGCTAATAGCTTTCACTGCAGGAAAGATAACATGAACTGGGGACATCTACGACTATCAGGCGAGGACACTGTATCAGACGGGTACAAAGGATTGTACCAATTCAAACAAGAACAACCCATTAGATCTAAATTAGCGTGTTAACTCGGTTCTCTGTGCTAGGGCCAAAGAAAACATGTTAGGGCTTCCTATCCAGGAGCAGGAATTGGGAATATTCTTAGGACTATGACGATATTATTGCTGGTAATGGGAACAAACCTGTCAGGTGAGAACTGCTTTGGAACAACAGATTATAATTCAATAAGATGACAATTTTGTGTTCTTCAAATGCAGTAAATCCTATTTAAATGCTTATTTTAAGTGATTGGATATCATAAAGACTTCTGTTGTTTTTACTGACGGGTGCAACAGGCTCAGGCCTTTCTGTCCAGCGTAGTGAAGGAGAGGACCACCAACGCCTCCAACCCCACCTTCGTCGGCTTCCACATCAGGCGAGGCGACTACAATGACTGGTTGATGGTAATCCTGGCTATACACATACTGATTGATGGTAATCTTGGCTATACACTGACTGATTAATGGTAATCTTGGCTATACTCTGACTGATTAATGGTAATCTTGGCTATACTCTGACTGATGATGGTAATCCTTGCTATATACATACTCATTGATGGTAATCCTTGCTATACACTGACTGGTTGTTAAAAAGAACCATCATATAAACAAAACGAAAACATATACAGGACCAAACATTTACAGGACCATAACATATACAGGAACAAAACATATACAGGACCAAACATTTACAGGACCATAACATATACAGGACCAAAACATATACAGGACCAAACATTTACAGGACCATAACATATACAGGACCAAAACATATACAGGACCAAACATATACAGGACCAAAACAAAGAATTAATAACATTTCTAAGCTCGATTCTGCAGGTTCAAACAGGTCGGGAGTCAGTACAATAAACAACCGACAGTTAACAAGGCGGGGTCCAAGAGCTAACAGCTCGATCCTGCAGACACAAATATTAAACACCTAATCTGTGAACATGTCAGTCTGTGAACTAATAACCTGTAAATTTAAGAAAATATTAGTATTTTACTGCTCTCATGTTCTTAAGCCTTTATGAATATTAATTCAAATAATCCCTCCGTGAGGTGATTGGCGGACGCATGCCTAGCGGGAGGTACTACCGTAGAGCCCTGAACCACTTCCGTCTTAACTACCACAATGTTGTCTTCATCGTCGCCTCCGATGACCGCCAACACATCAACCACACCTTCGCCGGCCACCCTGATGTTGTCCTGGCCCCAGGTAGGCCTACACCGTCACCCCTGATGTTGTCCTGGCCCCAGGTAGGCCTACACCGTCACCCTTGATGTTGTCCTGGCCCCAGGTAGGCCTACACCGTCACCCCTGATGTTGTCCTGGCCCCAGGTAGGCCTACACCGCCACCCCTTGTCCTGGCCCCAGGTAGGCCTACACCGTCACCCCTGATGTTGTCCTGGCCCCAGGTAGGCCTACACCGCCACCCCTGACGTTGTCCTGGCCCCAGGTAGGCCTACACCGTCACCCCTGATGTTGTCCTGGCCCCAGGTAGGCCTACACCGCCACCCCTGATGTTGTCCTGGCCCCAGGTAGGCCTACACCGTCACCCCTGATGTTGTCCTGGCCCCAGGTAGGCCTACACCGTCATCCCTGATGTTGTCCTGGCCCCAGGTAGGCCTACACCGTCACCCCTGATGTTGTCCTGGCCCCAGGTAGGCCTACACCGCCACCCCTGATGTTGTCCTGGCCCCAGGTAGGCCTACACCGTCACCTCTGATGTTGTCCTGGCCTCAGGTAGGCCTACACCGCCACCCCTGATGTTGTCCTGGCCCCAGGTAGGCCTACACCGCCACCCCTGATGTTGTCCTGGCCCCAGGTAGGCCTACACCGTCACCCCTGATGTTGTCCTGGCCCCAGGTAGGCCTACACCGTCACCCCTGATGTTGTCCTGGCCCCAGGTAGGCCTACACCGCCACCCCTGATGTTGTCCTGGCCCCAGGTAGGCCTACACCGCCACCCCTGATGTTGTCCTGGCCCCAGGTAGGCCTACACCGCCACCCCTGATGTTGTCCTGGCCCCAGGTAGGCCTACACCGCCACCCCTGATGTTGTCCTGGCCCCAGGTAGGCCTACACCGCCACCCCTGATGCCGTCCTGGCCCCAGGTAGGCCTACACCGCCACCCCTGATGTTGTCCTGGCCCCAGGTAGGCCTACACCGCCACCCCTGATGTTGTCCTGGCCCCAGGTAGGCCTACACCGTCACCCCTGATGTTGTCCTGGCCCCAGGTAGGCCTACACCGCCACCCCTGATGTTGTCCTGGCCCCAGGTAGGCCTACACCGCCACCCCTGATATTGTCCTGGCCCCAGGTAGGCCTACACCGCCACCCCTGATGTTGTCCTGGCCCCAGGTAGGCCTACACCGTCACCCCTGATGTTGTCCTGGCCCCAGGTAGGCCTACACCGCCACCCCTGACGTTGTCCTGGCCCCAGGTAGGCCTACACCGCCACCCCTGATGTTGTCCTGGCCCCAGGTAGGCCTACACCGCCACCCCTGATGTTGTCCTGGCCCCAGGTAGGCCTACACCGTCACCCCTGATGTTGTCCTGGCCCCAGGTAGGCCTACACCGCCACCCCTGATGTTGTCCTGGCCCCAGGTAGGCCTACACCGTCACCCCTGATGTTGTCCTGGCCCCAGGTAGGCCTACACCGCCACCCCTGATGTTGTCCTGGCCCCAGGTAGGCCTACACCGTCACCCCTGATGTTGTCCTGGCCCCAGGTAGGCCTACACCGTCACCCCTGATGTTGTCCTAGGCCAAGGTAGACATACACCGTCACCCTGACCTTTTCCTGGCCCCCAGGTAGACCTACGCTAACATAATGACGTAATATTACAGATTAAAAACTTAATTTACGTTTTCTAGAAAGGCGAAGATTAAGTGGTGACATAATGAAATGCACAAGTGGATGAAAGAGCACAACAAGGAGGGACAGTAAGGTATTATACATATCAGCAAAAACACAACACGGAATAATGGATATAAATAAGTTCAGATACAGGTACAGGAAAAGACCTGGGTAAATAGAGGTTTGGAAATAGGGTTATTGATCTGTGGAGCAAATAATAGACCTGGGATCACTGTATTGTTTCAAGCGTAGGTTAAACATGCATGTGAATAAGTTTGGGTGGATATAAATAGGTGATGCCATGTCTGGACTAATAGGCCTTCTGCAGTTTCCTTTGTTCTTATGTTCTAATAATATTAACTCACATGTGTGTGTTTGCAGGGAGGTCTGCGGAGGAGGACCTGGGCATCCTGGCGGCGTGTAACCACAGCATCATGACGGTGGGCACCTTCGGGTTCTGGGGCAGCTACCTGGCGGGCGGCGAGGTCCTCTTCCCCAACACCACCTATTCCAAACGTTATAAAATGGGACCCGAGTGGATCCGGTACTCTAAACTGGACTTCTTCACACCTGTCAATGATGACTAACCCGAGTGGTCTAAAACCTACAAAACCAAGATATTTTTAGGTGTTTCCATATTGTTTTACGTAAGATAATTGAATTGGAAGCACTACCACAAGACAACAACAGCTGGGTCTACGTCGGAGACTGGTCGATTCGTACATAATCGTTTCGGATAATGTCGATTCGGTACACAAAAAAACCACTTCGTTCACTGACAATTTTGCATACACGAACCTTTTCGTATATTCATATGCACTGGCTTGTCTTCGCTGCTGTTCTCATCTTCCAAGACAATAAAATGTTCTTGGTTACGGTCTGAGTTTTTCCACACCGAATATAGATGTGAATTATGTAGATATTGCCAAAGGTTTTCGCAATCTGGTGAAATATAGTGAGATTTCAGCTGATGACATTAACATTTGCAAGGGTATGGTGTACGGGTTTTTACTTAATTAAAGGTACAGTTCCTAATTGTCCAGGTAGGTTTATTCAAGCGTTCAAAACCCTCAAAAAAGATAACTCTCTGCACATCACAAAGACTGATAAATCCAATGCTGTTGTCATCATGAATAAGGATGACTGCGTCCATAAAATGAACCTGTTATTGGATGTCAGAGATACTTACTTACCGGTTAATAGTGACCCTATTAAAAAAAGTTATTGCTCATTTTAACAAAACTTAAAACATTGCTCAAGAACGATAAGGAGTTGATGCCTAGTGAAAGGGTTTTTTAAGTTGTTCCAAATATGTGTTTATTATTATTATTCGTGTTGATTTATGGGTGACGAAAACAAATATGTGTGCGATCCGTTCTCTGAGCAAGTGACCAGTATCTGTCCACGTCCGCGCCGGTCTGGTCATTTCTAACACGACAAGGCAAGTTTTCTGCTTGAGAAACCCCTATACATATATTATGTTAGGCCGTAATAGACTCGGTTACGTTGGTTTAGATAAGTTACGTTATGTAGATTTCAAAACACGATAGCGAGTGAAGTTGTGTACGATGTGACTTGTATGCCGCCGCTGTTATCCTCATGTTGGCGACTACTCTCCTGGCTCCCCTGTGCATCACTGTTAAGTAAGCTGTGTATGATCCTTGTTTTACTGTAAAAAAAAATTATTTACAGAGCTATAACCGCTATTTCTAGCATATTAAACCATTAATGATTTAATGAAAAGTGGAGTTGGCTACCCATTCCATGGTTTAACTGTTGGTGCAACTTTTCTGCAATTTAGTGCAATTCCATGCTACATTAATTTGTGTTCATAAGAGTGCTACAAGCCTCTTCTGTGTTAAGAGAAGGAATATGTATAAAGTTGTTTTCAGCAGTCAAAAAGTTTCCTACAGAGCATTTGTCACACTCCCAAGCTTTGATTCTGGAGTTGTGTTCACTTGAGTACTGAGTCAGACATTATTCTAACATATAACAATTTAATTGTCAATTACTGTATATTGACAGTGTTCAAGCATTTTTTCCTAATCATTCCAGCACTTGCCAAAAAAAGTAAATTGCATTTCTCCAAGTTGAAATTGATTTGATTTTAACTTTCAAAGATTCATGTAAATTTTGTTTTAAATTATTGTTTCAGTAAGGCAGGCAGTTTCATTCATTTAATTAATGAATTTAACTTAATTGAGTGATTTCTTAAATACCAGCCAAGTATCCACATCTTGCCTCTGATTATTAGATTTTAGTGCATGTTAGTGCTCCAGCATATATTTTTTTACATTGATGATTATACATCTTGCCATTACTGTATTTATTTCAACTTGATGTTCTTAGTGTCTGGTCCAGATAATTGTATATTTTTAACAATTTCAAGCTACATTGAAACCAGGTTGTCAATTGTTTGTGGGACCCATTCATTGAGTTCTTACCTAACCACAGTTTTTATTAAATTTTGCCATTCATTTAGTTGAGCCTAGCCCAGCATTTTCTCTTGTGTAGTATTTTTCTTTGTAATTGTGTACATAATAATTAATAATGTATATAATAAGCAAGTGTCTCACCATGCAAAATCAAGTGTCTTGATTTCCACTTTAGTTACCATGATAGACTAGGAATTGACAGGTAATAAGGCAACTAGAACAATATTCTAAATTCACCGCATCAGATGCTGATTATTTGGCATTTGCTAGAAGATCCTCTGTTAATAACATTCCAGGTGACGCAAGATTAGCAAGTGATGAGAAAGCATTTGTAGGTATCCAGTCACAGCATTCAATTTTGTTTTTCCGTCGTATGTTTATCAACAAAAGAGGCTCAGAACCCACAGATAGTGTATCTGTATGAAGATAAAAAAAAGAGATAAACTCGCTTATGTTCATGTTCAAAATAAATTACTATAACTGTGTAAAAAGAACGTACTCAACAGGTTAAACATTACAAGATGGTTGCTTCATTAGTACTCAAGTTATTAACATTACAATCACTGGACATCATACTGCACGCTAATACTGTGCTAAGTAATAATCTCGTATGGTTTAAAATAAAACAAGCTTCGTAAAAGTTTTACATTCATCTGTTAGAAAAATACATAGCTTTTTGTTATAAAAAACATATACAGACATTAAAAATATTAGAGTTGATAACTCGTTTACATGCATCACAAGCTTATTCTCAGGCCTGCACATTCAGTGAGGGGGGAAGGGGTCCTCAGTTTATCTGGTACACACCACACTACAGGAACAACAGAGACAGGTATTAGAGGGGCAGGAATGACTGCCTTAAGAGTAAGAAGAGAAGTAGGGAGAATTTTGAAAACGTCAGTGGAGAGAGCAAAGACCCAATTCACACTACATAACAGTCACATCAAAATGAAATCCACAGCTAAGAAACAGTCGATAAGACTGAAGATAAGGAAGGATAGATTTACAAAGAATGACAGGTGCGTGCTTTAGGAACTAAACAAGAGATTCAAGGATATTTTTACAATAGTAAAAAAATATAAATTAAATACAATAGTAGGTACTTGTACTAAATGACGGTTTCAAGCCAAGCATTGTGGGAGAATTTTGCTATTACCAGAGGTGAAATAAGGAGGCATGTGTAGAATGCCTCCTTAATCAGATTATTTCAGATGCATATTCCATCTCTTGGGGTGACCGTAACTTTTTTGTTTTTTACCAATGTCAGCTAAATGAATTGGGAGCCACGCAGTGCTCTAGGTAACTAGGTAACTTCTACTGAAGTCCGTGTGATGGAAGATCTTACTTCTCTGCACGAAGCGATATGCGTGTTAGTGGTTTTCCAAGAATGTAAAAATACCAATATTATGTAATCTCACAAACCCATTGTACCATCTTGTAAATAAATTATTATTATTATTATTATTATGATTATAAGTGTGGACGTGAAATATTTCATTGATGTCAGCTCTGTTACTGCACATCTCGGCCCAGTCAGTGAGACTTGTCAGTTTATGGAGAACATTTCACACCCAGTCCTCTTGAGAGCCACTTTGTAACCAACGCTCTGGAGAACTCAATATTAATGTGGATTCTTGCTAATGCAAAGAATTCTATAAGTTAAAGATACAGGCATCAATATTATTTCTTCGACATGGCTCTCTTGCTAACATGCAGAACAGAGAGCCATATCGGAGGCAAGGGTCACATGGCACTCTCTATGATGCCAGGACTGGCATGCCCAGTGCTCGTACGGCCCTTGTCTGTTTCCCGGACGCTGGAATAGGCATCCCGCACCTCGTCTTCTGCAAGAGGAGCTACGTTGGTGTTGTGTAAGTTTCCACAGGGGGCAGCTTGCTCGGCTGGTGTAGGCTGCTCTGCAGTCCTCGGTGAGGTGCTGGAGGAGACACCTGGAGCGGAAGTATGTTCGGCTGGTGGTGATAGTCGAGGCTTTCCTGAATGTCTGGCAAGTAGAGAGCTTGAGGGATTAATCCCTAGCTCAACTTTGGTATCACTGACAAGGGTGGGGTTAATTGCTCTTGGTGGTTTCGGTGGTGGTGTCATTTCTGAAGACTTTTTGTTTTTCTCCTCTTTGGAAAGAATTATAACACTCGTGCTTTTGGCAGGCTTAATGTATGCTGTGGCACCTTGAGACTCTGTCTGCCCATCCTTGTGTAGTCGAAACTCTGACATTTTGTTGTTTTCATTATTGTCAACAAATCTCACAAGTTTTCTACTATTACGTGTCTTTGGATTTTTGGTCATACCTTTACTGGCCTTAAATGTCTTTGGAGAATTTGTTATTCTTTCGGCACTAGCAGGAGCGCAATTAGGGGCATATACATCGGTGCCTTTGGTGAGAGGCATGAGCGAAGCATCAATCTCCGTGGTGTGAGGCCTATCTCTATTCAGGGGATCGTTGCTGTGGGCAGGAGTGAGACATGGTGCTACCCCAGCTGTAGGCTGCCCTGGCTCTCTAGTGGGCACTGCTCTATAAGTGGTTTTATCAGTCCTTTGGGGTCGACCCACTGGTGTTGAGTTAGTCACCTCCACCACTGACTCCACATCAGAGTCACTGCTGGGCTCGCTTTCCTGAGGGAAGAAGAAACTACCTTAGTATGTCCTGATATTTATGAAAGGTTAGGATAAAAATGTTGTGGATTCCTTCTCACATTGGCCTGCAGGAACACGATAAAATTGACGCCCTTGATAAGGTTGCAGTAAATAAAGACAGTATTGAACGGAATCTTGAGCTATCAAATAAGTCCCTTAAAAGTGTCATTAGACGAGAACTCCTGGATGGATTTGAAGAAAGTAGAACAGTGCAAATTGGAACTAGCAGGTCCATTGTTTATTACAATGAAATGTGTGAAGTAAAACATGTGTATGAAGAAAGTAACAAAATAAGCAGACTAACAGACGTTGTCATAGCTCGTATAAGACTTGGCTACAAGTATCTCTGGCAGTTCGGCTTGTATAGGGATCTAGATGAAGTAAAGTGTGTAGACAAAGACAGGGACAAACACTCGAACATTATAAATCTAAACTCACGTTGTATGATATGGCAACCTATCTTACTACTAAGGATAAAAGACCTGAAATCCTTGCACTGTATAACATATAAGATTAAGCAAACATATAAGATTTGCAAACATATAAGATTAAGAAACAAATAGTTTATTGTAAAGACTAATAATAAACAGCAGCTCCCCTATGACTGTAATATCTCCATTGCTCAAACAATTATGTATTAGCGATAAGACCTACTGTAAATATATAGCTATTGAAATAGAACATTCTCTTTAACTAGCTGACATTGTAATTATAAGGTGTGAAGGATAGATGAAATTGTTTATGTAATAATCACCGTTGAGGTCTGATAAAGACCTTTAGTGCCCTCTGTAATGCTTTTTGCGCTACGGCTCACAGGATGAGTATGGGGTGCACAATTAACTAGCCGCCTCCGCGGCAACAATAACAAAAATATAAATTCTAATTATATTAAAGAAATCTAAAGTTCCAACTAAAAGTAAATTATATTTGGCATCTTTTCTTTCAGTACATTAGACTACCGTGCTAATATTTATGAACATTAGCACAGTAGTCTACGTCCTAGCCTCACAATCGAAGAACCCGGATTCTAACCCCAGGCAGGACATTAAACAGTCCGATACATTATATTTTACCTATAATGCCTATGTTCACCTGGCAGAAATTTAGGTACCCAGGAGTTAGGCAATAAGTGTAGATTGCATACTGGAAGCCTCGATAAGTCTAAGTACCGACTTCCCATTCCCGATAACTGTAATTATCAATTATTTCTCGTACAATTGGCTTCGTTCTCTACTCACACTCGGGGTTACCTGGGTGGGCAGCCCATCCTCATCAACGAAGGACAAATGATCGTTAACCCAGCTGCCAAACCCCCTGTTTATGAATGAAAAACAGTTTACTCACGACTTATAATTCTTGAACAGTGCTTCGCTGGCGACCTTTGTTCAAATCGCAACTCTGTAAATGTTTCACCCACGTACTACAAATACAAATAATCGCCAACAGAACCTAAATACCTAACCTAACCTATGCCTAACTGTACATAGCACTTTAACATATACTGTACATACAGTAGTTAATACTCACATGAGATACTGCTGCTACCTCTTGAGTATGATCAACACATTTCACAACTTGTCCATTTGTATGTTTAGTGTTTGGGAGTGTTTGAGTGTGCGTCTGAGCTTTGGTCTGTATGTGTGTGGCTGTTTGTGCACGTGCGTGTGCCAGGGACTGGTGTTGGTGGTGTGCGTTGGCCACCACATCTAGACTGGGGTGTTGACACTGGGACGAGGACACCAGGTCTGGGTCATAGCACTCCCATCCATCCCCGGCTGAAGTTACCGCCCGCATGTGGTCGTGCGGACCATTTGCGTTCTTGTGGGGAGGAGCGTGTCGAGCGATGACCACACTCACCACCAGGAGCAGCAGCAGCACAGCGGCCACGCCCACCACCGCTCCCAGCATGGCTGGAACACCGACGGCAGCGCTCTCCGTGTCTGAAATGGAATACCATAATAACATTTGGCCACCTAATGCCTGTCCTTGAGGGCGTAAACACGGAGGTCAGTCAACAGGGAACACAGAGTGAAGAGGTAAGGTAATTATCAGGCGAAAGCCCTAAACTAATACGACTATATAGCACTTGGAAGGACTATGAAGATATGAGATTTGGGATAGGGGGGAAGGAAAGGAATGGTGCTCACATTCAGATGGTAATTTATGGAACGCCGACCTGAAAGAAGCGAGACCGTCGCTCTACCAGCCAGTCCAAGTGAATAGAAATACATGACTTTTAATGTCTTAACCGAAACCATTGACTGTTAAAGATTATTAATACCCTGACACACAACAAACACACATAACTGAGGCCAAGACTAAATATGTGTGACATCACAGTAAGTTGTCACTATAATTTAATACCCAGGGTATTAACTTATATATATACGCTATATATAGTGTATATATATATATTATATATATATATATATATATATATATATATATATATATATATATATATATATATATATAGAGAGAGAGAGAGAGAGAGAGAGAGAGAGAGGCCTTCAAAGCAGCGCCTCTGTATTGTGTCACGACGATTCCTTCCGATCTCCGTGCGATCACTTCTCCAGCCTACGACTGCACATCGAGTCAGCTATCGATCGGTCTGTGTGCATGGGAACAGAGCATCACATTTTATTTAGAAAGCTTTATTCGCGTTCTTTAATGATAACAAATCTATATCCACAAAAATGTTAGCATAACTATTCAGCATGCTAACAACACAGTTCTTAACTGTGTAAACTGAAAAAGGAATGACGGGATGTAACTAATCTGAGGAGAGTAACGCTCGACGGTACTTAAGCACGCAGACAATAGTACCTACTGTACCGTGGGCTGCACGGTGCTGGGCGCTGGCGGTGTGCACCTCCAGACGGAGGGTCTCACTCCGCCCTCGGGCATTGAGAGCGGTCACGCGCAGCGTCACGCCCGTCCCCCCTACTAGTCCGCCCACAACCCACTCTGGAAAATCACTGTAAGGAAAAACAAACATTTATTTACTTCCTGTCAATGGCTGCACTAGACTATCTCATATATTGATCAATTGGTTCTCAGAGCACATCGACATATCAATATATTTTAGTATGTCATGAAAACGGTAAGTTGAGATATCTAATAGTGACGGAACCTGGTTATGTTGGCCATATTTTCACCGTCCTGCCAAGCCTCCAGTAAGAACTCTTGCGGGAAACCACCATCAAAGCCTTCGTAACAGGTGACAGTGAGGGATGAGGTGTGTGCACTGTATTCTTGGTCGGTACGGACGGTAGGGGTGGCCGAACAGTTGGCAGGGGTGTCAGGGGGCCCTGCAGGTACCAGAGTCACTACACAGGGCGTCCTCTGCCGACCAATAGTGTTGCCAGCACGGCACAACACCTCCCCATAGTCCTCTGGCATGAGAGGAGTCACCACGACGCTGGAGGAGAGTCCATCTTTCCTTACACTCTGGTCAGCCACTTGGCGTTCTATACCATTCTCCAGGCGCCTCACCCACTCCCACGTCACACCCTGGGCGGGGTCAGCCTCCACCATGCAGGTGATGATGGTGGGCGTGCCTCTGGCCACACCCTGGACACGCTGGAGCACGCCACCAGCACACACTGGAGAGTCTGCTGGCAAGAGGTTATCAAACTCAACGTGGTCTCACATGTAAACATTATATAATGCTTAATGCATTAAACAGTGCTTTAATTCTTCTCTCTTCTCTACCTATCACCTTTCCCTTCGCCCCACCTATCATCTCCCACTTATCTCTCTCCTCTACCAATCACCTCCTCCTCAGCAGGTCTTTATGCCAGAGAACAAGAATTCAACACAAGACAATAAACAAAGTTTTAAAACCATACATTAAAATGAGGACAGGTTCACAAACAAAGCAAAAGAGCTCAGTGAACATACATAGGACCAAAGTATAGATTACTGAAGTCATTACAAGTGACTTCACTTATATTATAAGTGCCTGTTTATATATACTTTTGACTTGTATCGAAGTCCCCCTCCCCCAGGATCGACCTACTGACCCTCCCCAGGATGTAACCCCACAACAGTTACCTAACTCCCGGGTAACTATTTATTTCTTCATGAATAGGTGCATTAGGTTAAAGGAAACGTGCCCAACCATTTCTGTCTTACCAAGAAATCAAACCTGAGATCTCTGATTGTGAGTCGAGAACGAAGTCAACTGGAATCATGGCAAAAACAATCATCCCAGACTTCCACATAATAAAGAGCAATAGAGATGAATTTAGATTTTTTTAATGGTGAACTATTTTATTGCAGACAATACAAGTGGCAATAGTAGGCACACATGACGAAACAACAGACAGGTTAGATAATTATAAGAGAGAATCATAACGGTAACTGTAATCATTATAGAGATTAAACAATCATTTGGAGCAATGTGAGGCATTTACGCCAATGGTCTAGTGGCTCCCAGACATTTACTTGCCTTAACCCCTACTCAGTTACAATGATTTTCTCATTGATATATCGTGCCAGTGTGATTTATTTGTATTATTATAGAGCTTACTACAGCAGTTGCAACACCTTTAGTCTTGGGTGATATTTACGAGGTCAAGGAAGACTTGGAACACAAGAGGCTTCGGTAGAGAGACATAGAAAAAGAAACTACTAGATGAAAAAATAGGAATTTCTTAAAATTCTTGTTACCACCCCCATTGTACTCACCTAGTTGTGCTTGCGGGGTTAAGCTCTGTCTCTTTGGTCCCGCCTCTCAACTATCAATCAACTGGTGTACAGATTCCTGGGCTCTATCATATCTACATTTGAAACTGTGTATGGAGTCAGCCTCCACCATCATACCAACACTGTGTGTGTGTGTGTGTGTGTGCTTACCTAATTGTGCTTGCGGGGGTTGAGCTCTGGCTCTTTGGTCCCGCCTCTCAACCGTCAATCAACTGGTGTACAGATTCCTGAGCCTATTGGGCTCTATCATATCTACATTTGAAACTGTGAATGGAGTCAGCCTCCACCACATCACTTCCTAATGTGTGTGTGTGTGTGTGTGTGTGTGTGTGCCTGCCTGTCTATCTCTCCATCTGTGAGTGTCCAACCACTTGGGCTGGACGGTAGAGCGACGATCTCGCGTCATGCAGTTCGGCGTTCAATCCCAGACCGTCCAAGTGGTTGGGCACAATTTCCTTCCCCCCCTCCTAACCCAAATCCTTATCCAGACCCCTTTCAAGTGCTATATAGTCGTAATGGCTTGGCGCTTCCCCTCCCCCCCCCTGATAGTTCCCTAGTTCCATCTGTGTGTGCAGGTGTGGGTGTCTGAGACACAGGGACACCTACAGCGAACAGTAAGATGAACAGCGTTACTGGTGTTCCGGCCTTGCATATTGGCGGCGGCGCAGGTGTAGGAGCCCGAGTGTCGCCGTCGGAGTCGCCTCAGCACCAGGCTCAGGCCGCTCACCACCACACCCTCGCTCACCTTGTGTACCACCTCCGCCCCCTGCAGGAGAGCCACCAGTTAGTAGGGTCCCAGACACACTTGACAAATGGAATTCACTGTTAATAAATGTCACATTATGGAATGTAAAATAGACAATAGGCCACACACACAATCTACAAATAATGTGAAAAAGGTTTAGGAATCTCTGATAAAGAGAGACATAAGGGTGGGAGAGAAAACTATCACCTGAAGACCACACAGAGAACATTGGGCCGAGGAGCCTATGCTACACTTTCCAACTTTAAAATCGCTTTTAAGAACATGGATGAAGAAATATTAAAGAAATTGTTCACGGTCTTCGTGAGACCAAAATTGGAATATACAGCGGTTGTATGGTGCCCATATCTTAAGAGGCACATTAATAAACCGGAAATGATGCACAGGAATGACACTAAATGGTTCCCTGAACTGAAAAGCAAGAACTACGAGGAGAGGCAAGAGGCATTAAATATACTGAAGATAGAAGAAAAAGAGGTGATATGATCATTACATACAAGATATAAACATGTATTGACAAAATTGACAAAGAAGAATTTTTGAAGACTGCAACTTCAAGAACAAAAGGGAATACGTTCAAATAAGGAAACTAAGCAGCCTAAAAAATAACCCAGCCTCCTGATAAGACTACTTCTTGTAACTATGTGAACGATCAATCAAATATCTAAGTGATAAACAAATAGAAAGTAGAATTTGGTACTATTTATTTTATAGTCTGGAAAAATTAAAGCTAAAACCCAAACTTAAAATTCCTAGGCCTAGTATAGCACATATATATGTGCTCAACCGCTTCTTTACTGATAGGAGATTGATCCAAGATCTACTGATTGTGAGCCAAAGATGTAGACCACTGTGCTAGAGGTAAGAACAGTCTCCCGATGTTTGGTGGAGAGGAAGTAACTCCAGTGGCAGACTATAGCTGTGATCGCTCGGCCACATGACAAGTAGACACAACCAATGAGAAGAACTAGCCATGTAAAGCTACACGACAGATATAAACAGAAGCACATGACAGAAATGAAGGCAACATCATGGAAGAGGTAGACAGAGCCATGAGATAGAGGTAGACAGCTATGAAACAGAAGCAGACAGAGCCATGAGATAGAGGTAGACAGAGCCATGAGATAGAGGTGGTCAGAGCCTGAAACAGAAGTAGACAGAGCTATGAGATAGAGGTAGACAGAGCCATGAGATTGAGGTGGACAGAGCCATGAAACAGGTAGACAGAGCCATGAAACAGAGGTAGACAGAGTCACGAGGTGGAGTTAGAGCCACATGACAAAGAGTGAGAGAGAGAGCCAGCGACTGGGAGACGTACATTGTGGTACCAGTCGATGCGGTTGATGACGGGGTTTGCCCGGATGGAACACTCGAAGAACACATCATCTCCTTCCTTGACGAGGCTGGCGTCCAGGTGTCGGCTGAGCGCCAGACTCACGACAGGAGTATCTGCAAGTATACTGGCGATGAGTGCTGGCTAGTGAACGATGAGTGAGATATATCTGGATGAATCTCATGTTCAATAGTGGATGAATAGACTTGTATTAGCAAGTAGCTGGATGGGTGTAAGGAGACACATGAATGAGGTACACTGATAAAGTAAAGGTTTCTGTAGCTAACGATAACAGCAAGATATAACAGATATCTTTATGCCCCTCACACTGCTATCTGTCATTTCCCTCCTATGCCCCAATTGCCATATGAAGTTTCTTCCCTTGCTCAAGGTTGATAAGTATTGTATATAATGAATTCTATGCCATATTTTGCATATTATATATTATCATGATATTATTATTATTATTATTACACAAGGAAATCACACTAACATGATATATCAGTAAGAAAATAAATTGCAGTAATTCGGGGATTCAAATCAGTATTCCATTCACCTGGGCCCTAGGAGACTCGAACCCTGGACCCCACGTGTGTGAGGCAGAAGCTCTATCAATCAAGCTATTGAGTAGTCTTAATAAGGAAAGTTTTCTTATGAAACCAGTATATCCTGCGTACTCCCAGCCACACGCCCTAACCCACTGGACCATGATACAATATAAGTAGTTTACTGTAGACAGCGTATAGTGGAAGAACTGCTACACCTACACCAGTTGTAGACAGCGTATAGTGGAAGAACTGCTACACCTACACCAGTTGTAGATAGCGTATAGTGGAAGAACTGCTACACCTACACCAGAGTGTACATGGGTAATGGTAGCAGCTCGGTGCCTCAAGGCCCCGAGAGGATTCAGTAGGATCCTAGGATAAATTAGTTTTAGCATATCGTTGTCCAGTGGGTTAAGGCATGTGGCTAGGAGTACCCAGATTGCTGGTTCGAATCCCCACATTACTCCAACTGGTTTTTCATTATTATTACTATTATTGGTGGGGTTACCAGAGATAATTAATACTCACAGTAGACCTTGAGCTTAATGGAGTGAGTGAGGGTGAGTGAGGGGAGGTGGGGGTTGGTGGCGGTGCAGGCGAGGGTGGCGCCGTCGTGGTCCCGGTCAACCTCCACCGTCAGCGTCGCCGTCGTCACCTTCCCGCCCTCCTCATACTGTCCCAACAATGAGGATTTTAGTGACACTCTCCACAGCAAAACACTTGGGCATCCTTATTCCTCATTACCTGCTTTATTACCAGATCAACGCGTGCTGTTTGGGACTAGTTGACAGGGAAATCATAGTTTGCTTCCTATTCATGACAGTAGGGCTAACTTAAGAAAGCTATAATGAGGCGTGGAATTATTGATGCTGGTCAATGGGTAGGTTGTTACATTAATAATCTCGTTTCAGCTGCATGACAGGTTAAAGCATAAAATAATCACCGAATTAGAGATAATTGAACCAATAGTAAAAGGGCCATTTGGGCCCTTTGTACAGTACCATTGTACATGTACATTTTGGCAGGCACATTGCAGGTCAACTGTTGGTGAGATATGAGACCAGCTCGCCGCTGCTACCCTCCTGTTCTTCATAATATCCTTCTTTAACCCACGTCAAACTTGTCACTGTCGGCTAAATGATTGCATGCCCTTATGTGACAATCCACCCTGCGAGATAGTGATCTTAGTATCCTTAGCCATCCTTCATATAAGCTACTACATCTACATACATTCCGACATACCAAAATACAGTATTACAATAAAACAAAACAAAATGATACTTACCGCGTGAGAGACGTGTGTGAGACGAGAGTGTCCCCGCCACCAGGTGACTTGTGCAGGAGGGTGGGAGCCCACAGCCCGACACACCAACCTTAGTGTCTGACCGGCAGACACAGGCCCTCCGGACCCCAGAATCCTCACCTCCAGCGGCGGTACTGTAAACACACACAATACTACCTTCACAGACGACGCCAGAGTACTTGGTAGGACATGAAGGTTTAGACATCATGAGGTGACATGCAGGTGACTAGTCTCGATTAAACCAAGATGCAAGAATACTTGTCAGAGGGATATATATATATATATATATATATATATATATATATATATATATATATATATATATATATATATATATATATATATATATATATATATATGTTTCATTGAATATGACCGCATATTCTGTATTTATTATTTTCTGGTTTAGGGCTTCTATCCCTCTAACTATTTTCTTAGCATCAGGGCTTAATTGAAATAGGAGTTCTCCAAAACTCATTTTCGTACTTTTAAGGTGAAGAAAAGAAGTGATTTACTATAGAGTGTATTACACTTATTTGTATAATTTGCACGACGTTTCGAACCTCCATGGTTCATTCTCAAGTGAACAGATCTTACAATACTAGTTGATTTTATACCCGCATTAGGTCAGGTGATAATACAATGAAGGTAAAAACATGGGGGGATACATAAGGGATAAACATAGGGGCTGCAGAAGGCTTATTGGCCCATACGAGGCATCTCCTAGCTAAACACAAAGATTAATCCAGTGTAATTGGCCTGTTATGTTGGACATTGTCTTCTGTGTTGGCATCGATATGTTCTTGTCTTGTCCTTACTCTCATGGTGGGTAGAGTAAATAGTTCCGTGATTTGGGTGTTCATGGTAGGTCGCTCTATTCTTATGTGAAGAATAGAGCGACCTACCATGAACACCCAAATCACGGAACTATTTACTCTACCCACCATGAGAGTAAGGACAAGACAAGAACATATCGATGCCAACACAGAAGACAATGTCCAACATAACAGGCCAATTACACTGGATTAATCTTTGTGTTTAGATAGGAGATGCCTCGTATGGGCCAATAAGCCTTCTGCAGCCCCTATGTTTATCCCTTATGTATCCCCCCATGTTTTTACCTTCATTGTATTATCACCTGACCTAATGCGGGTATAAAATCAACTAGTATTGTAAGATCTGTTCACTTGAGAATGAACCATGGAGGTTCGAAACGTCGTGCAAATTATACAAATAAGTGTAATACACTCTATAGTAAATCACTTCTTTTCTTCACCTTAAAAGTACGAAAATGAGTTTTGGAGAACTCCTATTTCAATTAAGCCCTGATGCTAAGAAAATAGTTAGAGGGATAGAAGCCCTAAACCAGAAAATAATAAATACAGAATATGCGGTCATATTCAATGAAACATGTTTGAAAGAAAACCTGCTGCCAGTATACACCAATATATATATATATATATATATATATATATATATATATATATATATATATATATATATATATATATATTAGTGTGTTTATGTATAATTGCTTTATGTATAGTTAGGGTACGTTATGTTAGATGCTTTATATATGTAAGCAATTTTATGTAATTGTAGTATGTGGTCGGGAACATCGATCTGAGGACGTCAGCGAAGCACAATTCAAGAAATGTTTAAATGTCATCTGTTGTGAACCGTGTGTAAAATGTTTCTCATTCATAAACAGGGGGTTTGGCGGGTGCATGGAATCACTTTTGGATCTTTGTTTGGAGGACGGGCTGTGTAAAGTGTTTCTCATTCATAAACAGGGGGTTTGGCGGCTGGATTAGCGTCTAATTGGCCAAGATTCAATCCGTCCTCCAAACAAAGACCCAAAAGTGATTCCATGCACCCGCCAAATCCCAGCTGTTTATGAATGAAAAACGGTTTACACACGACTCACAACTGATGACGTCCGAACACTTCCGGAACAAGTGCTTCACTGACGACTTTTGTTCGAACCACAACGCTGTAAATGCTTCACCCACGTACTACAAATACAAATAATCGCCATCAGAACCTAAACACCTAAGCTAACCTATGCCTATATATGCACAATATGCTAATATATTATAATATTAATTTATATTTGAGAAAATTCCTGCTTTGAATGAACAGCATGTAAAAATATATGAATGCGTCTGTGGGGTCGACCGCTGGGCAGGAGACGTCGACCCCACGTAGACCGTGGGGTCCCCCGTAGACAGATAAGTATAAGTGTGGATAGGTAAGTAACATTCACACCAGACTGATACTCACAGGTAATATTGAGCGTGACTGAAGTTGAGCGGGGTTGAAGGATGGCGTTGGCGTGGGTGGGTGCGGGCGTGTGGGCGTGGCAGGTAAGAGTGGCTGCCTGCATCTCCCTCGTCGCCTCCACCACCACCGTTGCCTGCACTGACGTCGCTTCTGGAGAGAATATATCGCTTAGTTATACGGTTATTTCAGCGAGGAGAACCATCGCGAGAAGACGTCTCTATAGTCATTGTACTAAACTGATTATGGCAATGTTATGTCATTGGGTGGTTATAGATAGGAGCTGCCTCGTATAGGCCAATAGGCCTTCTGCAGTTACCTTGTTCTTATGTTCCGTTGATGCTAAGACATGCAGTCAATGCAGGCAGGAGAACCGTCGCACGAGGACGTCTCTAGCGTGTCATGTCTGATGTTTAACCGATTGTGACAATGTTCCGTTCAGGAAACCCTCTAAGTTTAATTTTTATCTTGTGCCTAAACGCAAAATAAAATGTGGTGATAAGAAAAGTTCAGCTTCGTAAGGAGAAGAATGAGAAACACCCACGCAGTCCTCAAGAGAGATGAGAAGTCTCCGGAAACACGAACATGAGGACTGAGGCAAAGTAAAGTAAGAAGAAAGTTGCGAGATTTTGAAAGTTCAAATCCTTCATTGTCTTACAAGGAGAATGCTACATGGAAAAAGTTATCAAGGATCAAAGTTATATAAATTGCAAGCCAGGAATAACTAGAATCATTGACACTACATTCTACGAAAACTTTATGACTATTTGATCAGGTACATGGAATGGCCATTGTGCAACAAGGACAGCGAAATAAGACACAAATGTGTTTCTTTCGGCTGCCTTGGGTGATATAATTAATGTGATGGACAACTTGTTGATTATAAAAGCGAACCTATTTTGTCTCTCTCAGCACAGAACATGTTATTAAGGACATTATCAGGAGAAAGCACCATAAAGTCAGTACGACTATAGAGAACTTGGAAGGGATATGAGGATAGGGATCTGAGATAAGACGGAGGAAAGAAATGATGCCTAGCCACTTGGGCAGTCGGGGATTGAACGCCAACCTGAAAGAAACAGGACCATCGCTCTACCGGCCAGTCCAAGTGGTTATAGGGGAAATAATATGGGAAAAGGTAGGAGAGAGTACATTCCTGTCAATTATATGGTAGTTGTAGAATGAATGAAGTCACTATCGACCTAACGATTTACGAGCTATGAAGAGCTAACTGGTCGACCGTAACACTGATCACAGTGTGTTGAGGACGATATCATAGCTCTTCGCACCTCGTAACTTCTGTGTGTTTCTAAGTAAATACCGACTAAGCCACCATGAGTGAGATGGGAAATACAGCTCTTGTAAGTTGGTGCTGAAGTGTTCTACGAGTCCTGGCCCAGGTCAGGTATGTGGCGGGTGTGTACCACATGTGGGGAAGTAGCGGATGTGGGCTGAGCATGTGGAGGAAAGTACTGGATGTGTTTGTTGTTGTTTTAGATTCAGCTACTGGGACCAACAAGTTGCAAGCAGCAGGGGCTATGGTGAGCCCGTCGTACTTACCTGGCACAGGAGATGATATTGATGTGGAGTATGTGTGTGGCGGGGTTAGTACCTGATGCGGGGTTTGTGGTGGAGCTGGTGACCTGGTTGGGAAGCCTGGAGCCACGCCACCACCAGGTCAGGACAGGTGGGGGTCGGCCGCCCACACTACGACACACCACCTGCACCATCTCCCCCTCACCCAGGGGGCCCAGGTCCCCGGGCACGCCCACGCCGCCCCACAACACCACGGGCGGCCCGGCCGGAACTGTAGAAATACACTGTTGTCAGTATTATATATATCACTTCTTGTGTAGCGAAAGAAATTCAGACAAAAATATACAAATTCAAGGTCCCAAGGCATGATAAGGTTCCAGGGCATGATAAGGCTCCAGGGCATGATAAGGCTCCAGGGCATGATAAGGCCCACAGGACTGACTGTGGGCTCATTATAAATTTTCACCCAAGTTATTGTGATTTTTTTCTGCATATCATTCTAACTTATTAACATATATGATGACTGTTACAACACGGTGAGATTTTTAGAGAAAATATTTGACTATCGAGTCTCTAGGCCTATTGAAGGGATCCTCACAGCATAGGCTGTTCTCTCCATTACCTCTCCGTACAAAATGCAGCGGTTTAGCCTAACCAGAGGCGTCGGAACCTGGGGCCAGATTCACGAAAGCACTTACGCAAGCACTTACGAACGTGTCCATCTTTCCTCAATCTTTGACGGCTTTGGTTACATTTAATAAACAGTTTACAAGCATGAAAACTTCCCATTCAACTGTTGTTATTGTTATAAACAGCCTCCTGGTGCTTCGGAGCTCATTAACTGTTTAATAATTGTAAACAAAGTCGCCAAAGATTGAGAAAAGATGTACAGGTTCGTAAGTGCTTGCGTAACTGCTTTCGTGAATCTGGTCCCTAGGCAACCCACTAACCTGTGGAAGCAGATCATTAGGGCCCATGTAGCGTCAATATTGCCGTGTTCTGAACTTCCCTAAACCACCGCATTTTTAACGCTCGTGTCCATAACGTAAAAGGAGTAGTGCATTCACTAAGAGGACAGGTTGGTCTTACACAGAAGGAAGAAGTGTTAAGATTAAGAACCTGAGCCAGAATTTATCACGAATTTAGATATCTACTTACGAAACCTGTACATCTTTCTTCAACCATTGCGGCTTTGTTTACATAGACGGTTTCCGAGATTGAAAACTTCACAACCCACGGTTATTGCTGTTGTAAACACCCTCGTATAGTGCTTCGGGGCTCATAAACTGTTCAATAAATGTAAACAAAGCCTCCATTATTGCGGAAAGATGTACAAGTTTCGTATGCGGTTGGGTAATTAATGAATCCTGGCCGCGGCACACCTGTTAAGGAGCTGTCGGCTGAGGTGTGTGGTCAGGTGTGTGTACTCACTGACGACGGTGAGGTTGACGACGGAGGTGGTGGAGGGAGAGAGTCTGTAGTCCACCCGGCAGGTGTAGAGGCCCTGGTCGTGGGCGTGGGCGGGCTCCAGCACTAGTGTTGGGGGGTGGGCGTGGGCGGTGAAGAACGCCCGCCCACCCAGCACACCCTCGTTAGCCCACCTCTGTCCGGCCTCGAATTCCCCAACCCTGGCATCGTAGCTGTGAACGAGAGAACACTGACGACTCCAGCACACACCTTCACCAATGTCAACTAAACTGGTGAATACTGAATTCAAATACTCAAAATAGTTTACTTCATGTGGTATATACAAATGTAGCATTATAGATACAAAGGTCTCTATATTAACAAGCCTATAGAAGAAGTCACATATCCTTCACAACACAAAACCATCAGAAACACAACATTCTACAAGGTTTGTTTGTATTGGAGGACGTCTCTAGACCCTAGAACACAAAGGCAGACAGAACCACACCATGAGAAACAGTCACATCATGAGAGACAGGACCACACAATATGAGAGAGAGAGAGAGAGAGAGAGAGAGACACTAGAAAATAGGAGAATGATGACAGTAAATACAACACGAAACGCTTATATAAGTAGAGAAAATACAATAAATGAGGAGTCAGGCAGTAAGCTTAAATATTTAGACAACATAAACCTAATATCAACAGTGTTGTGAACAGTCGCTAGTCAAACTATGGTCACTAAGATCAAGTGCGACAACCAGGCCTACACCGAGCTACAGAGGCACAGTTAGCCAGCATTTGCAGTCATATAAAGTTATAATTATAATTCCAGGCTTGGGTTTTGTCGGCTGACATCATAGCCTTGTCGTTCTTGTTGACGGGGGAGGTGTTACCTGTTGACGGGGGATGTGTTACCTGTTGACGGGGGAGGTGTTACCTGTAGACGGGGAAGGTGTTGCTGGACAGGTACCATAGCACCAAGAGAGGCTGGTCGTCGACCACCTTAGGAGAGGGAGGACACGGCAGCTCCGCCCGCCCGCCGCTCACCGCCCACACCGACGTCACTCCTGTGGTGGGCGGCATACATGTTAGTGTGTGTACATGAGAGAGAGAGAGAAAGAGTTGTTCTATGTTCTTGTAGGGGTCCATAAGTGAGGACGTGGTTTTAGGGGGTCAGTTACCAGAGGAGGAGCACCGTTACTCAGCGTCATATTAATGAAGCCTCATTCATCTCAGAGCCTGGGTAATGCATCCACGAGTGTGGCACCTCCACGACCACCATCCATCAACATCATCTCCGAGTGTTGATTTAATGGTGATTCTTCATCTTACATCTCCACAATACACAAGGGGCCCTCCTGAACTGGTCATTGTGCTGGACCGGTTAGCAGGTGGGAATATGAGTGGTGAAAGGAAGAGGAGGTGGTGATGGAAGAGGAGAAGGTGGAAGAGTAGGAGTAGAATTGGAGAAGACAGGAAGAATGAGGGATGGAGAGATGGAGACCCATTAAAACTGTCATTTGATGAGAACTCTTAGATGAAACTGAAGAAAGGAGAAGAGTACACACAGGAACTAGCAGATCCATTGTTTACCACGATGACATTTGTCAAACAAAACATGTGTATGGGGCAAGTAACACTATCAGTAGACTAACAGACGTTGGCACAGCTCCTACACGATTTGGCTACAGGTAACTGGCAGTTCAGCTTGTATAAGGATCTAGATGAAGTAAAAATGTTTGGATAATGACTGGGACACACGCCAGAGCATTACATCTTAAACTATGATCAAATTGAGCCATTTAGTGATAAATTTAAACTCACGCTGCATGAAATGGCAAACCATCATATTACAAATGATAAAATATCTGAAATCCTTGCACTGTAGCCATGTTTCACTTCTAGTAGATAAATGACGTATGATATGTAGGAACAAGCGGTGCAGTGTGAAGATTAATAATAATAAACAGCAGCTCTTGAATGATCCTGTAATATCCCCATACCTAAATATTTTATGTATTAGCAAAAGACCTATCATCAATGTAAGATAATTTATGTCTGCAGATATTGCAAGGAAGGCTTTGTAGCTAACTGACACTATCAGTATAAGGTGTGCAAATTAGATGAAAATGTTAATGTTCAAACCTCCGCTGAGGTCTGATTAAGACCTTTTGTTCCATCTGTAATCCTTCTTGCGCTACCGCTCACACGATGATACAGTAGCAGCCTCCAGTCAAAATACAGAGGTGGAGATGCCGGCTGCGTGTTTACGCTTCATCATAAACAAACAACAGTACATGTTATGTGAGGCACGAGGAATGGCTGGCTACCCACAAAGAGTAACTCACACTTGAGGTACAATATGAGGTACCTGGAGCCTTGACACCTTCCAGTATGAGGTACCTGGAGCCTTGACACCTAGTACCACGTAGCTCTTGACACACTGTGTAACTTCATACAGTCTAGGGCAGCTGTATAAATGTCCAGGCACTTTAGTATACCATCTCTTGCCATGCACTGTGTAACCCTTCGTATAGTCTAGGACAGCTGTGTAATTAACTAGATGCCTATTTCAATTAAAGAAGGCTTGAGAGGCCTGCAGCCAGCCAACCAGCGCGTGTTGTGACCACCATTGTTGTAAGAGCTCCTCACAGACCGAAAAACTGGTCAGCTGAACATTCATATATAATAGTCTAAAATGTGCTGCGGAAAATGACGAATATTTAAAATTCACATTCTCACAACGACAGCAGCGTCCCAGTGTGGTACATATTGGGCAAAACGTGATGTTTGCCCAAGGGGATAGGCCTAACAAATTAGTAGAGGTAATGAACTAGCATGCCTTAAAATATCATGTTTAATTAGTTTGCCTCCTGGTGAAAGTGATGGAAACGAGTCAATGGCTATAGAGGCGAGAAGTGGATGTGTTGATCAGACTCATGGACCATTGAACTTATAAAAGTCAGCAAACCAGCGAACATGCAACGTTGTCAGAACCTCGTGGTTATGTTGTGTGTTTGTTGGGAAGCTTGTGGTTCGTGGGCCAGTAACTTTATCAGGGTGTATTCACTAGGTTAGTAGATGGTTGTGGGGGGGGGGGTGTCGCTGTGGCTCTCCCTCCACACGTCAACCCTCAGGTGACCAGGGGATCGAATCGAATCGTATCAAATTCTGTACATGAAAAGATACCCGGTGGATGAGCTTGAAGTGGGTGCAGTTAAAGGTGGGTCCTTGAGGAGGGGAGTTACTTGAAGTAGGAGAGGGCCGGGGCTTGACCCACCTGCACAACGCTGTCTTGACTGGCCGGTGGTTGGGTGAGGTTCGAAGAGTTCTGGAGGCGTTGGTGTTGAGGCTATTCTGTGTTCTTGTCCGGTTCTTCATACTACTCTCATTGTATGACGAACCAGATAAGAAGACTACTTTCATTGTCTTCTTTCTTGCTGGCGGGATGGTCTTTCCCTTCTTCGTCACCGTTGTCATCCAGGCTTGTCTTCTTGTCTGCATGCTGCTGACTTCACTGGCCTTGCTGGTGGCAGACCTCCGTCACTGGTGGTGCCGTCTATGGTGGCTCTGTTTGCCTGGCTCCATTTGTATTGCCGCCTCTGGCATGGATAAAGACGGAATATTGTCTGCCATTAGAAGCTTATTCACTGTCCTGATGGACAACTTATTAAGCGACCCTGTTGGCATATAGTATTGACACTCGAACATAGGCGTTAGTGTTGGTCGCTGGTGGTGCTGGCCTGGGAGGCTCCAGCTTTGGGTGCTGGTGATGAGTGCGACTTGTCCATGCAGACAATTGGTGTTGCTGGGTGGCTACATCTTGTTTAGTTAGGCCTGGGAATTGTTCTGGGACTATGGTTGAGTAGGGCAGCCGCTGGCCGTTGAGTGGACGCTGTCCGTTTTATCGTGCGCTTTAGTTTTTCATTCCTTCTTTTCTCTTGGAGCAGAGATGTGGTTATTTGAGAGCAACATGTGGTTCTCCACATAGGCTGCATTTTTTGGTTTTGCTGACGCAATTGTTATAATTGTGGCTCCAGACACATGCTACATCTTTCTTCTTTTTCCGTGCTATTGTTTGCGTAGTGGTAGTAACTAAACCACTTGAAGCACTATTTGGGATCGTAGTGCTTTTCCATTGATCGGTCCACTGATTTCCACTGGTCGGGTACCGAGGTAATGACGAAGCATTTGAAGTCTCTTGTTTCACGACGTCTTGAGCTTGTTCCGTAGAATCAAATGTCAGCTTTACTGTAGGCCGTGAATTGTCGTCCCTCTGGGTTAGCTGGGTCGAGTGCTTTGAGAGAAGGGTTCTCATCATTAATTCGTTGGACAATGATCTCTTCAGTTTCTGCCGCTATCCGTCTGTTGATTCTATAGACGAAAACCGTCCTGCCTGCTTGGTATTAATGCAGAGGAATTAGGCCTCTGCCAGTGTGGCCCTGTTGGCCGAGTCGAGAAGTTTTGTAGATGGTCATTGTTTGCGGCGATGAGAGTCGTTGTGTCCTTGAATATGTGGACCTCAACCGGTCTACGTGTGTTGCTACTTCACGCTCAGAGCGCTGTAGGAGAAGCCTGACTTTCACTTTTCTTGGCACGTGCAGTATTACCTTCATTTCCAGCCTCAGGTGAACACGGTACTCCTCGTGCAACGTCTCAACCACTCGGATTACCAGTGGGCGCTACCTCTGTGTGTATTTACTATTTGTGTCTGCAGAATTGAGCTATAATAACTCTTGGACCCCCGCCTTTCTAACCAATATATTTTTCCTCTATAATATGTCTACTACATATATTTTTCTCTAACACACGCACACACCCCCAGGAAGCAGCCCATAGCAGCTGTCTAACTCCTAGATACCTATTTACTTTTAGGTGAACAGGCCACCAGGGTGAAAGAAACTCTTCCTATTTGCTTTTGCCTCTGCCGGGGATCGAATCTGGGCCCTTAAGACTACGACCCCAGAACGCTGTCCACTCAGTCGCGTGTGTGTGCTTCTGCTGGCAGGTGAGCAGTGAACGCAGGAGGGAAGGGGTAGCGGGCGTTCAACCTCTCCCCCCTCACACACACACGTGAAGCCTCAGGGGGGAGGGGGCAGAGGGTGGGGGGACTCATCTAGTGGGGGGTGAGGTATTCATCCTCTCCCCCTTCACACACCAAGCCTCAGGTGGCTATGATGAGGAAGAGAACGAATTGGGGATAATTGCAGAGTGGTTAAATGGGAAGAGAATATGAAGGGATAGATGGAGGGAAGGAGAGACGAAGGGCCTGGTTCTTATTCACCACCGACGAAGACCATTACTACACTAGACTAATTGGTTGCGGTTGGAACAATACAGTAATTAGGGCAAATGGTTATGATGCTAAAAAGGATATTAATGAAAAACCATTAATCTTGGATCAGCTATACGGAATTAAACTCGATCAACGTGTATTGTGAGTTACCAATCTCTTACAGAATAAATAACGCGAGGCACAGTTTTATTAACCTCGACTAACGGTCATGATGCAACTGAAAAGATGAAAAAAATCGAAATGGTTAAGTCCTTTCTCCTGTAATTAGCTATTTAATAGCCTAACACTACTCAACACGACACTGTTACCTTATACTGAGTCACAAGCAACTGCAAATCTTCCAGAGATCACCAAACATCACACTTTCGTTTTCTGCTTGTAAATTCTTTCACTCGATAGATCTTTAAATTACTCTAGGGCTATCCCATTTCAATGATTGTTCACATTCTCTCTCTCTCTCTCTCTCTGTAAACACGCCTGTCCTGATACACCCTAAAATCTTACACAATATAAACAAAAGCCGCCATGATTGAAGAAAGATGTACAGGTTTCACAAGTGGCTGCGTAAATACTTGATTAACCCTGACCCCTGTCACTATGTGCGCATGTTTGCGTTGATGTACGCGCAGCTGTAACCAACGTTACTCTCATTAATTGACTGCAGTAGGTTCTGTATACACATTAGCAATGCTGATGCGAATGGAGACATTAGGCTATAAATTTGCATCTGCCATTAACAGGTGCAGAGATGTGTATATATACATGTAATTATGTGTAAATGTATGCACATATGTATACACTTATGTGCACATGTATGAACTCACTTGTACATGTATATACTAATGTGCAAAACGAAAACCAGTCATATATTATATGCAATATTGTGCATAGTTATTTACAAGATGTACGCGAAAATATTGATGTACACATTACCCACACTTTGGTGGGCAACGAGGCATGATAGAGCAACGATGAATGATAGAGCTACGAGACGTGATAGGGCTACACTGCGTGGAAGTGCAACGAGACATGATAGGGCAACGAAACAATAGAGCAACGAGGCATAATAAAGCAGCAGCACATATAAACACCGAGAGGCCCAGCGATCAAGGAACTGGCCCAGTATTTATCAAACACTGCTTTCAGTGTCCACTAACGAAACCTTTATGCCTTTCCTCCTTCATGGTGGCTGTGTTTACATTTATTAAACAGTTTACGAGGTTGGAAGCTTTACAAGATTATTATGGTTGTAAACAACATCGTGGTGTTTCAGAATGGCAAATCAAAATACGAGGAGGGGGGGGGGGGGGTGAACGGCTTCCACGTGAGGCTACTGACATAATTCTCGCAAAAAGTGTTTGTGCCAATGGCTGTCTCTCTCTTTTGTGTGTGTGTGTAGTTACTCACCTAGTTGTGCTTGCGGGGGTTGAGCTCTGGCTCTTTGGTCCTGCCTCTCAACTGTCAATCAACTGGTGTACAGATTCCTGAGCCTACTGGGCTCTATCATATCTACATTTGAAACCGTGTATAGAGTCTGCCTCCACCACATCACTTCCTAATGCATTCCATTTGTCAACCACTCTGACACTAAAAAAGTTCTTTCTAATATCTCTGTGGCTCATTTGGGCGCTCAGTTTCCACCTGTGTCCCCTTGTGCGTGTGCCCCTTGTGTTAAATAGCCTGTCTTTATCTACCCTATCAATTCCCTTGAGAATCTTGAATGTAGTGATCATGTCCCCCCTAACTCTTCTGTCTTCCAGCGAAGTGAGGTTCAATTCCCGCAGTCTCTCCTCGTAGCTCATACCTCTCAGCTCGGGTACTAGTCTGGTGGCAAATCTTTGAATCTTTTCCAGTTTAGCCTTATCCTTGACTAGATATGGACACCATGCTGGGGCTGCATACTCCAGAATTGGCCTGTGTGTGTGTGTGTGTGTGTGTGTGTGTGTGTGCTGGTTAACTAGGTCTACCAACTACCTATACATGTGTAACTAGGCCTACCAATTAAGAGGGCCCCAGAATTACCACCTGGTCGTTTGGCGTCGACGACAGCGGAAGGTGTGATGGAGGAGGAGAGTAAGAGCCAGATAGGCACCACCAACAGCCTATGTTCCCCTTCCATAACGCTGGTAGGCCTAGTTCCGCCTTCCCGATCTTATACTTTCCTTTATCTTCTAGCATCACATTTGAAGATTCATGCAATGTCTTAAAACACACTTAAAAGACTCACGTATTGTTTCATCACACTTGAGTAATGTCACTTATCTTACAGATATATTTCCCTATTCTCACTACCGTTATTATTTTCATTTTAGATGTTAATCGGCTTTTCTTCTCATTTAGGCTTTCATTTAACTGTTAATCGTTTGTAAATTGCGCCTCGTGTCTTGTAAGAGTGAGGCATAATAGAGTGCGTTTTTATAATGCACTCGAGTGATGTATATATGAGTGGTGGCGCCCTAGGGTATGGGGCGTGTGAGGAGTTGAGGAGCAGCACGGCATCTCCCGACAACAGCCAGAGTGACACTGGCCTCACTGGGGCACGGGAAGCCCCTTGGCGAGGGCTGCGGGGTCCAACGTTTCTGTCACGGCCGCCACGTCTCTGAGGACCACTCACAGGATGGCTGTGTGATCCTCTCACAGGATGAGTTTATGATCCTTTTACAGGATGAGTATGTGGTTCATTCACATGATGAGCATGTGGTCCACTCACATGATGAGTATGTGGTCCACTAACATGATGGAGTACATCCACTCACAGGATGTTGATCATGGGGTCCACTTACTAGATAGCTACGGGATGCACAATACATAAACTAAACTATTACAATCAATATTTAAGTGTGTTCCGAAACACACAGCGTAGTGCCCGTCAAGTGGAGACACGGTGGGTTAAGTGTGGCCAAGACACGTACCTATTTACGCCCTTGTACGTGGCCTCTCGCTGGCCACGGAGATTATCCACGTTAATATGACCTGGAATGTGTCTTGAGTTGGATAACCCCCTAAATCTCCAGTACAAAGTTGGTATTGAGAATGTTCAAACATTTGAATTAGTTGAGGTACACCTTGAGGTGGTCCTCGAGGTTTTAGGGGGTTTTCCTCTCCACAAGGTGTGGGTGCCCTGGGGCATGGGTTGCCACAGTGGGTGGCTGAGGCCTCGACACTCCCGGATAGAGCGCCGCGCTGGGCTCACAAGGCGGTGGGCACATTCTTAGCTAGCTAGCCTCCCCTACCACCCTTCCTTGGGAGGGGGGGGGACGTGTGGCCTCCATGCTTCTACACGACTACGCACACGACGTACGCAACCACACACACGACGTACACGTCGTAAGCCTCACCATTCGTACACGAAAGTTCGTTTTTATTAGTGTTTCCGGACACAGGATTGCAGCAGGCCGTCAGGCCTCCACAAAAGTCAAATTAGCAGTAAAAAAACTTTCCAGAAAACCTTACACGTAACGGGAATGCCATTTAGCGCCAGAAGTCATCAAGCACTTACTGGAATACACAATGTGTCAACTTTGTGAAAGATAAAACATACACTCCCTTGAACATTATATTGCAGAAGGTCCCATATAGACTGACTTTCGCCCTCCTGGGCTGAGGTATGCTGAACTCTGTAACTACTATATGAGTACTGGAACACCTGATGATATATTGGACTTGTACCCTAGATTGACTATGTAATGCATTAGTTGTACAATGTTTGTGATGTAACCATAACCTGAGCTTGTAAAGGCACCCTAATCAACTTCAGTGGTTAGGTGCTTAATAACACACTAGTTTATATAGCAGCAGCTTTGCTATATAACAACTTTGATTAACTCTCAAAGTAGGTGAGATATAAAAGTATGTAAGTATGTATGTGTATATGTATATATATGTATATATATATATTATATTATATATATATATATATATATATATATATATATATATATATATATATATATATATATATATATGTGTGTGTGTGTGTGTGTGTGTGTGTGTGTGTGTATGAATATATGTATTTGTATACAGGATATGTGGAAGCTGGTCAGAATTGCATTTCACCTTTGTAAACACATATTAATGACATTATGTAAAAAGACACATTGAACACTTTATGTAGGGCAGACGTAAATCTGTGTATTTCTGTATGTAGGTTAGATTAGCATTTTATAAGAACTATAATCACCTTCTGTGGTTGATTGTTCAATAAAACACTGAACTATATATCTCACCCTGTCCATGGAGGTCAGAAGAAAATGTATATATGCTGGTTAGCATTGTAAATGTGCGGCCACGTTTGTGGTAGAAAATGTAAATAAAATCGCCATGATTGAGGAAAGATGTATAGGTTTCGTAAGTAAATCTTTCATGAATCTTGGTCCAGTTTACGAGCTTGTGAAGGCTGCGAGGTGGTTCTGGGTCAAAGGTTACACAGGCCAGCATATGACTGGAATATCTGCTGGACGGGAGCCTTGCAGAGATGCCTGGCCTTAAAGCAGTGATTCTGACGTTGTCCTTGATGGCATCCCTTCCAAACCTCGGGCCATCCTCACGCGTCTAAGAACTCTCCACGCACCCCCAGCAAGACCAAGACAGGGAGTGTACACACCAGAGAACACTAGCACGTCGCTGTGAGTGAGCCGTGAGGGTCAACACCAGCCCTCCACAAGGACCTGGTGGGCGGGACACGCCCTCACTCACAACACACTCCGCCACACAACGCTGCCTCGCCAAGAGCGCCAAACTAGCTCGCTGCCGCTCCTGTCGTGTTTATACTTCTCGCCTGCCTGGGGTCCAGGGCAGGGTATGGTGCCCCTCGTGCTGTGGGTATACCAAGCCTGCCTGCCTGTGGCCCAGGAGGGTGTCCAGGGCAGGGTATGGTGCCCCTCTTGCTGTGGGTATACCAGGCCTGCCTGCCTGGTATACCCACAGCACGAGGCCCGTAGCACCGCCAGGAGGCCTGTAGCCCCACCAGGAGACCCGTAGCACCACCAGGAGACCCGTAGCATCACCAGGAGGCCCATAGCACCACCAGGAGGCCCGTAGCACCACCAGGAGACCCGTAGCACCACCCGGAGACCCGTAGCACCACCAGGAGACCCGTAGCACCGCCAGATCACAATGGAACAGGTAATGTCAATTCCAACAGCCTCACAAGCAACATACAATGGAAAACATAATATATAATTAGACTCTAAATCATAGGTCATGCAAGCAGCAGTGTGAGGCGGCATTAATCATGCAGCCCGTCCTCATAAATAAAGGCCAAGTGCTCGTTAATCCTCCCGCCAAACACCCTGTTTGTAAATGAAAAAAATATTTCACACACAACCTGTCCTCAGGCTGGACTCGGACGTGCCGCTGCTGACCACAAAGATATATTCGTCAGTGTTCATTTACCGTGTGCTCAAAATCGTTTATTTTTTTCTCATATACAGATTAACGTTATTATATATTTGACTTTAATATATGGTTAGGCGTGTGTTTGTAAGTGTAAGGGAGTGAGTGCGTGTGTTTGTAAGTGTAAGGGATAGTGAGTGTGTGTGTAAGTGAAAGGGAGCGAATAATTGCTACAAACTATAGATTATTGTTCTTTTGATCCCCCAAAAATCTGCAGCCAGAGTATATTAGTAGCTTTGTGTATGCTAGCCACGGCGGCCATAATATTCTGCAGGTGTGCTCTCACCGCCACACTGCCACAGTGGAGGGCTAGTGAGTAATAGTCTCCTGGAGGTATTACCCAACCGTTGCTACTTGGCTGCAAGCTTAGGCTCTCTACACTTACCCACACATACATTTAACCATGAGTATGTTTATGTGCGTCGTATGTGTACAACTGTGTAGAACACAGAGAAGATTCAAGCGTTCGGGAAGAGGCTACATGTTATTTTTTTTCGTTTTATTTGTAAAACAAAGTAATTACAGCATAAAAGGTACCGAAACACACAAAAAAACGAGCACAAACTCCACGCCACACATTAACAAACACCATAATACAGAAATGCAACATAGAACATACACAGGAACATCTCACAGAAAAACACAGAATAACAAGGAACACAATAACAATAACACATATAACATGGCGCACAGAGCAATATAACATAAAAGTGAAAACAACAGAACAATAAAAAATTACATAGGGACAAACAAGAAAATAAAAAAGTCCCACTACCCAATCAGGGCGTGCCAATGGTAGACAGTAACGACAAATATGTACAAAAGAAAACACAATGAAGCCTAAGGTAAAAACAGAAAAAAATATTATACAACGGAAATCAAACATAAAACACACGCATCATGTGTTAACCCACACAACAGTGGACACCATACCACAGAACCAGAACACACACATGAAACACAGCACAGACGAAAGAATACAAGCTACACTGTACACAGAAATAAAACAATATATCACCACCAATGGGAAAAAAGAATGAAAGATACATTTTAGCAGTCTCCGTGGTGTAGTGGTAAGACACTCGCCTGGCGTTCCGCGAGCGCTATGTCATGGGTTCGTATCCTGGCCGGGGAGGATTTACTGGGCGCAATTCCTTAACTGTAGCCTCTGTTTAACGCAACAGTAAAATGTGTACTTGGATGAAAAAACGATTCTTCGCGGCAGGGGATCGTATTCCAGGGACCATAGGATTAAGGACTTGCCCGAAACGCTACGCGTACTAGTGGCTGTACAAGAATGTAACAACTCTTGTATATATCTCAAAAAAAAAAAAAAAAAAAAACATAACCGATAACACAGAAAGCAGAACATAGTATATATAACATAGTATATATAACATAGTATAAATAACATAGTATAAATAACATAGTATAAATAACATAGTAACATAACACAGTAATATATAACATGGGAAATAAAATACAGGAAATATAACTCATTGAAACACAACACAATACACATAAACAGATAACCCGCACCACCCATACGGGGCGTGCCAACAGGAAACATAAAGGGAAAACACATAACACAAGACAGCAAATACATAATGACTGTGAGTACAAGCATACAAATTTCGCATCAACGGAACACACACGGCGGCTGCATGTTATTGTGGGCCGAGGAGGCTCGAAGCTGGTGCATGAGGCTACAGCTGTAGCAGACTGTCGCAGCCAACACTACTATATTTTTTAATAGTCACAACTTATCCATAAAACTTTTGTGATTGTCATTCATACTTTTATGGTGCTTCGGAGCTCATAAATTGTTAAATAAATGTAAACAAAGCCGCCGAAGATTTAAAAAAAAAATGTACAGGTTCCTAATTATTTGCGTAACTGCATGATGAATTGGGCTGTAATCAGCATGTAAGCAGGTTCAGAATTCTTTGAAATTTGAACCCTGTTAGTAGGAGGTTGGGGGAGGGGGGGGGTGTGATGTGCCAATGAGAAAATTCGATCAATTATGACGTTATTTCTAGTAGCCAATGGCAGGCCTCAAATTTTTACCAAAAAGCCCGGGAGGCGACACTGAGGTTGGTGACAACCGCCGCCATTATCGAACAGT